CAACTATCTGTGTGCGTTGTGAGGGAATAACCGAGAGCTAAAATGTTGATTTTGTATTATGCAGACATGTCTTTATTCTTTGGAGCATGGAATTCCTCTGATTGCATTCAGCCAGGATCGCTGCTTGACATTATTTGACCACCCTCGTGTTGAATCTCTTCACACAATTTACAAGGAGCCAAAGGTAGGTTTAATGAAAATCGTTACGCTCTCTGCCCCTTCTAGCTATGGTTTTTATCAGCTTCATGCACAATCTCTTACATGGTTTTTGTGTTAACAGGCCGAAATCATATCATCGGTTGATCAACTTATATCTGAAGCTGACATTCAGGTAAATCCCGGATTCATAACCTAGATTTTGCATTCTTACATCTGTATAATCCTAAGTACTAATGTTTGGTTCTCTTGTGTATCCTCAGAAAATGATATTCATGGACACGACCAAGGGGGTCTCATCTGTTATCCGTCCGTACTGGTCAGAAGCTACAGGAGACCGTGCTGATGTCGTTCAAGCTCAATCAGATATGCTAGAGATCGTCCCACCAAGAACCTCCAAAGGGAAGGGTGTGAAAATGCTACTCGACCATTTAGGCGTTTCACCAAATGAGGTAAAATCTAGCGTCAAACCGAAAATTGAATCTGTACTCAAAACCGAACCGAACTGCTTGATCTGTTATGTTCATAAGTAAGATAACTGATGAAGCATATCTCCGATGTTGGATCAGGTAATGGCGATTGGGGATGGCGAAAATGATATAGAGATGCTTGAACTGGCGTCGTGGGGAGTTGCTATGAGCAACGGTGCAGAAAAGACAAAGGCCGTGGCTGATGTAATCGGTGTGAGCAACGACGAAGACGGTGTTGCGGATGCCATTTACCGATACGCCTTCTAAGACTACACCACCACAAATGTCACACTCGACTCAATGGAACAACAAGATATCATTATTAAGGTTAATTAGAGATTGTTCTTCTGTTTCTCATAGATACAAGAAACGTCCATTTCTTACCCAATTCACCTTTTTGAAAGAAATTGATTGATTGCATAATACACATCGAACGAAAACCTGTTGTTAGTCTGAAACCGGTCGTAACAATTTGTAGGAAAGAAGTGAATGCAAGATTTGTTACTAATTGGTTATAAACTTTGTTAACAAATATGATACAAAAAAATTGCAACACAGCTAGAGACAATATGAATTGGTCAAATCCCTTAATTCCATCCAAGAATGCTGTTTTCTCTTCTCTGAATAGAAGCATGAAGAAGCTTCAACCTCTGTAGATACCAGAAGGATCTGCGTTTTGTACAATCCACGGATGCTCCAGAAGTTTGTGCAAGGCCAAACGTTGCGTAGACTCCTTAACAAGCATCTGTTTTCGATTCGGATATTGCATGACAAATTAGAATTCACTCTTCATTGCAGAATAGCTCAAGAGAGATTAACAAGGAATGCAGAGGCCAAACCTGGCTAATCAGGTCTTTCGCAGATGAAGACACTGTGGGTTTAGGAGGAAATTTGAGATCAACTTGCACAATCCTGTACAACAAAAATGTCAATAACCTCAACATTGTACTAAATCCCATCCTAAGTTCAATGAAACATGTTAAAGTTTACCTTCTGTATGTATCTGAATGCTCTCTGGCCTCAAAAGGAGGGACACCATAAAGAAACTCATAACAAAGAACTCCAAGACTCCAGATATCGACACCAGCATCGTGTTCTACACTTTCCACTGTAAATCCAAAAGCAGAGAAGCGTCAAGTACTTGGTTGCAGAAGAGACACAGTGGATAGTTTTTTCACTTACCCATCTCAGGTGGAAGGTAATCCAAAGTGCCACACATAGTCCTTCTGCGGTTGAATGTGTGTACAGACCATCCAAAGTCGGCGATCTTGAGCTCACCCTGATCGAATACATAAACATATAAGCTAACTTTATCCATATACCGGATGATGGAGATTAGATTTGTTACCTGAGCACCAATCAGTAGATTCTCTGGCTTAATATCTCTGTGTATTACGTGCTTTCCATGGCAATAGATGAGAGCTCTAGCCAATGACGCAACATACTGCAACATTAAACATAAGGCTATGAGCTCAAAGACTAAACACATTCAAGAGATTCAGAAGCAAGAGAACTTACAGTTGCTGCACGGCGTTCGCTGAAGTACTTGCATTTCTGAAGCTCTTTGTAAAGTTCTCCTCTAGCTGCATACTCAAGAATCAAGTAAACTCTCTTCTGAAACAATACAAGAAACTTGTGTTATCCTCACAGAGACAAAATATTGTATGAATGTCAGCGAAGAAGTTCTTTAAAACACACACATAAACACAACACCTGATCATAGAAATAACCATAGAGGCGTAGAATATTTGGATGACGAAGATGAGACTGGATTTCGACTTCCCTTCGAAGCTGGTGTTCGACTTGAGATTGTTGAAGCTGGCTCTTGAAAAGAACCTTTAGAGCCACAATGTGATTGCTCTGTTTCCAAAATGTCACATTGGTTAATAAAAGATACTTCTCTGAACAAGTCTAAATTTGTGAAGATATATATACTAACACGTTTCTCTCTCGCTAGATAGACATGCCCAAATTTCCCTCTACCAAGAGGCTTTCCAATGTCGAAATCGCTTAAAGTCCATCTCTTTTGTGCAGCCTCCTGATACAACATCACACAGATACAATCAGTTCTACTCTTAGAAAAGTTCTTAATCCAAAATGATGATTAATCCCAAGAAACGAATCTCTATTCAATCACATCTCGGAAATTGGAACAAATTTTACCAAAATCCAGTTCTTTTGTTAATCGAAAACTGACTAATTTGCCAGAAACGAAGATTTCATCCTTAATCAACATCTATTGCTCAAAAATCTTCAAAATCTTGCCAGGAAATCTTTCTCAAATCAAGTAGAAAATATCGAATTAGAACGAAATCGAGTCCTCTTCTTTCCGGGGTCAAAGAAAATCGAGCGATCTTATCGATAATCTTCAGATCGCATTCCATAAACACAATCAAACGCAAGGAAACACAAACGAACTAAGGAAGTAACACGAGAGAGAGAGGGATAATGTTTGAAACCCTAAATTGAGACGATTAAGGGATAAGAAAGAGGAAACAGTGAGGTTCGAATTTGTGAATCAGAGAATCGGTTTCTTTTACCTTCTCGTGCTGCTGCTGTGTCTCCGTAGAGATCCCCATGAAAGAGATCGACGAGACGAGATAGAGAGAAAATGAGAGAAATGGAAGAAAGAGAGAGGAAGAGAGAAGAGACCAATTTTACAAAAGCATACAGATCCAATGGAGAAGAGAGAGAGAGACGAGATTTTTAAAAAGGGGGAAAAACGTCTACCAGCAAAGCAGCAACGGTCGAATTCAGAAGCTACCACGTGTCAATATCGCCAATCGAGTTTTTTTGTTCAAAAATTTCGTCTTCAATAGTGCTTTTTACTGTTTTAGCCTTTTAGGTAACTATTTTTTTATTTTTAATTCTGTCATCTGATAATTTTATCGAATAAATTTAAAACACAACATACAACAAATCACATGCTCAAACAAAATAAACTGTACCGAAGAAAAACATAAATATCCCTGAAAACTAGACCGATGAAGAAGAAGAAGCAGATCCGATTTTGACCTGACAAATGGTGACGCTAGACAGATCTCGTGTCGAACAAGCCATAGGATTAACAAACTCGACTCACTAGTTAAATGAACCCAATAGGCCAATACATAACACAAAACAGTTTAAAATAGGAATATTAAAATAAATTTACAATAAAAAATACTATAGTTGATTTACAAAAAAAAAAAAAAAAAAAAAAAAAAAAAAAAAAAACTAGTTAGGTAAATTTATTTGAATTTTTTTAATATGTGCCCTGAAGGGAGAAAATAAATAATGGATTTGACAAATTTTTGTATCCGGAAAGTGGTTTCACATGATCTACATGTAACGTGTGACGTGTTTGTAATCTACATGTAAAATCTAAGTGCAAACGACCATAGGTCTAGATGGTAGCCCAATAAGCTTCAAGATCGTTGACAATGAGATATAATTCAAACCGATCGAGTAAACACGTGTCATGGTCACTCCATGCAGAACTGACACGCCCGCGTGACACTCTTCTCCACTTCTTCACACGCGCACATATCGCATCACCGTTCGTCTTTCTTCTCTCCATTATATTCGTTACGTTTTCATCTTCACAAATCACGAATACTAAAAACAAAAAAAAACAAACACAACACGTTGCATCCACAAAATTCTCCAGAAAGAAAAAGAAAATGACGGATCATCATCATCATAATCAGCAGCAACCAATGACGAAAAACCTCCACGAGTCAGCATCATCACCATCGACTCGACAGACCGTGAGATTCCTAACGGCGGCGATGATAGGCTTGTCACTGTTAGTGCTCTCTGGACTAACGCTCACAGGCACGGTGATAGGTTTGATCGTAGCGACGCCGCTGATGGTTCTGTTCAGTCCTGTGCTGGTGCCAGCTGTGATAACGATCGGGCTATTAGCGGCAGGATTCTTGTTTTCCGGTGGATGTGGAGTGGCAGCTGCCACGGCGTTAGCGTGGATCTATAGGTACGTCACCGGAAAACATCCGATGGGAGCGGATAAGGTGGATTACGCCAGAATGATGATATCGGAGAAAGCTAAAGAGTTGGGACATTATGCTCAGACGCAAACACACGAAGCTCACACCAAATAATTATTAGATGATCAAAGTTATGTGCATCTTTAAACCTTTTTAATTTCTGTTAAATTTTTGGTTTTATTTATCGTGTCCTTGTTAAATTAATCTATGATTACTCTACCTATGTTTTATTTTATTTATTGTAATGCCCACTGTTCTTGGCACTTTTTGGAGAAATATATATGAAATGTTTTATTTCTTGTCGTAATTTAAAGAAGTATCCCCTCCGTTTTTTTAAGATAGATTTTCTAGACATTAGTTATTGTTTTACAAAGATAAATTTTCTATTTTTTTAATACATTTCTCCAGTTTTCAAGAAACAATGATTGTATTTGTTAGATTTTTATTGGTTGAAAATTATAAAAAGTTGTTTTATTGCAGAAATCAATACACTAATGATTGAAAATCTGTTTTTCCTTAATATGTGTGAAAATTCTAGAAAATTTATAAAAAAAAAACGGAGGGAGTATATATCTACCTACACAACGAAACGAACATGCCTAAACAGCTAAACTGAACCAATGCACAAGCCGAATCGAACTAGCTTCGGTCAGAGTCCGACTAACGTTTAACAAATAACCGGAACTGAATCCGTATCCAAACCGATTTGGAGAACAACCGCATAGTTTGGTTTAATCTCGGTTTGGTATAAACAATGTCGATTCCTTATCCGATCGGATTTAGTTGGCAAAGTTAGGGCGACGGCGAGTTCTTCAGACTCGAGGTTGATTAATCTCTCTCTCTCTCTCTCTCTCTCTCTCTCTCTGCATGTTTATGAGTGTGATTTTATATCGACTTAGATTCTGGAATCAGTTTCGAAAGTTTTCGTATGTGATTTGATGTTGTTGTTTTTGAAACATTAGGGTTTCGTTTCTCAGCGATGGATTGCGACAGACCTTTTTGCCAAATTCATACACACAACATTTTCAAGAGTAAGACTCTGGTGTCTCGAAAACAATTTTGCATCTTGGAGACGTTTGGTATTGTAACGATCCTTTGATTATGGAGAAACTCAAATCAGGTTGTCCTCTTCTAGAAATGATCTTACTTTGATTAGCTGTTTTTATTTTATTTTTTTATAATCAGTCTGATAGGGTTGTGGTAAAGAAGCTGCGTTTCTTGTTCATGATTGGCATTGATACCATAGTTAATGTTAGGCATCGCAGTGCTTTGGTGTTTTTGCATATTTGACAATTAATGTACCGGAGGAATTTTTGTTTTGACATTTGCAGTCATGGAGGACATTAATGATCTCAACGAAGCAGAATAACAAGAAAGACTCGATCTCATGGATTCAAACACGAACTAAGAGCAGATTTGGAACTTACCAAACCAGGTAAGTTACTAACCTCTTAATTAACTTCGATCATTTTCTCTTAAATCGTTACGACTTCAATCTTAAGAGTAGCAGAGGGATAAAATCAAGGAGAAAAACTGGCTACTTAGTCAAATAAATCAACACTGTTTATATAATCAGAAAAAGTTAGATTCTAATTCCATCTTTAGAGATAACACGTGTTTATATAATTGCACACACATACGTAGCACGCATTAGACTACCACACACATTTTTTCTTCAAAACGCGTTTCTAACATGCGTTTTGAACAAATGTGTGTGGTAGTCTGATGGGCTACGTATGTCCTCAATTATAGTGTCGCTTGTTATCACTAAAGATGAAATTAGAATCTAACTTTTCCGATTATATAAACGCGTAGATTTATTTCACTAAGTGGCCAGTTTTTCTTCTCCATTTTATCACTTTGCTCCTCCGCGGCGATTTCTCCGATGATAAAATCCTCTTGCGAATCAAATTGAACGGTATGTTCTTCAGTTTCTTACAATTATATCTCTAATGATTTGAATCAATTTGTTACATAGAAGATTAAGATCATTTCTGAATCGTTTCGCATATTAATTAATCGGTTTGATGGTTTAGGGTTTCATTTCTCGTGATGGGTAGAGATAGAATCAGCGAACTGCCGGATTCTTTGGTAACTCATATACTCTCATTCCTTGGGACCAAAGAATCCGTTAGCACAAGCGTTTTATCAAAGAGATGGGAACATCTCTGGTCTATGGTTCCTAGACTTGACTTAGATTTCAGTTAACGTCCTTCTTGCACCGACATCTTCGTTGACAAATATCTACTGGTAAATGAAAAATCACGACTTCACAAGCTCGAGATAGTGTATGATGATGCATGCGATGCCTATGGAGACCAGTACGAGGTATGGACCAACACAGCGGTCGATCGTGGAGTTCAACATTTAGCTGTCAAGTGTGGTGAGGCTTTCATGTATGTCCTGCCTGAGAAGGTTTACAAGAGCAGTACATTAGTGACGCTGAAACTCGTGGCCATACTCCCGAGAGTTTTGCTGTTTCTCTGCCTTGTCTGAAGATTATGCATTTTCAAGACGTGTGGTATGATGCTGATGATTCTTTGATCATGGAGAAGATCATTTCTGCTTGTCCAGTTCTTGAAGACCTTACATTTATAATGACTTACGATCATGAGCATGAATTTCAGTTGTCTCTGACTGTTAGGTCTCAGAGTCTGAAAGGTTTCTGGTTCCAGAATAGTATAGATGGTGCAGCTTTTAAGGTTGAGATTGATGCTCCACGACTTGAGTGTTTGTGTCTTATTGATAGTGTCTCTGATGTGATTGTGGTGAAGCATCTGAGTGCTTTGTTGAAGATCTACGTTGCTAGTGATTTCAATACCGAGTATGGAGCGAGCTTGGGTCCAGAGGATGCGAGGAAGAGATATATCATCAGTGATTTTCTAGCCAAAGTGTCTAGCGTCAGGCATATGACCATCACTGGGGCTACTCTATCGGTATGTAGATTCTCTTTGGTGCATATATTTAAGTATATAACAATGAAGTTTATGTGATGTTAATCTCTTCTTTCTTGTTACAGGCCCTTTTTCGATATTCCGATTTTGCAACAATTCCCATTTTCAATAGCTTATATATTTTGGAGGCTAGCTTTCATAGCAGCAAGTTACACTTCTTGCCAGTCTTTCTCAAGAGTTTTCCGAATATGAAAACCCTAATCTTGGTAAGAATCTGTTTGATCCTATGACTTGGCTAGAATTATTGTAAACTCATTGGTGTTTTCGTTTATTTGGTTAAACTCAGACGGTTTCGGTTGGATTAATTGGTTATACGGAGCCGGAGCTAAGTGAATTTACCTATGTGCCTCCGTGTGTGTCATCGAGTCTGGAATGTGTTGAGATGAAAAATCTGACAATTGAGGAAGAGACATGGAAGAAGCTGGCGAGGTATTTTCTTGAGAACTCGGCTCTTCTCAAGAAACTCATTCTGCGTTTCAAAGGTTCTGCTATCTCCAAACAAGATTCAGATATCTTCAGAGGGCTTCTTACATTCACAAACCCTTCTCGCAGTTGCCAAATCTTCATCTGTTGACAAATGTCAATGAAGATCAGTGTAAGGAATCTTTTGTTCTTGAAACATTGCTATTAGGCTTGCCATTTTTATAGACATGGTCGTGGATTTTGGCTTTTGGATTTGGTTGATGTTTGGTTTGTTCTGTTTTTGTGTTTGAGTTACTCATTAAATGTTGGGTTTGTTTTGAGACTTCTGGTTGTGTTTGAATATTTTGTTTTGATAAAGTGTGTTTGAATATTCGAGCAACAGGCTTTTTTTTTCTCTTTCCTTTTACCTTTCTGTTTCGTTCATCACAATTACATAACTAACTCTCGATGATTAGAGTCAAAGTTAAGTGTTGCAAAGAGATGAGTCATAACTACATAACTAGTTTAACTTAACTCTCTGATGGAGTTAAACTAGTGTTTTTTTATTTATCAAACCATCCCTTGTCTCTTGGTTATTATAATTTTATCAATAGTTTATGAAGATATAACTGATAATGATCATACTTTTCTGTCATTATGATAGCTTGTGATGATCATTGTTTATCCATATGATTCAGAGCCTTGTAAGTGAAGCAAAACCTGAAAGTTGTTAGGCTTGTATAATTTAATAGCCTAGAACCAAAAACTATCTTTGAAAGTAAAGTTAGGTGAGGATTTGTAAACCAAAGCTTATCTGATAGAGGTCAAATAGGCTTTTAAAATCCATAAATAATCATTTGCAATTTGTTTAATGGTCTGATTAGTGGCAATCATGTGTCTAGTATTGCGAAAGTTTGGCTTAGCACATCCCACGTGGAAATGAGTCTACCTTAATGGATAAACTTTGCTCCAAACAATAAGAAAACAAATGAAAAAGTAACAATCAAATGGATCTGAGAGAAGTGGACCATGGACCAATCCAAATTACTTATTTATTATTGCCTTTCGTGCAAAGTCATTGTATGGTCTATTTTCTTTGTTTTGGAGAAAGACATTGTTAATTTCTTATAAACTTTCTCTGCGATTAGCTATTTTTTCTCTATAAGTTGTAGCTCTGGATTAAGAACAGCTACAAAGTTCCGTTTGCACTTTCTTGCACTTTTCATCAAAGTTCGAAATTTATTTCCTTAAGCTATATACGTTGCACCATTCCATGATCTTGAATAAAAATGGGGGACAAGAAGCAAAGTGCCAAATTTATTCGCTCGTTGCCAGCTCACGTGACATAGACCATCTCTTCGAAAGTCACGTGACAACTGATACGTGGCATCAAAATATTCGGTGTAGAAAAAGTGCTTCTAAAGATTCTCATGGATATCTCTTCCTACCCAAGATCTAACGGTAGAAAACATCCTCGATCATCATTAACGGCTGATGATGCGGATAAACGACGTCGTCTCAAGCTTAATACTAGATCCTCTTAATTAGTTCGACATAAATTAGTTGAGATTTTATATTTTCTTTTAAATTTCTTTTGCGTTTTGTTTTTAAATTTACTCCCACTAAGCGATCACTCTCCACGTGTACTCCTTCCTTCTTATCGTTATTTTTTCTCAAAATCTCGCCATTATATATCGTAATTAAAAATATCTGCGTTAATTCACGAGAACCACATTGCTTTCGACCGAGATAAGTGCCAAGTGCCACGTCAGAATCTGTCCTTATCCGTGAGATGCTAGCCTCACTTACCTGTGTCACAAAAACCCTGAAAAAGTTGATCTGATTTCGAAATCAACGGTGGATATTCGCTCGTGACGCGGTGATCCATGCGTCAAAATATCTCGTACGCGCTTATTATAGTTTTAACCGTACGGCAATTGTGGATAGAGTAAGATTTTCTTAACTTAACCATAGTTAGAATTTGACCTCACCATGGTTAAAATAAAGCAGTTTATAATACGGAGACAAACCTATCTTCTTCTTCTAGAGAACTAAAGACACTTGCGAGTTGCGACAATGATGATCGGAGAAAATAACCGGCCACATCCAACGATCCACATTCCAATCGACGATCCAACGGCCACGATGTCTCCACCATTCTCCTCCGTCAACTTTAACGATTATCCACACTCTCCGTCACCGTACCTCGACTCCTTCGCTTCTCTCTTCCGCTACCTCCCCTCCAACGAGTTCGCGAACGATTCCGACTCATCAAGCGAAGACGAGTCGCTCTCCGACTCGTTTGCATGCGACGAGTTTCGAATGTACGAGTTCAAGGTGCGGCGATGCTCGCGCGGTCGATCTCACGACTGGACGGAGTGTCCGTTTGCGCATCCCGGAGAGAAAGCTCGGAGACGCGATCCGAGGAAGTTTCACTACTCAGGCACGGCTTGTCCTGAGTTTCGCAAAGGAAGTTGTAGAAGAGGAGACTCGTGCGAGTTCGCTCATGGTGTGTTCGAGTGTTGGCTTCATCCCGCTCGTTATCGTACCCAGCCGTGTAAAGATGGGACGAGTTGCCGGAGAAAAATCTGTTTCTTCGCTCATACGCCGGAGCAGTTACGTCTATTAGAGCCAGATCTCGGATTCTCTTCGATGCGTAACCGATACGAGTCTCATTTGTCGAAATCAGTAGCAGCTACTTCTCCGACTTCGATTCTGATCTCTCCTCCGTTTTCTCCACCGTCGGAGTCTCCGCCGCTTTCTCCGAGTACCGGTGAACTCATTGCGTCTATGCGAAAAATGCAATTGAACGGAGGTTCATGGAGCTCGCCTATGAGATCCAGCCTCGGGTTACAGTTTTCGTCTTCTTTGAATCCGAACCAGGGACGGACGTGGCCGGTATTGAGAGAGTTCGAGATCTGGGACAATGGAGGTGAAGAGAATCCGGCGATGGAAGTGGTGGAATCTGGGAAAGAGCTTAGGGCGAGTATGTACGCGAGACTCAGCAGGGAAAACTCACTCGGTTGAGTCGACTCGCTCCGATTTGTGTTTTTTGTGTGAATATGGAGATTTTCGGTGTGTAGATAAAGTGAATGCTACAACGATGATGATGATGATGAAGAAAACGAGTTGAGAAAAAAAAGGATAAAAAGTATTGTAAAGCGAAGAAGGATGATGATGAGAGAGCATCTTTCTGGGTTTTCTGCAAATTTTTTAGTCAAGTTTTTTGTAACATTTTCCGATTTCGTATTTTTTTCTGATTTGATTTACCGTCGGGTTTATTTTGTTGTGTAGTAATGTAACCTTATCATTGTAATTACTTATCAAATTGTATTTGGATTTTATCTTTGTTGCAGAAAGAATATTCAAGTATCAAGTTGCTGCTTCGGTACTTTCAATATTCGTTTGCTGAAAATAGCCATTGAGAGACTAAAGATGTTATGGTAGTGTAAAGTAAGCGGTTTTTCTGTTTTCAACTACTGGTGGTATGTATCAGTGTCTGAAAACGCGTTCACTAAACAGTCAGTCTGACTGGTCTGACTGTATGAGTAATGATCTAGACTGTCGGAAACTGTGTAGTGAAGAAAAGAGGAGACAAAACTTGCTGATTTCAGATTTTGCATATTGTTTCATCAAAACAATAACGTCCCGATTTCGAAAATTTAAAGGGTGTTTTCAGTATTATAGAGGAAGAGACGAATGATGTCATTATAGATGTAACCTTTTTTATTGGAGAAATGGACTCTTTCGGGTCATACCGAACCATGGAGTTTCCAAGTTTAAAGAGAGTTTGTCACAACTGTTTTGGTAAAGGGGGAATGAGACAGATTACAAAGAACCATCATCTCCATTCTCCTTCAATAGTCTATCATTCTTCCTCTCAGTATAGCCTCCGCTTTGCGCACTTCCTTCACCGGTCCAATCACAAACACCTGCACAATACACAACATTACAATTATTGCTATACATTGGTACTACGTTAGAGATTTTGCACCCAATGAACTAAGAGTAAGACTAACCTTGTCAGGTGGACCTTTTGCCCCTCCAATTAGAATTTCCGCGCTGCAAGACAAAAAAAGAACATAGCTCGAGTTATAATACATGCCAGATATCTCGTTGGCAATACTACTACAACAGGAAGGAAATGGGTTTATACTTGCAAGCTTCCTTGATGGCGAGGATTGATGCTCCTTTCCTTCCAATCACACGTCCCATCTTTCCTGGTGGAACATCAAGCACTGACAGGATCTCTTCTTCAGGACATTCATCTCCTAACTTCAGGTTATCTGCAACAGGTTAAAAGTTCCAACTACAATCAGTAAACCAAATTGAAGCTAACCTCACACGGTCTTTTTATCTTTCTGCCCTGAACAAATCATAATTAAACTCTTACTGTATGCACAAACCTGGAATTTGAGGGACGGCGGGCCAATCAGCAAAGTCAGCATCGTTCATGCAGCAGAGACACCGACAGTACAAAGCACCACGCACTGCAAGATGCCACAACGACCGCTGATTCAGTATCCCCATCATTTTGTGGTAGAGATACAGAAGGAAGCGGACATCATCGGCAGCTGCGCGGATCATGAGCTCACTCATCGGCCTGTACGTCCAAAACTTTGGGTCCTGAGATTTGCAAAGATTTAAGGAAACACAAAACAACTCATTATCCATGTGAACTTAAAACTCTAGCAACAAACTTAGTAGAAATTTAATGAACCTGTCGCATCATCACACGAACTTCTTCCTTCTCTTCATACGATATCCCTAAACCGAATAAAAAATTGTCAAGTGATTAGTTACACCAAAACGTGGTAGGCAAAGTGTCAATATGGTCATAAAAAAGTACCGCAGTAACGTGGATCAGCAAGGAGAGAAACAAACGATATGTAATCATCCAGAGGTCTTCTCCTGCCTTCTTGTTCCTCTATCAGAGAGTACGCAATCTGTAGATCCGAAAATTGTATTAAAAAATCACTAAACCAGGAACGGGAACTAGACTAGGCAATCTCACACAGAAAACGAACCTGAGTGTCCACAACATTGTGCAACCTGATCCCAAACTGGAAGTATAACGCCTGTAGTACAAAAACAACCAAGTCATGTTGTGACGAACTGTAAATATGTACTGAGCCGCAATAACAAGTCAGCAAAAAAGTTCAGACACCTCACTGTCACGTTTGCAATCGTGAATGACTTTTGTGATGTAAGTAGACTCGAGCGCAGGCTTACAAGCTTTCATAAGCACCTCTCCACCTTCGATGATATCAACCAAGTATATCGCATTCGAGAATGCAATCTGCCAAGACAGGATCATCAATAAGACATAAAGAGAAAACAGCAATCTAAAATCTAAAATCACACAAACAAAGGTTTCACCTGCATGATACAAAGTTTGCCATGTCGACAGAGGTCAACACCTTCACAGTCGAAACCAATGACCAATTTCTTTTCAGGGGAAGGGTTTAAGAAGTCAGCCGGAAGTTGCAAAGGCTCCGTCACTATGTGAATCGGAACCGGTGGCTCATTAGCTTCTTGTGTCAGTGACCTTCCTCCTGCAGAGTCAAATCCAAAGAATGTAAGACATGAGAACAATACCAATACTTGCATAATCAAATTACAAACAAATTTTCTGAATACTATACAGTTACATATATAATGATCTAATCCAACTCATACATTCATCATCATTCGTATAGATCAAATTATACTGAAAACTAGTAGTGATCTTCTGATCAAAATACAAACCGAATTTGCTCATAATCTAAGCTGCAAACAGAAATTCACTCTAATGATCTAATACAACTCATACACTCATCATTCCGCTTAAATCTTGCCAGTTCATAGTCTATACATATCAAAACAGAAATCAACGAATAATTCTCGCTCGTGTGAAGAAAGCAATAACGAAACATTTTGAAATTTGACAACTCTACGCCAAGGAAACGAGAGAAAATAGATGGCGAAACCCACATTTCGATCAGAAACGAAGTAGTTTACCAATCAATTAATCAACGGCGAAAACCACAAAACTACTTGGCGACTAGCAGATCTAAATACAGAGAAATCGAAACATCGATCAAAAACGAGGATCACAGAGGAAGAAAAAGCAGAGAACGAATGAAATGATAATTTAGTTGCGAAACTTTGGTGGGATGATTCCAAAGTGGATAAGAATCCGAAAACTAAGGGATAGAGAAAGAGGAAATTGAGGCACCTGGCTCAGGAGGGATCGGGACGTGAGTTCGCTGAGTTGGAGAAGACGACGCCATTTCGATCACAGCATCGAAGCAGCTCACAACTCGTTTTTGTTGAGGGAGAGAGAGTGTCCAGATTCACCAAACTATTGATGGGTTTATTGAAAAAATCGAAACGACACTATTTGGGCTGGGCTTTATACAAAGCCCAACTAAGAAATCAGCCCTTTTGATAAATCCGAGGGGTAAAATACAGTAATACTCTTTCCTTTTCTCTAAATAACAAGAGAATTTTGACCCAAAATTTCCTAAATTCTTTATAACCGAAATTTAGGTACTGACAAAATAACAATATTTAAATTTTCTTGTTATAAAATCTAAGCTTGATGTAACATGCAAGAAAAGAAACAAAAAAAAAGTAGAGAAACTAATGTGGAAGATGAGTTTTTAAAAGATTTCTTAGCTTTTCAAGTTGTTCAGAGAAAAAAAAAGAAGATTTCTTAACTTTCTAGGACACTTTTTCTTATTACAAACGGGTCCACGTCATCACGCACTTTCCGGTGGTGAAAATTTCTTAAATGGATTTTTAAAAAATCCGTATCTCCGAAGGATCTTCTTCTTCTATATCTTGTTGGGCCCCATTTTCCTATCTCTTTTTCCCCTTTCCTCTATCTCTTTCCACAAGTCATCTCCTTCCTCCTCCGAATCTTGTTCCTTTGCTCTGTGTCTTAACATCTCTACTTGATTCCTCTTCAAGCTTCACCATTTCTGTTCTCCTAGTAGATTTTCCCACCTGAAACTAGCTTTTGACCCGACTCGACCTCATCCTAGTCTTCCTTCCCTGGAAAAAAAAAGCTTCGATTTTTCGTATCTAGGTCTCTGCTAGTTTCTGGGTTTAGCTCTTGGAATTCCGCTAAGCTTGGTGTGATCTCTCTTTTGTCGGATTTCGATTCCATTTTCTTTGATTCGCGAGATCTATAGTCGTCGGTGGATAAGTAGTTGGAGCTGGTTTATGTGAAATTCAGTTGATTGGTGTGTTGTTCTCGCAGTTTTAGGTTCAATTTTTGGGAGATTTGAGGGTTTTGTGTGACTTTTTAAGGGGGGTTTTGAGAAATTTGAAAGCAAGGACTTTTGATGAAGAGAGGTAAAGATGAGGAGAAGATACTTGAACCGATGTTTCCTCGTCTTCATGTGAACGATGCAGACAAAGGAGGACCTAGAGCTCCTCCAAGAAACAAAATGGCTCTCTATGAGCAACTCAGCATCCCTTCTCAGAGGTTTAGCAATGATCATGGAACGTTGTCTCTTAATTCCCGTAGTAACACTACTACTCTGGTTCCTCATGGATCATCTAGCCAGGTACTGTTTGAGTTTAGTGTAGTTTTATGGGTTTGTAGTTGTGGAAACTGATGTTATATAGGTTATTAGAGAGTAAGAGTTGATTTATCAATGTTCTTGCTTGTAATATCTTCTTTTGTTTATGGATTGATCAATGTTCTTGCTTGTTCTTATTAGTTTTATCTTTAAAAGCTAACTTTCTTGTTCTGCCAATCAATTTCAATAGAAGATTTTGATTTTCAAGGCATTTAAGTTGGTCTTTGCTATAGAATTTTGATGGTTTAGCAATAGTTTTTAGTTTCTCTTATTGTCCTGAAGTTTCATAAAAATGCTTCTCCTTATTGGCCTGACCATTCTTAGCTATCACAAGTCTTGTTGCTGTATTCTGAAATAATCCTTTTCCACTCTCTTTTTTTTTTTTCAGCCTTGTGGCGTGGAAAGAAACTTAGCTACACATCATCTCGATTCCGCAGCTGCAGTCCAGTCAACTGAGAAGTTTGTCTCCCAAATGTCCTTCATGGAAAATGTGAGATCTGTAAGACAGCATGGTCAGAGGAAAACCGTGAGAGAGGAAGATGATTTTGCAGTTCCTGTATATATCAACTCGAGAAGATTTCAGTCTCATGTTAGAGCCAAGAGTGGCATTGTGAAGGAAAAACATGCCACATTGGTTAGAGACCAGGTCAAGGGGAACGCAAAGACAGGTGGCTCTGTAAACTCTGTAGATTTATCAGCTACAGAGGAAATGGATCTTGAAAAGTCAGCATCGAGTTGTGACAGAGTAAATGATTGCAATGCTTCCTTGAGACAAGAGTCTAGAAATAGGTTGGACGGAGATGGTAGTGAAACTCAAGCGATGATGGACACTGATAATGGAGTTGAGTCTCACTTGGCAACGGAAAGTCATTCAGAAGAGGGTCATGGCAGTCCTAATGACGTGGATAATGGTCGTGAAAACTGCAGAAGCAGAGGGTTCGCCTCTATGCAGCAGATAGATGAAGAAGCAAGTGGTGATGTATCTGACGATTCAATTGTGGATTCTATGTCCGGCATAGATGTCTCTCCTGATGACGTTGTGGGAGTGTTAGGTCAAAAACGTTTCTGGAGAGCAAGGAAAGCTATTGCCAAGTAAGCTCACTAGATTTCAGTTATATCTTTCTCTCTTGACATCTGATTTCAGTTAATGTGGTTATTATTTTCTATCCATCTCTTCTTTGATACCGACATTTGGTGGTACTTGCAGCATTGTTCTCTAAGCTTTCCTCTGTTGTTTTTCCTATTTTATGGAGAACTGTGGTTTTCACCATCACCAAATTTCTAGGATATGTTCTTTTAGTTTCTTTTTAATGCTTAGTGGTGCAAAGGATTGCTGACATAGATTTCGGGTTTTTCGCTTGAGAAGTTATGATACTATAGGTGAGAGGCCCCTTTCCTCCCAAAATGGTCCTGTTACATGTTAGTTAAAGAGAGCCCTCGGTAACATATTAACGCTGTTAACACATTGGATCATGTTAGCAGGGGGTGACATTCTCTCTGTTGATGTACATTGTGCAAGGTGCCTGCCGAGACAGTTCATGGCTTTATACTGTGTCTTCTTTGCATCTACTTGTTGGAACATGTCCCTGTCTCGGTTTGGTATTGCTTTTATTCTGCACTGTCGTCATGGGCATTTTCTTTTCTTGTCATTCAAGGGGTTGAACCAGGTAGGATATCTAAATTCTAGTTACCATACACATAAAGCTAGTTCTAGGTATCCTCTTGAATGACGAGAAAGATATGGTGATAAGCTGCGGTAAGCTAGATATCAGTAAACCCACCATCCCTTGCATTTTGTGTTTTCAATTTTCTTTTTCCTTTTCTTTTGGTGAAAGTTTTTCTGATTATTTATGGTTTTGTTGTGTTCTTGGATGCATTAATTTGCTTTTCCATCGTTGTTGATTTGAGTTATTGTCTTCTTATGGGTCGTCTTCTTGATGTGACTTTGTTTCTCCTTACAGTCAACAGAGAGTATTTGCTGTTCAACTATTTGAGTTGCACAGACTGATCAAGGTAAACTCATTCTCCTATGATTCTATCAATATGTGTGTTGTTTTAGGGCTGAATCAAACGTATTCAACTGTACATTGTTTTCGTAATAATCAGGTGCAGAGACTCATTGCTGCATCACCGGATGTCTTGCTCGATGACATCAGTTACCTTGGAAAAGTTGCTGCTAAAAGCTATCCAGTCATTCCATCAGAATTCATGTTAAAGCCACCACTACCACAGATTGTCAAACACAGAAGCCACTCGGAGAAAACGGACCAACACAAAATGGAACACTCAGCCGAGAACGTAGTTGGGAAGTTGCCAAACCAAGCTCATCATCAACCTTCCAGCTACAACATGCCGCCTTATCTGAGCAACTCACCCTCTTCACAAACTGTAAACGGATGTTACTATCCTCCTCAGCCTCCTCCTCCTCCTTCAGGTGGAAATCAGCAATGGTTGATCCCTGTAATGTCTCCTTCCGAAGGACTTATATACAAGCCTCACCCAGGTATGGGACAGACCGGGCCGCCAGGGCCAGTCTATGGAGGATATTATGGTCATTTTATGCCTGCACCTATGGTTATGGGTGGTTACATGGGCGGTGGTGGTCCGCCTCAGTTTCAACCGGGCGCTGGATTCCCATCTCCGGGTAACGGTTACTTCCCTCAATATGGAGTCATGCCCACAATGATGAACCCTTACGGCTCAAGCCAACAACAGCAACAACAACAGCAGCAACAACAACAACAACAACAGCAAATGAATCAGTTTGTGCATTCCGGAAACCTACACAACAATGCATCGGCTTTGAACACTCAACAACAGAGCTCAGTTAATGAAGCGGCTCCGCCGCAGCAACAGCCGACGAAGTCTTACCCTCGTGTTAGAAAGAGTAGGCAAGGTAGCACAGGAAGCAGTCCAAGCGGTCCAGAGGGAGTGATCTCGAGTAGCAAGTCTTTTAGGCCATTCTCAGCGGTTGATGAGGAGGACAACAACAACAACGCACCTGAGCAAATGATGACGACGACCACAACGACAACAAGAACAACTGTTACTCAGACGACAAGAGATGGAGGAGGAGTGACGAGAGTGATCAAGGTGGTTCCTCACAATGCGAAGCTTGCTAGTGAGAACGCTGCCAGGATCTTCCGGTCAATACAAGAAGAACGTAAAAACAACGACGCCTACTCTAATAACTCTTAAGCCTCTCTCTTTTCATTATCCTTTTTCGGAAAATTGTGTTTGCGACTCGATATGTATCTTGAAACGTAGAACATTGTGATATATATGTACTCATGTAAACGTATGATATAGTTGTCACCACTCATTTATGTATTGTCTGTCTTTTAAGGCTCATGAACACATACGTTTATATCCAAGAAAACTACTTACAACCTCTGTTTCTTTAATCTTTGAGACTTGATACCAAGAACATTAAGCACAACCATATTTACATTAACTTTGTGTACATAGGAAGAGATGCATTTGGAAGTAGACACTGGTAATAAGATTTACACAGAGATGTTATTGATTATCTATCATCATAATTGGAGAGGATCAAGCACTGAATCCGCGGTGAAGGGAGCTCCAAGGACCGGTCGGGATGGTGGGACAAGCTTGCATAGCTGCCTCCTCCATCTGCTCGACCTGAATCCCTGCGTTGCAAATGTTTGCAATGGACCTCATGTGCTTGATTCCGTACTGAGACAATGATCCACAGTGCCTCTCAAAAGCTCTCACCTACACCAACCACATGAAGGAGAAGAAGAACATGTGATCATCATTAGCAAAAGAAAGTGAGATTTGTTTTCTACCATATTATCATTAAGTATTTTGTTTCTACCAGAGTTTTAAGGCAGTCCCAATCGTCGACAAGCGGTTTTCCGGAAGACCGGACTCTGTTTAGTACTGCAGGACCTTCTGACATTCCAAACAAGATTTTCCCAATTAACATAACGCTATTGTCTACATGAAGTCTATGTGACATTGCTTCAAGAACTTGCTTCTGAGCTTCGAGTTTTCTTGCAGAACCTTCCGGTGCCTTTCGATACTACAATGGTAAACAATACTTTTACAGATTAAGCAATCAGATGCACTATCAAAATCTACAGAGAGAGAGTAAGACAAACCTTATCCCAGAAATGAACAAGATCCGCGTCACGCTGGTTTGTAAATCTTGAAGGTATCTTCAGTGAGTTCTCATACACAAAGGTGTAGTTTTCATTTGCCGGGTTTGTTCCCATGTAAAGGACAAGCTTCTCCTTGCTGAGTCCGACATCCCCAAACTCCATAACATGAGAACCAGAACCCAAACCAGAGCCCGCGGTCCGCTTTTTCACCTGAAAATATTACATCACTTACAATCTCAATGAACAATCGCTCACATGCATACAAAAAAAAAGCTTGAAGCTTACCAGTTCGTATTGTTGGTGCAAACTCTCTGTTTGTAAATTGTGTTTATCACTGTCCATTTGAAAAACAAAATGTATAAGAAACAAGATATAAAGTTACTGATCAATCAAGAACAGTTCTTTAGCATTACCTATCTTCCATCCAAGAAACACTGTATAAGTCACCCAAACAAGTCTCATACTCGGATGGTGGACTCAGATCTTCACCAGGACAGTAAGTACCCCAGCTGCTTTCTTCTGCGTTCGCTGCAGTCGTCGCGTAAATGTTTAAACCTTCAGGTAAAAGACCTTCAAAAATACTTCCAGATTCACAAGCCTCTAAATAAAACACCTGCAAGAAAAAAAAAAATAGTCAAGCCAAATCACAAGGTAGTAGATAAACAAAGAGATCATTTCAGAAGATTCATTGTTTACCAAACTCTTATACGTTCCAGATGCATGTTTTTTCTTCAAGACATCATTGAGATCGTTTGCATATAGGTATGGAGAAGTTGGCATCCCTGAAATTAAACATAGAGACTAAATCATTCAAAATTTTGTTCAAGAACAAGAAAGAAAGCTTCAAGTTTCTTGGTTTTAACTTTTTACTCACCGAGCACGCCAGGGCCACCGTGATCGCTATAGTATATGAAGATATGATCGTTTGGACCGCTATCTACAACCTTCCCACTTCCTCCTTTAAGAGCCGTTTTATTTCCAAGAATCACAGCAAACAAATTACTAACGTTAACATCATCTCCAGTGTAATCCTGCCACATGCAAACCACAAAATCACAAAGACGTTCTATGGATAATCAAATGGATCAAAACCGCAGCTAAAAAGTCGACACAAAGTAAAACCTTGGGGACTCCATTGTAGACATTTTCTCCTTTAGGACTGTTGATAATGATTCCAGGCCTTGGATTCTCTTTGTTCTTTGCAATGTCATCATACATGAACACCACAATATTCTCCTCTTTCAATCCACCTTTCTTCAGAAGCTGATAAGCATGACAAACATCCGCCTGAAATTTTTTAAAAACTCATTAGTCTCTACTAAATTAAAAACTTAGGCACATGTACAAACAAACAACTAGCAAAGACCATATAAACAAACATTTATCAGCTCAAAGCTTAGGAATTTTCTTTTATGAAAACCTTGCCGCAAGTATTGAATATTATGCAATGATTGACACTACAAGCAAACGTATATCTAAAATCCAACCTAAAAAGTCCGGGGCCAAACTCGGAGTTTCAGTTATCATCAAGAGAGAAGCTCGTCGATACCTGATGCCTGTAGTTCCAGTATCCGCTCGATCCGGCGACGAGAACAGCCCACTTAGTACCGGCGGAAGCATCATCATCTCCGTCGTTCTCAGTCGGACGAAAGAATTTAGAAGCTTGAGAAGGTAGTCTGATGACGTCACCAGAAACAAAGACTAGCGAGAGGAGGAGGGAGAGAAGAGAAACGGTGACGGTGACGGTGAGGTGTGACATGTTTTGGTATTATTCTCCGGCGAAAGTGGTGACATGGATTAGAATCTTTGGATTGGGGGCCTACTATTTATAGAAATAAATGTTCAATGAATCCTTCTTGTTTGCAAAGTAACGTGTGCCCTAATTACTTTGCTTAGATAAACACGCAAGAAGAAAAAGTTGTTCTGTTTTGTAATATCATCTTTTTATAATTTATCATCAATTCATACGTTAAAGCAAAAGTCACGAGAAACATAAAATTGATAATTTTATTGAACAAATAAATGAGTTTGGTTTAGACCGTCTGTAATTCTGAGTCGTTTGATTTGGATAATTCAGGATTCAAAATAAAGATTTATGTTTTTCTTTTCTTTTCCTTCGCCAAAGCTTCATCCTTGTGTTACCGGTTTGTGAATTGAACCGATTCAAAATGAATTTAAAACCAGGGCTTTTCAGGGTTTATGACTTTATGTTGAGCTTATTTCTTTCTGTTGGACCTTTATTAGCCTTAGTTTTGTTCTTCTAACATCTGTTTATTACCTCGATTCATAAGTGCATTTTTCAGTGAAGTGGCCACCATATATCAGTAATCTAACTCCAACAAAATATGGAACCTAAGGATATGATACCACTTCACTGAGACGATTTAAGATTATAGCCAGATTAAAATAGCACGTACATTCATATATACAATGTAAGGAGAAACCAAAGACACATAAATCCAATTCCAAAAAAAAGATGATAGAGTCATCACGAACTCACTGATGTATCAAATGCTTTGAGCACATAGAAACACAAACAAACACAACTCTATGTGCAAACACTAACGAACCTAAAATGATAATGTACGTGCATGATCGATCAATAATTTCCTATTTGCTCTGCTTTTGCTTCCACTATCATTATGTGACTACACCAAGTAAAGCAAACAGAACATATTAAAATCGACCCTACGACAAAACGCTGTGTTTTGGCTAATTAACAGAAAATTTCTGATTACCAGCGACTCGGGGACGAGCTTCAGTGTCGTGTGCGCTCCTCCGATTGGTCACTCTACAAGCACATTGATCTCGCTAAAGGTCTCTTCGATCAATCACTGTCGCTGCTGACTGCTGTTTAAACCAGGGTTTATGTTGGGCTTGTTTCTTTTTGTTGGACCTTTATTAGCCTTAGCTTTTTGTATTTTATAAAAGTCCAAATGGAAATCACAAGAACCAAAACGAAAACCGAACCAGCTGCTATTTCAAAATTCAGAAAAACGCGACGAGCGTGGATCGAACACGCGGCACTGGAGAATACATCTCGAAGGATAAGTCCCCACGCTCTATCAACTGAGCTATCGCCGTTTGATGAAAATATATGACCATATGTCTTTTATATTTACTATCTATAAATTAATACATAACACGGATCATCGAACACGCCACCTTCGAAGAAACGAAGTTACGAGGAACAAAATATACAATAGCTTCGTTACTATTAAACACAAACAGCTTCATACTCCAACTTTTTTTTTTTTGTCTTTTTGTAACATTTTTCTTAACAATCGAAAACATTATGTACAGCTTCATAACTCTTAAAACTCCACTGATTCAAAAATCTATACCCTCGGACATTTTAGGACAACGTGATCGGAGATAGTTGTGAAACAGTTTTTTCTTCTAACATCTGTTTATTCCATCGATTCATATGTGCATCATATATCTAACATTCTAACTCCAACAAAATATGGAACCTAAGGAATTAGAGATATGATACAACTTCAGTGAGACCTTTTCATTCGTCTCTAAGATTATAGCCAGATTAAAAAAATCAATTCCTAGGAATTTGAAAATTATCAGTAAATAGCACGTATGTAAGGAGAAACCAAAGACGCATATATAGATCCAATTCCAAAAAAGATGATAGAGCCATCACGAACTCACTGGTGTATCGAATGCTTTGAAATTGAACACATAAAAACATAACTCGTAACACTAACGAACTTAAAATGATAATGTAGGAGAATGATCGATCATAAATATTCTATTTGCTCTGCTTTTGCTTCCACTATCATATCATTATGTGACTTCACCAAAATAATGAAGCAAACAACACATTAAAATTTTACTTGAAAAGGGAAGGACCCACTACGACAAAACGCTGCGTTTTGGGCTCATTGTGTTGTTCCACGGCACTCTTCTCTCTCTAGTTTCGGGTTTCTCGATTTTTCTTCGCCACGATTTCTGAATTAGCAGCAATGTCGTGTACGCATGATCACGACTGCGAGGATCACGAGTGCTCCTCCGATTGGTCACTCTACAAGCACATTGATCTCTCCAAGGTCTCTCTCTCATTTCCCCTACGATGGATCACTTTCGCTGCTGTTTACTTTTACCTCTTCCGATTTTTGCTCAGATGATCTTTAAATCTTCAATTCTCGTGTTCAATCTGTCGTTAGGGATTTTCAGTTCTATATTAACGAATCCGAAACAAATTTTAATTTCAATCTGATCTTCCGAATTTTTTCGACTCGCTGGAGCTGTGAGTTATTTCGATAACTATTTGGGATTCTGGGGTTTATGAGGAATTTATGTAATTTACTTAATAATAAGATGATCAAGTCCTCAAATTTCTTAATTTAGGGTTTTCCAGATTTGGCATACAAAATCGCACGGGTTTGTTTAGTTAGTAGGCTTTGTTGTTCTTATGGTATTTCTTTGAAAAATGAATGAGTTTTGTATGCTTTGCAAGATTAGTTTATAAGTATGAGTTGTTCTCAGGTGACTGCTCTGAACGAGGCTGTTTCCGGAAGTGTCAAATCGGTCTTCAAAGCGTGGGAACAGCGATTACAATCTTCTGAGGTACTTTCAATTTTCACTGATAACTTATCTTTTATGACTCCAATACCTTAAAAGATTGAGGTAACATATTTTCATGAAGCGAAATGGTATTTTGTTTTTACTTACAGGAGCATTTGGAGAGCAATGAGGGAGACCCTGAATTGCTTGTCTTTGTACCGTATGTCATAATTTTTTATTTCTGTTCCTCTTCAAACTAGCATTGTTTTTTTCACAGGACACCTTGATTTCTGAATCATTCAACTTCCGACCTGTGACTTCAAGTCTCTACTATATTAGTTTGCTGTTAGAAATTTAGTGACTTCCGATCATTCAGTTGAAAGGGATCTTGGGAGAATTAGTTACAGGTCATGTTTACTTACTATGAAATTATAAGTTCTTCTGAATGGAACAACTCATGTTGTCATATGATTATCGTAGATTCACATCAGACGTGAAGATCAAGAGCATATCAGTTGTTGGTGGCCCCGATGGAACAAGTCCTTCTAAATTAAGAGTGTATGTCTACTACTCTATACAACCCTTCCTTTATGCATCTGTTGAAGAGTTCTGCATTCTGTTCCTTCATTTGGGATATTACAGAAAGACTGAAATCTGATTGTTGATTCAATAATAGGTTCTTGAATCGCGAAGGGATCGACTTCTCAGACGCTGCGAGTATGCAAGCCGTTCAGGTATTACCTTACGAGTATTATTACTTAACGAAATGCCAAATGACAATTGCACTAATGCAGAAACATTTGTGAGTTGTTTTGAAGGAATGGGAGTTAGCTGAAAATTTGCAAGGAGTCTTGGAATACCAGACAAAGTAATTATTCTCTACCATGTCTCGTTTCACTGTGTTGTAAATAGACTTTGCAGACTTATGTAATGAATGTTAACAAGTTGAGCATTATCCTTCACTTGAACTATATATGCTTTTGCTTCAACTAGTCAAAAGAGAGATATCTGATACAGTGAAAGTGCGGAATGTGATTAGGTATTCGAAGTTCCAGAGTGTTGGGAACATCACATTGCATTTTCCTGAGAGCTTTGGAGGTGACACAACTCAAATACGTTATATAGGGTTCAAAGGTGAAGCAACCAATGTAAGTTTGCATATTACTAATGCTGGTGCTATTGATACAGTATTGGTAGTTGGTTAAGTTTTTTTTACTCTTTGGTTTTTAACAGTTGAAAAGGGATGTTGTTGCGACAATCGTATATGAGATTAGACCAAATCCTTCAGACCATAAGTAAGCCTGGATCTCAACTAAATTACACCCTTTTGTTGTTGCATTTTATGAAGATCTTTGAACTGAAATTTCTTGCGTCTTTGATAGGACCAAGGCTGAGACTGGTGGAGGCTTTTCACAAGTTTGAGTGAAGACTGAAGACATTACTCACATAGTCATATTTCCTCCGAAACAAGCTTTGGCCTATATAATAAACAAACGAAATATGTAACGAATAAAAACTACGGAGATGTCTAGTGTGGTTGCTCTTCTATGAGATCTTACTTTTATGATGAGCTTTCTTGTATGTTTTATCACCTTTAGATTCGAAAGCAAACATTTGTTCAGTTTGTAAATGCAAAAGCGGAGGTTTCTAAACAACAGTTAAAATGCAAGTGAAAAACCACGAGACACTGATTTTAGCTAATTAACTTGCAAGACATTAGCCTAGCTTGTTAAAAGATCAATGAAGACGTGAAGTTTTAAAGGTCGAATAACTAATGGTCTTCTCTTTACGAAAATGTTTTGAAATCATTGACAAAAATCACATAAACCCCATCGAGGGTTTAAATTCGGATAGCACACTAAGAAGACACAGGGGACCAAACATAACATTAACCATTATCTCAAATATAAATAAAAAAGTTCAAAGAACTACAAACGTCAACCACAAACAGTAAAATATCCTCAAGAAAAATAAAAGAGAGCAAGGAAGCCTGTAATGTATAACAGCTGAAACTTACCATAACCATTATCAACTTTTCGGAGATGCCTTGGGCGGTCCAGCTGGTGGAGCACTCTGCAAAGCCGGCGTACCACCACCACCACCGGTGGCAGCAGTAGCTCCAGCAGACCCATCAGAAGAGTAGCCTCCTCCTGCAGCAGCTGGTGGGTATCCTCCATAAGACCCATATCCCTGTTGTGCTTGACCATACCCATAGCTCGGAGGTGGTCCATAACCGGACGCAGCTGGTTGAGGATACCCAGACTGACCACCATAGCTCCCAGGTGCACCCGGAGACTGCTGGTTCTGAGCATAAGCCGGTGGCTTTCCAGCCGGTGGTGGTGCTCCATATCCGGAACTGTAAGCTGTTGGTGGCTGGCTACTGTAACCAGCCTGAGAAGTCGGAGGAGCACCATACGCTGCCTGACCGGTACTACCTTGAGGAGTTGGCTGTTGACCAGTTGTACCATATCCAGCTTGTCCAGACTGAGCAGACGATGGTGGAGCGGTTTGAGATGCATCTTCCTCTTGGCTCGGATTAGCAGCGCTGCCATAACCACCTTGTTGCTGGTCATACCCAGTTTGACCGTATTGCTGTGAGGCGTTATAAGCTCCATACCCGTCTTGCTGGTATCCCTGACCAGCTGGGCCATAACCAGAAGCATGTTGGTAGTAAGCCCCATACCCTGTGGTGTCTGTTGGTGGGGCTGAGCTACCACCACTGTTTGGCTGCTGTGACTGTTGCTGACCGTAGTAATCATACTCACCTTGTGCGCCCTGCTGAGATGGTGGCGCAGCGGATTGATCCCAGGTCGAGGAGTAGCCAGCTTGAGATTGTTGAGGGTAACCATAGCCAGTTTGTTGACCGTACTGTGGTGGATATGCTCCTGGTTGCATGTAACCGTAGCCAGGTTGTTGTGCTGGAGGACCAGGTGGTGCCCAGCTTGATGGCGGGCGGGATTGGTAACCCTGTTGTGGATAGCCTCCACCCATTGAAGAGGATCTCATACGGTTCTGCATAAAACAAACCAATTATATAAGCACAGGTCACTTTTTCCGGGGCAATAGAAAGACTACACGGCATAAAAACACATGAACAGAGAGGCAGAGACATAAAAAGCAGACAGTAAAAGACTAGATTGAGAGAGGGAGAGACATATAAAGCAGACAAGATTGAGAGAGGCATACAAAGGTTACTGTCATTTACCAATACATGTCCAAATAGGATCAACCAAGATCATATCATCATATTCTATAATGGTAATGGTGATGCCTACATACCGTACTGATTGGTGAAATTATTGGGTTACTCCTGCAGAAGGCCATCCCTTTCCCTATCCGAGATAAAATAGGTGCAAGAAAAACCACGAATATACTATAGAAGCTTTTGCAGATAAAAGCAACATATATATACATGGAACCTATTTTCTCGAACGATAAGTTTCATAGCAAAATAATCTAATATCAACTAAAGAGTGATGTATTCAGGAATACTCAAGGAAACATAATAGCAGACTCTAGCTGAGGTATGCTCTCTCTGGAGTAAAACTAGGGGTGAAGGGTTAAATTAGAAACGAATCCAGGCAAACAAAAAAGGGCAGAGAAGAAAAACAGTTACTAGGTTAGCAAAATATCGACACAAGAAAACGGCCAATAGGTCTTATGTCAATCACCCACCTTTGGTGATACCTGATGATCGAAATTAGAAGCAGAAGCAGAACGGAAGTGACTTTGGCAGAAAAACAATGGTTCACAATGTAACACAGAATATTGCATTTATTGTATAAAACTTAAACCCCAAAATCATAAAATATAAACAGTTAAGAAATACGATCAGAACAGATTGGTCTGAAACCATTCAGCAACCTCAAAAAGGCTACCCAAACCAGTGCAAGGATCAGCCAGCTTCAATGTGACCAGAAGCTATGAAACATAGATTTCCGCATATACTCCATAAACATAGACAACATAATTCTCTAATAGGAAAAGTGAATATGCTACAGATAATTATCGGTGACAATAGCAGTCATAAGGAACAATGCTAAAAACATTGTAAATTTGAATTATCGAGAAGGATGAAAAGTTAGTGGATGAAAAGACTGGTTAATAACGCCATATAAAGATAGTAACAGAAGCATGAGACTAGGTGAAGGAAGGTACTGGCAAAAACAGTGATCAAAGGAAGAAGAAGCAACATATAATTGCTCACAGCTTCAATAAAAATATTGCTCCAAGGAATATCAAGATGAAATATATATTTTGGAAGAAGTCAAGAAAATCAAAACATAAAGAACCTTTCCCTGCAATAAAGCATACGAATAGTATAGCTAATTATGAGCACAATGAGTACTTAGCAGCTTATCCCCACCTAGAATTATCATCTTCCCACTCTAGAATCAAATGGTAATCTGATTGTTCTGAATAAACCTAAAGCTGATGACAACTAGATGATGCAATCACAATACACAACACAATAATAATTTCAGGTAGAAAAAATAGACACTGCAGAAACCTGCCACAATCCACAACAATCAAACATACCTCGCCACTGATGATTTCATTAACTAATTGCTTAGCATGTTCAATCTGATCGTTGGTCCCGTCAATCTGCAAAGTTCTTTCAGTGCAAGGATCTCCAGGGGGCAAATGCAAAGGAATAACCTGCAAACAATTATCACCACATGGTTTTCAACATCACACCGTCTGGATACAAAACAGATGCCTTCTATATATTGTAGTTTCACAAACCTGAATTCGAGCTCCAGTCTTCGCTTGCATAGATTTAATCGTTTCACCTCCTTTACCAATCACCAAACCAACCTAGAGCAGTTTATGTGTCACATACAAAACATAGATTACACTAAACAGCTCAATCTCCAGAGCATCTAATACCTTATTGTTAGGAATTTTCATAGAAAACTGATCAGATCCTGGCTGTCCACCCATCCTACGAGAGCTTCCACCTGAACCAACAGTACCACCTGCCTCAGCCTGAACCAAAATCATTAGATCATCAGTAATCACTTTTAACCCCAACACTTAGTCATTATCGATCAACAAAGAGTGGTCTTACATCTTGAAGGACGTCACTGATCAACTGCTCGGCCTTTGCAATCTGGGCTGGTGTGCCAGTTAGATCAACAGTCCTCGTATTAGCACCAGGCTCTGCGTCCATATCTCGAGTAACCTGAATCTTAGCTCCTGACTCTTGCTGAAGATTCTTAATCGTTTCTCCACCTTTACCAATGATAACTCCGACTCTCATGTTTGGAATATCAATCTTCTTCGTAGTAGTCCCAGAGAAGCTACCATACGAAACAGGAATCGAAGATGGAGCCGTGTTCGACATCTGCTTACCCTCTAATTCATAAATCAGCAAGTATCAGTTTCAATCCAATTTCACAAACACGAGAAGTAGAGAGACGAAAAGGGAAGATTTGTTTACATACCCGAAGGATAAGAGCTAAACCCTTTGTCGCCGTAATCGTAAGAAGCACCATTGTCGACGCGAGGACGTTTCGCGTCAGCGCTGTTGAGGAGACGAGCAGCGATTTCCTGTGCTTTCTGCTTAGCCATCTGGATTTCGTCCATCGGAGGAGGGACGCTGTTGTAGGAAGACGGAGGAGCGGCTGCGGCGGTGAGATCAGGAGAAGCAGATGGGATCGGGCCGGAAGAGAAGCCGGTGGGTCTTCGGGTTGAAGGTGGAGGAGCGGTTTGCTCTTCGTATTTGCGTTTGTTGGAGTAAGCGTCGGAGGAGTATTGAGATTCGTCCGCCATGTTTGCTCAAGCTTTTTCGATAGAAACCCTAAGAGGCGGAGATAAGGAGACGAAAAAGAGTGAGAGGTATAAAAGAATACACAAGCGGCGTATATATATGCGGACAAAACCTTGGTATATATTCAGATATTTTTTCCTTTTTACGAAATAACAAAAACTATTACAAAAATAAAACTTTCATTTTTGGCCGACAACAAAAATAATATAAAATTTTGATGAAAAAAAAAAAGATATGCTGAAAAATTATAGTGCAAAATTATCCAAAAAAAAATAAAGTCAATGCATTTTCTCATCCGAAATATAACGTATACAATTGAATTGAGATTTCTGATTTCGAGAGTCTAATTGTGTAGCCACAAATTCGAAAAAAAATGTAGATGCGTGACATGTAGCGGTGAAGTGTTTTGTGGTATCATCTAAATGGATTGGGATGTTACATTAATATATGTAAGCTCTCAGATGAATCCATTGCTAATATTCTCTCTCTGGTTGTCCAAAGCTCAGAGACTTTGACAATGTATTTTTGTGGTTCATTTCAACCTCTTGATCTGAGTGAATCGCAAAGTTCAGGCCAGTGAAGATTGTTGATCGGCACATCCATTGTTTGAGATTGAGAGATTCTGACGGCCAATTAATGTAGTTTAGTGGATGTCTCCTCTATGACCGAAGCTAATCTTGCCATGAGCATTTACACGTTAGCCAATTCCTTTGAATGTTGGTTTTCTTCAAACCATGATGCCAACGATGCTAGCAAAAAAAATAGAATGTAGAGAGGCCTACTGTTGGGGAAACAAGTCTTGAGGTATGTTGCATCTCAATGTCTAATACAAGTATATCTACCATATATAATGAACCTCTTTATTTTTCTTGCATATAATAAGACCATGCAAACTATAATAACTGAGTAGGAACATTCATCATTCCAAGAACCATGTCTTTCATTTTTTTTTTTTTTTTTTTTTGAGCTAGCTAGTCTAATATTGTAGAATCGGGCAAAAAAGGAAAATGTGGAAATAAGTATTAGTTTGTTTGGATTTTTTTTGTTTAATGTTCTACAGGAGGAGGATCTTGACAGCTACATGGCTTCACAAGGCTTGAATACGGGTCAATGCTGGAGATCGGTATATTATATGAGGCCTCTCCTACGTCAAGGGAGATCTATTCGACGTTACGTTGTAATGATGCAACGCTGAAACTCCTTCTTTCGTTCATGGAATTGGTGCTGAGAAGCGCGAAGACTCTAAGTTAAGTTATTGTATCACAGTCTGAATTAGTCTTGATTTTGGTAGAGAATTGTAGAACGAAATAATCAATCTCACTTACAGAAGTGAAAACCTCTGTATTTGAATTTTGAGTGAAATTCAATAGTTGGCTATTTTGGTTTCAATAATCATAATTATGAAATGTCCCTTAATTTTCGTTGAATTTCTTTTCTTTTTTTAAAAAAAAAAATCGATTTTCGTTGAATTAGTGTTCCTATTTACAAAAAGCTACACATCACAAGTATACAGATTATAGAAAATTATAAATATGAGAAGTAAAAGTAAAACAAAACGATACCTCACTAGTCTCACTAGTCATATGAGAAGTATAAATACTTGTGTAGTAAATATGAGAAGTATAAATACTTGGTCTATATATAATCTGATCACTAGTCATATGAGAAGTAAAAATAAAACAAAAAAGCTACACATCACAAGTATCTAGATTATAGACCAAGTTCCTTGTGCACTTTCAGAAACAATTACAAGTTCACTAAATGGCTTCAATAAGCTTATTCGAAACTTACAATCATAAGTTCATCTTTCACTTTATCATCCTTCATTTCCTCCTCTTGAAGATACCTCATACTTTATCACCGGGGATGCTTCCCAGGCCTACTCTTGGAGCTCCATCGGGTCTTTGACTTATACAATTTCTTATAACTATCTTCATGTTGTGCTTTATTTATGTTTATTATGTGTTTGTTTTTTTATGAAGTTTTCAAAGGTCTTATCAATGGAAGAGCCGAATGCTACAAGAACATGAACTTGAGAGTGGCTGCTCCATTGTTTTCTTCCATCTCCAGTTTAATTATCGAATCGGGGTTAGCTTTTCCAAGTAGGCCATAACTCCCTTTAGCTAAATGGGCAGCCTTATCCATTCCTATTTCACGGCACCGCCATGCCTTCCAATAACTTATATTAACATAAAATTTTATGTTTCATTATCTTCCTTATCTCACAAACATGCGGACCTTGCCTAACACCAACAAAGCGGTTGTTTTATTCCCCTGCTTATTTGATGTGGAGCTACTTAAGGATATGTGCCGAGAGGCGAGAGGTAACTTTCGCTATCGTGTGAGGACCGAATACTGAGAGATATAATATGGGTATTTACATGATTAGTAAACCAATCTTCTAAATCACTATTATAATAGAGGTTGAGATGATGGTTTAGCCAAGTAACTGGTTTGACAATTTTGTTATTACAAGGATTTACTTCAGAATCAATAAATGCATTTATAAGCCAGCCTCTGGAAAAGGTCTAGTGGCTCTCGAGTTTGAATAACAGGTTGGCCCCTAAAAAAAGCAACATCATGCACGAGACTCATGTCATAAGTTCTTGCCTCACAGGCGTTGAAAGATAGAACAAGCCAGCCACTCAGTAGTTGGGAAGTGGTGGACTCAGAAAAATGGGCGAAATACCATTTTTAACAAAATATTTACTTGGATATATTCATATTCCCAGTAGCTTTTACAGGACACCCATATGTGGTCGTGTACTCGTTCGTGCGGATATTCTGTAAAGAAACAGAAAAGAACAAAGACAAAAGAAAAAGAAAATGAGAACAATTCTTTGCAAGTGGGGTTGCTCTTGAATTTGAATGTATAGTCGGTTTATTGTCTCACAGGTCGGCGTTAGATCTGTGAAAACAAAAGAAAGCATTAAATAAATTAGCTAATAATTTCTCGAACATGCATCAATGGATTTCCTTTTTTTATATTTTATATAATATGTATGTCACTTTATAATTTTTTTAATGTAAGGTTGACATTGTTGGAATCGATCATAGCAAACAATTAATGGATCGATAGAAACCAAAATAAGTTAAATGGCTTGGTGGTTGGGTTTTAGTTTCAAGCCGACGCAACCTCTTTTTGTTGACTTATACTATATAGTAAATATTACAAAATTATGTCAACATGTTTCACTTAATCTCAAATCCATTTTGAAGAGGAAAAAAATGTAATTATTAGCCAAATAGAAAGTAATAAATAAAAATATTTTTCTATCTTTAAAGGTAGAACAACTTGCGGAGACACAACCATTGGAATAGTACATGACTGCATGCATAATGTGACACACTTCTCTTTTTAGCCCTTTAAAGAAACTAAAGGGAAAAGGAACTTCTGCACGAATCTAGACCATTAGATTCCTTTCGTAATACATACAAATATTTTACAAGTGATATACTTTTTAATACAAAAACAGTAATAAATTAATTATAATGTATATTTTGATTGGTAGTTGTTGAAAATGTACTGTTTTTATCATTAGCAATCGGCAAAACGGCAAAACAAAATGCAACGAGAAAAAACAGTATAAAATGTGTACCAAAACGGTATCAAAGGTGTTAAACGTTCTCTATTTTTTTACCAAAATATATTACTATTTTATTTTATGTCTTCTTACTTTCACAATCTTTTATTTTTATAAAACTTTACCGTTTATGTCACCAATCAAACTTTACCGAATTTTGTTAATGTTTTAGACCAATTGTAAGACCATCCTTGAAATCAATTTGCGAATTCATCGTCGCATATAATTATATAAATGGATGAAAAATAGAACCGATAAGCTTTTGGCAACACTATTTCGTTCACGGAATTCAAACAATATTTGATTCCAATATAGTTATTAAAAAAAAGACCCACAAATTAGGTAAATAATCAACAATCATCAGAAAGATAATGCAGTAACAAAATCTCACCGAGGGGAAATATAGAAACAATAACTACTAGGAGAAATGAAATTTAGGAATCATTCATGCATAGTGGCGACAACTCCGAGTTTCTGAAGATTGAGTTTAACGACAGTGTCCACAAACATTTTGGTGTCTTCTACCGTATTCCCCTCGGGAATATCAACGGTGTATGATTCAAGAACAACCGTGTAGACCTTACCGGAATCTTGATTCATGAACTCGTTGACAGAAGTCACCGATTTGTAATTGTTAAGCCGGTGCTCTCCGCCGACGACCCTGAAGCTCAGAACACGGTGGTCGTCGTCGAGGAACTCAAGCCGCTCAGTGCTGGTGGAGGCTGGAAGGCCAGAGATTACAGTCACTTCCCGGACGCTTCCGACGCCGCCATCTCCGGAGACGAGGCGGCTGCTTTTGATGAAGTGTTTGTAGCGTTCTGGATTGTCGAAGCTGCGGATGAGAGGCCAAACGACGGATGCGGGGGCGTCGATGCGTTGCGTTATGAGAGAGGTGCAAGTGGTTGGGTCTGGTTCGAACTGGTGGTAAGTTTTGATAACCGGTTCGAGAGTTTTGTGCTCCTCGTCAGTTAGTCCTTTCACGACCGGAGAGGAGCTCATGGTGATGAATAGATCACACGTGTGACGTCTGTTGGGGATAGTCCGGAGAGAGTTAGGGTTCGATGAGAGAGAGAAAGAGAGAAGGTGTTCTTGTTGGAGATTGGGGGGTTCGTGAAAGAGTGGAGCGAATAAAAGATAGTTCTTCTTTGGGAACTATAAAGAGTTGTAAATATTAATGCAAGTCTGAAAATCACCACTGCTTTTTTGGACGGATTTAACCCTTTGTATATGTCTATTTTTCATGAAATAGAAAGATCCATACTAACTTGAATCACTGGAATAATGTTACCAATTTATTTGCTAAATCGGCAAATGATATTTTCTAATTAAAATTAACTGTACTGTTGTTGATTTAAAGAACATTCTTTTGAAAAATAGCACGAATTCGTCATGACAAAATATTTAAATAAAATTGGCTCACTCACTCTCTTGGGTTTCGAAGGAAAGGGAAAGGTGGTGGTGGTCACTGGTCAGAGCTGAGTTATTTTGTCTTTTAGTTAACAAAGTTCCATAGTTTAGTGGGAGGGTTACTGCACTGCACATGTATTACCATAATAGATGTTCGATGCTTAATCATTTTTAGAAAGCCGCTTAATTTAGTTATCCATCACAAAAATTGTCCTTCATTTACGTTAATGGAAAATGAGGTTATGGGTTTTTAAACAACGAACGAGCCAAACCGAACGCGGTTAGGAACTAGATATGGTAACCCAAAATAAATTGTGAAATCAGTAGTTATCTTCACATTAATAAGTTAAGAGTTAAAATGATGTGATATATGTTACTGGGGCTCGGTCATATGTTAAAGCCTTAAAGTTAAAATATTTTCCTTTAAAGAGGTTATCATGGTGTTAAAATGAATAATTTGCAAATAATCAAAATTCATGGCCAAGATCAAAATTAGATTTTCCAAATTGATTAGTTTGCAAGAACCAAAACATAAAGTTGTCATGGTTTGGATCATAACAATACCATAGTTCAAGACTCAAACATTCATAGTGCATGCTGAGACAAAATAAATTGGCTAGTTTTGCAATTAATTCATAATTTAATTATTTTTCCTTGGAATCAGTAAAGTGATTACTGACTAGTTATTGCCATTTTAGGCTAACCTTTCCTCTAAGATTCACTCATAAAAATAATACACAACATGACCAATAATTGATCAAAGTTTAGAGTTTCTTAATTGAATACTATACCCAATACTAATATTTTATCTTACATGGCTTCTCAACAGTGATCTAATGAGATTTCCTTTTGTCGTTAACAAGGTGATTAATTGACAAATTCAGATCTTAGCCAACGAATTAGATTTTATCGTCAAAGTAGGCACTAATCCGCGAATTATCTAATAATAAAGTTGTGAATTCTAGTAAAGAACTTTTAAAAATTTAAATGATAAATATCACTTATTTTAGTTTAAACGAATCATTCATCGTGACATGTAAACTAGTTTAGACGAAATTATTGGTATCATTTGCTTAGTTCTGTCTTTTGGACCGAATTTGGAAAAATATAACTTTACATATTACAATGGTCCGAAATTATTAGCATCATTTGCTTAGTTTAGTTTTTACATTACATGTCCTCACCCCTTACTACTTATCGGTGTGACTGGTGGTCGGTCGAACGTACATGTAACAGTCCATGGTGAATAATTTTATATTTTTTCCTTTTGATGCAGTGGAAAAAAAAAACCAAACTAAAATAAATCGAAATTTTTCGAAAATCAGAATGGTAGTTAGCATTTTCATTCGATATTATTAGGATTAACTGGTTAGTTGGTTGGTTGAGTTGTTAGGTACTTGTAAGGGCTGCAACTTGCAAGAGTAGGTTAACTATAGATTCAAGATTCCACTTTGAGAATGTTGTACCTAATTGTTTATCCCTTGCTATTTTAGTTACATGAGCTGTCTATAAACCTCGCAGAAAATCATGAATACTCAACGCTTCGTCTTATATGGAATCAGTCGTTATTGCGCTTGCTTGCTTTTATACAAGTTGCAAAAAAACAAAACAAAAATCCCTTTTTCCTATTTTTCAGAGTTAAACATGTTTGTGAGCTTGAAGTGAATTCTAATACGGTGTGAATGAAGAAGACAAAAACACGAGGAAAAATGATATGGTGATTTGTAGAAACAGTCATGATTAAGTTTTCCAAGATTGAGTAATCTGGAATAGTGTAGCGACTATAGAATCCACGGACAAAGAGAAGGATAACAAATATATATATTTTTTAATCTAGAGACAGTTCAAGTTGAAGTGGCTGCGTATAAATAAAATTCATTTTATAACGAAAGAAAATAAGAAGACGAAACCGGTTCTGTATAAATTTATCCTACCAAATCAGGGACATAAACCGATCCTAAACCATATAAAACTTCAGGTCACCTGTAATTTCCGGTTCGGTCGCCTAGTCCTCCTTTCAACTTTTCCTTCTCATTCGACTCACTGGGTCTTCTTTTCTGGTCGGCTCAAAGGTTAGTGCTTTGTGAGGAACGAATCCGATTCATATAGGAGAAGAGACGTAGCTAGTTGATGGATTTGATGGAGAAGAACTTGGAGTTAACGGAGGTTCAGAAACTTGAAGGCCACACCGACCGTGTTTGGAACGTAGCTTGGAACCCCGTCTCCTCTCTCGCCGACGGTACTTCACCGGTTATTGCCTCTTGTAGTGGCGATAACACCGTACGAATCTGGGAACAGAGCTCGCTCTCTCACTCCTGGACCTGCAAGGTCTCTCTCTCGATCTCACTTTGTTGAAATATTCACCTTTCTACCTAGAAAGTTGGTGAATTTGATTGCTTCCTGACCTTAAAGTTTGTGGGTTTTGTTCCAAATCTCTAAAGGGATTGACTTTGAACTTCGAATTTGAATTCTGTGCTGTTAAGCCTCAAAGGCCAAAGCTTTATTGGTTTTATGAGACTTGTCAATTGTATATTTGTGATTGCGCAGGAAGTTTTGGAGGAAACGCATACAAGAACTGTGAGGTCATGTGCTTGGTCACCTTCAGGAAAGTTATTAGCCACAGCGAGTTTTGATGGTACCACTGGGATTTGGGAGAATTATGGGTCTGAGTTTGAGTGTATTTCCACCTTGGAGGTACTTCTTACCCTAATCATTGACTTGTAATTATTCTTTTTCATGAGAAACAAGAATTTTACTTTTGTTTCTGTTATGTAGAAATCAGAGTTATTAGTCTCATGGATTTTCAGTGTTCACTTGATAATTCAATATTCATTTTGGTGGTACTCTTGTATGTTTTGGCTAGTAGAATCTGATAAAAGGAGTTGTATGCAGGGACATGAAAACGAAGTCAAGAGTGTATCATGGAATGCATCTGGTACATATCTTGCAACATGTAGCAGAGACAAGTCTGTGTGGATTTGGGAAGTGATTCCAGGAAATGAATATGACTGCGCTTCGGTGTTAAACGGGCATACACAAGATGTGAAGATGGTCCAGTGGCACCCTACCGTGGATCTTCTGTTTTCTTGTAGTTATGATAACACCATCAAGGTAACGAGAATATGCAGAACCTGAAACTTGTTACAAATGATTTTTTTTTTATATATAATTTTATAGCGTTTGTTGCGTGCTGCTCGTAGGTTTGGTGGTCTGAAGATGATGATGGTGATTATCAGTGTGTTCAAACCTTAGATGAATCTAACAAGTATATATCCTCTACTTGCTTGTACTTCTTTATATGCCTTTCAATTTTACCTTTTAAATAGGCTCTTAGCTTTTGTGTAATATGTGTCTTTAATCTTCACGCAGCGGTCACTCCTCTACTGTTTGGGCCATCTCGTTTAACGCTGCAGGGGACAGGATGGTTACTTGTAGGTTGGTGAATCTCTTCCCTGTTGTCTCCTTTAGGCGTTGTAAAAGCACTGTAATCCGTCTCTGGTTTACTGTTCTGACAATAACAAGTTTTCCTGAATGTGTACTTGCAGTGATGACCTAACCTTGAAGATATGGGGAGCAGATATTTCCATGATGCACTCTGGTGAAGGATATGCGCCTTGGTGAGAATATAAATAGCTTACTTGTGATTGAGTTTGTTCTTTTTATTATTTTTCAAAGCTTAACAGAATATGTAGCCTATACAGTTCTGTAACTTCTCTCCGTCTAACTTCTACTAATGGTATGCCTACTCGCTCGCATTTTGCAGGACTCATCTCTCTACACTCTCTGGTTATCATGACCGTACGATATACTCAGCTCACTGGTCAAGGTATTAATACCTAACATGGTTTCTCTCAAACATGGGTTTAACCTAGTAATAGACTCTGCTATTCATGAGGCCATTCTGAGTTTGAATCCCAGAAGTTTACTGTATTTTTCTTTCTAATATCTTGACAGGGATGACATTATTGCCAGTGGAGCAGGCGATAACGCTATACGGTTGTTTGTTGACAGCAAACATGATTCTGTAAGAAAATTGCTTCTTATATTTCACTTCAAAATGTTTTTTTTCTTTTTCATGTCAATGTGATCTTGAGTAGAGATTGTCTGCATAGTCCAACTTTCGTAGCACAATACAAGAAACCAAATGGCAGTCACAGGCTCTATTTGATTTTCCGCAATGCAATAAACATTTCATCTTCTTTTTTGAACTGAAGGTTTTTGTCTGTGTAACCAGGTTGATGAACCTTCATATAATCTTTTGCTGACGAAGAACAAAGCACATGACATGGATGTGAACTGTGTCAGATGGTCGCCTGGTGTAAGTTCTTTGTTCCTTATAAGTAATAGACACAAATGTACACAACCTCATGCTTGATATATGGTTAAAATGATGAAGTAAGGTCTATATGGCATCATATAAATGTGGCTTAGAAGCTAGAACATTATACTGAAGCTTTGTTATAGGATCAGAGAGATGATGACAATGATCTCTGATATTTGCTTTGGTTTGAGTACACGATAGATACAGTCGGTTATGTCAGTTTTTACCAGAAATTTCTTTTGCATAGAATCTATGATTTTGAGCTTCTGGTTGTTACCTGAAACAGGAGACGAACCGGTTGCTTGCCTCGGCCAGTGATGATGGGATGATCAAGATTTGGCAGCTTGCAACCAAACCGTGATTGGTATCCGGTTTTGGTTAGGTGTTGAAACTCCATTGTTTTTATATTTCTCCTGAGATAGCTTGTTACAGCACAATATTTCATTCATGATTTTTCATAAGAATAAAACAAAAGCTTCCTTATTTTTCATTTCATATAGCTCGCAGACAAAGATAGATGTATGAACATTCCAAACAAACAAAGATAAAACTAATAATAATGAAGATTTAGCTTTATAGTTTACATATTCTCTTTACAGAACTCAATAATCCAGCAGTGATAAGCTTGGCAAACGAACTTGCAATGGGTGAAGCCAGAAGCTGCGGCAAGAGCTTCAAACTCAGCTCGTGACCTCTCTTTTCCGCCGGAACATTGAGTGAACATTAACATGTCCATGTCAAAGGCAATGTTTGCATTGATATCCCCACTCTCAGCGTCATCAGGAGTGACTAATTCTATTACAACCACTTTACCATTCTCTGGTAGAGATTTACAGCAGTTTTTAAGAATCTTGATGCAGTCTTCGTCGGTCCAATCATGAAGTATACGCTGCAGAAAAAAAAAAAAATCAGATTTAAGTACAAAATATTACTATACAAACACTTTCAAGAAATGAAAATGAATTGTTGAACTTACTTTCAAGATCATGGCATCTCCGGTTGGAACATCAATGAACATATCTCCGGCGACATGTTCCACACCGGGGATCGAAGGTGCTTGTGCCAAGGCACAAGTCAGATCAAAATTGATACCTTTAACATTGGGATATTTAGAAGTAACAACACCAAGAGTGTTACCAACTCCTCCTCCCACATCAACTAAAACATTTACACCTTCAAAACCTTTGTAAACTTCAAGAGCCTTCTTCACTACGGCAATAGTGAATCCTGTCTGGTTGAAGAGTTTGCTGAATCTCTCATCTGTTCCCATATAGTCAAAGAGTTTCATGCCACCATGTGCGCGGCCAAATGCATCTCCTCCTTCTAGCACCACATCTTTCAATTGTGCCCTGTGAAAATGATATATCGAGATCGTAAGATTCATAGTTTATATAGCAACTTCTTGAAGAACTAAATACAATCAAGGAATGGAAAATTACCATGTGTTAAGAAAGACACTGTCGAAATTGACAATGACTTGAGAAGCTAAAGATCCAATATCTTGAATATTATTCTTCAAGAAGAACCTGCAAATCGGCTCAGCTTTGTAGACCCTCTCGCCTTTCCTAGCTGGGACCGTACCGCACTTGACCATGGAGTAGCTAGCGAGTAGACGAAGCATACGATCCAACAAAGCCGGTGCCTCAGGGTTACGAGGAATGGTTGGTAGCTGGCTGGCTATCTCGGAAGGTGAGAGGAACGTGGAGGTGGCATAGAGAGTGTCAAAGACACCGAGCTCGAGGGCAGTTTTGAGAACCATTGGAAAGGCGGCAGCATTGGCTAGTCTTACAGCCATCAAACCCAACTCATTGTCATCATCAATAACAATTTCTGTTTTAGGGTTAGAGCTTAAGTTTTCTTCAACGAGGTTTCCCATTTTCTTTTTCTCTCGTTCTTTATTGCTTCTCCTTCAAAGTAACAAATGTGATCAGAAAGGAAAGAGAGAGAGAGAGAGAGAGAGAGAGACTCTTTGTTCTTTGTGTGTGTGTGTGTGTGTGTGTGTGTGTTTCTTCTTGGTAGTGTTAAGAATGATGATTGAATGGATCTTAGTGTCTCCTATTTATAGATAAGGCTTAGCCTCCTTTTCTTTTGTTCACTCTACTATTGTCAATAATAATTTCATAGAGTTTATTATTGTTTATTTGCCGGTCCATTTGGCTGGCTGAGCAGTCTCTAAGTAGAAAAGTAAGAGCCCTTTGTGGCGGCTGAAACAGGTAAATCTTGTTCAAAGTCAGTTAATTCTCTCTTTTTTGTTTAATAGTAAAAGTCAATGTTCAAAGGAGAAATTTAACTTAATTTCAACAGTAAGAGATTGACCAAGTGACTATGTTGCAAGTATATCTTACGTTCGCCGTTTAATATCGGTTATCGAAGTATAAAAACTAAGGGAAACATATGTCTTTTTCTTTGCTTGTTGTTCATCAAATCGATCGACATGATATTTATTATTAATACATGTCACGCATAGCTCCCACTTTATTAAAACGATTGCGACTTAGGAAGATGGCAAGAAAATTATCGAGTTTTAAAAAAATCAAATATGCCATAAATTGAACTGATGTGAGTGTAACATCACAATTGTCGTTCATGGCCCTCCATCTTGAATTGACTTTCCAGGAAGGTCACAAATTTTGGATTGACACCAACTTTTACTGATTACATTGGACTCAGTTAGTGTAAAATCTAGGCTAATTAGACCAACAACCATAAAAAAACTGAGAATTTCAAAAGTAGTCATAATAATCAACCATAATTCTGAATTAACTCTACAAAGTAGTTAAAGCCTTAAAGGTGTGAGTAAAATCAACCAATTTAAATGAACTAATCATCCGTATATGGATTTGCTCACGGGTCTCGTCAGGTTCACCGCAGTACAAACAAGGTTGAATGCGATCCCACTATGGGTCTTGTCAAGTTCACCGCAGTACAAACAATATTGAATGACACTGACACCCGTAAGAGAGTCAATTCAAAACTGGTAACCATGTGATGAAAAAAAAACTGAGGCATACCCTACGAGAACATACAATACGTTCCAACACAAGGATGTTGTAAACTAGCTTGGTTCTTTTTTTCCGGTACCAAACCTACCTCCAACAAGTCAACAACTATTATTAACTTTCCAAAATAAAACAAAACGGTAAAAATAAAACGAAAATGGTAAAACCGTAATATAGTCATTTTATGTAAAACAATAAAAGATGTCATTTTCTCAACTCGAGTATGATTATTATTTATTACAACGAAATAAAATCCCGAAAGGTGGAACATTGCCGTACTATATATTAAAAAGCAATTGTCTATCAATAATCCGATGTCGTCCAGCGGTTAGGATATCTGGCTTTCACCCAGGAGACCCGGGTTCGATTCCCGGCATCGGAGCTTTTTTATCAAAAATAGTATTTTTTTTTCTCGTAATCAATTATGTTGTCTTCGAGCTCTGAATTATCTAGGGAGAAGAAATTAGGGGTGGTTTAGTTATTGACTTGAAAGACAAGATCACACAGATGGTTCCAACTTCCAAAACAAAAAGAGAACAATTATTAAGACTTAAGAGTATGGAATAACATAATTATAGGTGCATATAATAACATTTATATATCAACTTCTTCTCTCTACTGCTTCAACACATGATGTTCTTAAAACAGTAAGTAGCAATTATGAACCAAGCCACGAGAAGCAGCGAGAACGAGAAGAGACCGATCAGGAACGGCCACCCAACGAGCAATACACCGAGACAAGTGACCACAGCAGAAGGGAGAAACGACCTGACCACAGATGACAAGCTAACCCATTTCCCTTTCGTCAGAATCAGAAAAGCAACATTCACCATCTTCCACTCCATCGAACCGCCATAGCAGACACGGTTCATACAGTCTGCCACAAACGAATGGCAGTTACAGGTGAAGAGGTTGTAGGTTCTATGCTCACAGCTACGCGTGCTCGCGCGTAGTGCATCGTCCCACGAGACCGATGATCCAAACTCCGTGTGCTTGAATCCATACTTGCAAGTGTGTCCACCCATGTTTGGTGGTAAACAACACTGCAACAATAAAGAAACACGTTTGATACAGTAAACATCTCTCAAGATTAGTAAAGGTCTTAACTTTAATGCACTAACAAGCTAAATGTAAAAAGATCTCATCTTTGTAAAGGTCTTAACTTTGATACACTAACAAGCTAAATGTAAAAACGATATAATCTTTGAACATCGCTGAAGACAAGTAAAGGTCTCAACTTTGATACCATAACAAGCTAAATGTTAAAAAGATCTTATCTTTGAACAAGCTAATTGTGTTCTCTAAAGCACAGTTTCATGAACCATCATCATCAATTGCTTAAGCAAGATTTCGATTGAAAAAGAGAATACCTTGGTGCGATCGAGCTGGAGATAGCGAGCAGGAGGACCGAAAGCGAAATCATCGACAGTGATGAAGTTAGATCCAGAGAAATCCAAAATGACACCATCTTCTCTGCAGAGTCCAACATGGCCGATGAAAGGAGCCAGCCAAGAGACAACAGGGAGAGGAGTCCAAACGATACAGCAAGGGAATTTCGACTTTTTCGGATCAATCTCACTTAGCGGCCAAAAATCATGACGATCATCATCATCATCATGATCAACTTGGATTATGGATGGTTTAGAGACTGCTTCTTCAATATCATAAGCTCTTTTCAGATCCACCATTGGAACTCTTCCACGGGACATTTTTAGCAGATTCCTGAAATCGACTCCTAGATAACACAAGAACAGTCTCACAATCAGCCACAAAAAAGAGGCAAATCAAAATGAAGCATCTTGAAAAACCCAGAACATAAAGTTGAGAAATTTGCATGAAGTAATTTGAAAGTATCAGTTTTTAATTAAGACTTTTCCAGGATGAACAGCATTGTGTTTTTTTTGTTTCTCTGTAAATTGCTTCGGAAATTAAACAAAAAAACAATTTTTTTCGTTCTCAAGCAACCCAAGATCTAAAGAACAAACCTTAAAATAGCAAAATCTCAAAAGAGGAGGAAAGAACATAAGGAGAAGTTACAGAAGTTGAAGAACAAAATCGAGAGTGTTTCAAATCACCTGTCAACGAAGCCGACACAGACACCGACGCCAAATGAATCGAGGAAGAGAAACAAGATATGCGAGAGAGCTTAAAAGATGGAGAAGAAACGGATGCTTTTGGGGTTTAGTAATTAAAGGAGAAGGAAAAGAAACGTTTCTTCTAGTTCTAGAAAATTACATAACTGAAGAAGATGGAGCAAAAGTACAATGAACCTTTATGATTGTTTTCTCAATTACTGCGCCCACTTAGTTTACTAATAAAATTTTGGTTTAAGTATTTAATGAAAAAGAGAAGAAAATCTCATTATATTGGAAGTAAGTGAAAAAAAACAAAGATTCTTCGTAGAGGAAATTGAAAAATATAATCAGTTAATTTTTAAGAAATATACATGATTTTAGTTGTTTAAAAAAATATTCCAATTAGGGTAGAAACATCTTATAAATAAATTTAAATATTATTCATACATTTTTTAAATAACTTCAATTTCAAAAAACATTCTGAAAAACAAAATTTATAAGATTTTCATAATTAATATATTTAAAAAACTTTAGAGAGTCAATAAGATCGAACATAATTTTGTTTTTGTCTATAAATTTGAATATTTGGCCGACAATATACGACATTTCTTCATCATAACCTTTTTAACGAATCTTTGCTATCCGACAATACATGACATTTCTTCACTTTCACCGATTTTTGCTAAAAAATAACGGAAAATTAACTTATTAGACAACAAATGACAAACCTAAACTTTTTTCGTTTCAGGTGGAATGTTTTATATTTGTCGTTTGTTGTCTAATAAATTGATTCTCTATTGTTTTTTACGACATGTCCTTGCCATAACTTTTTTTACGGATCTTTGTTAAAAACATCGAAGAATTAATTTATTTGAAGATAAACGACAAACAAAACTGTCCTACGTACGTGCAACGAAAAAAAAACTGTAATTCTCTTTGTTTAATTAATTACTTAGATTTATGTTAGGGAAAAAAGTTTTGGTATGAACTCAGTGGTCTACTAAATGAATTTATTTAAATTGTTTTTACAAAAAAAAATCAATAAGGGTAGAAATATTTTATCATATCAAATAAGATTAAAATTAAAATAATTCAAATTAAAAATAACCAAGTAGATTAAAAATAATCTCAATTTCAGAAAATTTCAACAACAGAAAAATTAGAATACTTTTATTTTTATGCATTTTTCACTTGCATAGTTTATGAAATTGCAGGAAATAAATACACTTGTATTTGTAATATTGTATACTAAGCAATAAATTTGCATTGTTTAATGAGTTTCACGAACAATATTCCATGATTCGGAGAAATGTGTGGTAAAATTATTTACATGTGGATCATTGGTAGATTAATTGTACCATCTAATCATCTGAATTCTATACCATTTTCAACAAAACATAGCTCAAACAAGTCAAGCATATCAATCCACTGAGAAAATACTATCGTCTTTATTTTCCCTTGGCTTAAGATAAGTGAGGAACTCTACAATGGTAACATCGTCATCTTCATATGGCTATGAGAAAGAAGGCATTTGATCACGTCGTGCTGAGTTTGGGCTGCCGTGTTTGGAAAGCGTGTATATGATATCTAGGACAGATTTACCAAATCATCCAAACTACTCTGAAATTTTAATGATAGATCTTACAAAATCACCATTGATGATATCAATCTAACTAACAACAATCTCATGTTGGTGACAGCTATAATCTCTTTCCTTCTTTTTCCTTTTTTGCAATTCCATAAAGCTCTACGAATATCTCTTTCATCAATCTAGTTTTCCTTTAAACAAACCTTTTTAATGCTAGCTCCACGTGTTTTAGATTCTCTCATACAAAAGAAGTTGCTCTCGGCATGACTCTAGCTAGTTACAATTTCTAAAAACATAACAGCTATATTTTTATTAAAACACTTGTAAAGAAAACCTAAAAACACTGGCCACTAGACTTGAACCAGATTTCTCTTAACAAATGGCCGTACAAGAAATGGCCTAAAATTTGTAAATGTTGCTCAAGGAGATCATATGTCATAAACTAAAATTTGCAAAGTTTAGCAGAGATATGGGGATCACATAATCCGAATAGAAGGTTAACATAAAAGAAAGTGGACGTATGGAAATGTATGTTTATTAGAGAAATGAGTGAGAACTTAGAACGAAATATGTACATTGTAAGAAAGTGAAAGTGATGATGCGGCTGAGAAGAGAAGTAAAAGCCGTCTAAATACAGTCTACAGAAGACAAACGGAGTCCAACTGAGATCCTTATTCAAATACCAACATTAATATATCGTCTAAAATTATACAAAATCTTGATAAATTTAGACATACAGTATAACAAATTTGTAACATTCATTAGAAATGTCATCATTGAACCAAACAAATAAAATCAAACAGCGAATCGCAGAAATATTACAAAGTGTTTGTGAGTAAAACGTACTTCGTTGTTCTAGTGAAATACATATTTATCGAGACATTTGTAAGAACAAACTTGTACATCAACTCCGCCCTCAGAATACTTGAGAAAAGAAGGAAGCATGCATCTAGAGTTACACACAAAGCAAAGTAGTCTACATATAGAGGTGTTGGGTATAACCACTTGTTCATCAAGGCTAATTGCTGAACCTGGCAGAAGATATGAGAACTCTCCAAAAATGCAGGCAATGTGCAGTATGACACCACAATCATTACATGTATAGAACCATTTTTTCGGGTTCACTTTTGTTTCACATGCTTCACACCAATATTCGCCATCCACACAGCTTTCACCACAAGACAAGAACAGAGGATGATCGTCATACCTATGCTTCATTACCGTTGGAGGTAAAAGAGCACACTTGAAGTCCAAGCTAAAGTCACACTCATCACAACTTAAGTTCCAGTATCCCTCTTTTCCACATTCGCTACATGTAGATTTATTTCTAGCGTAGTACAAAGGATGTGGATGACTTTTGTGTACAAATGGTTCTAAAACTGAACCACATCGTACATCTATAATGTTTAAATAATCATACTGGTACCTGAAACCGGTGAACAGGTTATGACAAAGAATGCAGGTAGAAGCTTCTTCATAATCCGTTTTCAGTGAGAGTGGATGGACCTGACACGCATGTCGTTTTCTTCGAGGAAGGTTAGCACATTTTTCGTGGAGAATGAAGTCACATTGGCCGCAACTGTAGGATGATTCCGAACAAATCTGGAAAGCACATGCCTTGCATAATGTATTTTCATGCAGACTTGGACCGTCCTTGTTGATATGTAAGTGATGATCATGGCTAAAATGTTTGATCGTGTTATCGTCAATCACCACGAACGGCGCAATTTCCTCAGGCTCCTCCGGTGTTCCTTCTAGTTCGATCTTGTCCCATACATCACTTCTCGTTGCACATCCTGAATGAACAACGTAACCAGAGCATTTTGAGCAAGAATAACCACCGTAGAACTCATCCACTTTGCGACGACAAACTCCGCATTTCCACTCTCCATGTCCAAGGCGACGGGTGTAAGAAATGCGATGATCGTGGCGGTTGATGTTTATAACGCGTGGCAAATCGATACAATCTCGATGAATCATAAAGTTGCACTCAAGACAAAAATAAGGGCTTCGATCACCTTGTGTCCCGCAAGCATTGCATGTAAAGATCATACGCCTTGGAATAAGATGAAGTTGATGTTCATGGGTCGTCGGGCTTACAACGGCAAGTGGTGGTGGGTCAATCATACACATATAGCATATGCTGACGTTACAAACTTCACAATGGTGTAGTTGTTGTTTAAACACCACCCCACAAAGAAGGCATCCCTTGTTGGCGTAGTCAGGTGCTTCATCACATTTAAGGTACTTGAGCGGGTGTTCCGGGTGGGAAGTGTGATATGCTTCTGGAAATAGTTTCACACATTCCACATGGTAGATAAACTCGCACTGACGACATTCATAAATTTTTTGTCCGCCAAAAACCCGAGTGGTGCACACTTTGCACTCTCTATAGGAGGATGTATCGTCCAACTTGGTTCCGTGGGAGAATTGAAGCGGATGCTTGTGAACGTTGGACTTTTCAAGTATAACAAGCGGTGGTGGTTTGGTCGCACAAACCAAATCCAGCTTGAAATCACATTCTGAGCAAGAGTAACCAGCTTCAAGCGAATCTTGACATATGCTACAAGAAGATGATTGGAAATCTAGGAAGGTCAGTTTGAGAGGATGGTCGGGATGAGAAGAGTGGTTGATTTCCGGGGAAGACTCGGCACATTCTTTATGAAACATGTTATCACATTCTATCTCGTTGCAGCGGTAGCCTCCGTAAATCATGCTGAAAGACCGACACCCTCTACATGTTCCAAAAGAGAAGCGAGTAAAAGGTAACAAAGGATGGGTGTGAACTGGTAGCTCTACTACTCTTGCCATGGTTTCAAAATTCCGAATCAAGTCCAAGCTCAAGCTCTCTTTTGTGGTGGTTTTAGATTAATTTCTCAAACTGGAATTTGGATCCTAAAATCAAGTATAAATTAAACACTCTTAAATGCAATCAATGGCACTCAGTACACGGACTTAAAGCAAATCAAGATGAATGTATCAAAAGAGTGGTTGTGAAATGTTACCTCCATTTTTTCCATGGTAATCAATGCCCCAGCTGATCTTCTCTTCTGCGGTGTTTTGAGAATGGGGGGTTTTTTTCTTCTCTTATTGAAGGGTACTCTTTCAAAGTGGTTGACCAGATCTCGTATTTAGAGACAAATAGGGTGATAGGTTTTATCATTTTCAATATAAAATCCCAATAATATATGATGCCAGATCTTTAGATCCAATATGTGCTGTCCTCCCCTACCGGCAACCGAGGCACTACTTTGATTTTTCGAAATTTTATATTTTTGTTAACTAAACTGGCTATCAAATCTTTGCTCTATCTTTTTGTTTTCATCTCACTCACATATTCAACCATCATAACACCACTAAAAAATCACAACCTAAAGGTAAATAAGTCTCGGCTCGAATTTGAAAGTTGAAACCAGCCTCAACATGGTGCAGAACGAGATTTAGAAAATGTTTGGGCCCGTGACAAACATGAAAGGGCCATGATACGCAAATTCCGAAACACGGTAGCTTTCTCTGGCCGATTGATGGAGGCGTGAAATGAAACGCTAATGAACGTTTGTTCCTTGTACGCAATTTGCTACTTATCACACAATATTCCAAGAGAACAAAGGCATTCAAGAGATTGGCTATTGAACTAATCCAAAAGATATTGTTTCGTTGTTCTTCAAAAAAAAACAAAACTAATATGTTGACAGTGGGATTTGAACCCACGCCCTTTCGGACCAGAACCTTAATCTGGCGCCTTAGACCAACTCGGCCATATCAACATTTTTGAACGTCAACCAGGTCAACTAAACTATAAATAATATTTTGCAATTCTCATAGTCCAACATTGAGGTCTTTTGTGATTTGTCTTCCCCTGGTTTGGTAAATAACATCGTCACTAGTAGAGTACCCGCACGTTTGTGCGGTGTGACGTTGTTGTTTTGTGTAGAAAATTTAAACCCTAAATCCGAACCCGACAAAAAACCCTAATCAAAAAATTTAAAAACCCAAACTTTTTTAATAGGTCTAAACATGAAAATCCGAAATCAAAAAAATCCCGAAAACCCTGACTGAACAAAAAAAATCTGGAAACTTTTTCACCCGGAACCCGACCCCAATACCTAATCAAAATTTTAAAATACTCAATTTTTTTAATATATCTAAACCCGAAAACCAGAAATCTAAAAAATCCGGAAAACCCTAAACTGAAAAAAAAAATTGAACCTAACCCGAACAGAAATTTTCAAAGAAACCCGAACAATTTCTATATCTCTATAAAATTATGTCTCAGATTTTCACCCAAACCCGAACTTGTCTATAAAAACCCGAAAATCCAAAAAGCATATTCGTTAGATTATGTTAAGTTTTTTTTTTGCAGATTTTTAAGAGATGGAAAACGGAAGTTTTCTAAACCATCGGTTTATTTTAAGTTATTATTCTTGTATCCAAACAATTTTTTCCATTTATTCTTCTATCCAAATAGATTTTTCTCTTATTCTTATATCCAAACAACTTTTGTTTCCATTTATTCTTCTATCCAAATAGATGTTTCTCTAATTCTTGTATCCAAACATTAGAATGTACTTCTCAATTAATAATATAATAAAGATGTAATAATATATTGAATGAGATCTCTTGTACAGATCAAACAAGACATGTATCTAATTTTACAAAAGGGATCTTGAGGTATCTTTCTATTTATAACTTGAGTGTATATATGTGGTACAATCTAACAACAACTATACAAAAATCAGATCACGTAAAGAAAAACTATCAAGTCATCCTTTTTCTCTATACAGCTCCAAGAAACTCTGTGGTACATCGTGTTGGAACTCTAGTGCTTGTGAGATCATATATTCCTGGAACAAACTACTGCTCGATGTCGTCTGGAGGCAATGTCGGACTCTTGGAGCACATTTCCACCTTATGAAGCTCCCTTAACCGATTCTCCGGATTACAAAGCCCTAAATATTTTCAGAAGAAACAGGTTGGCTATTGTTGGTTCCTGTGACAAAGTATTACGTTGAAACCATAGTTTTTAACTTACCTGAGCATTTTGGAATGTCCCAAACTGCTATGGACTTCGGGGAACAACGAGGGTCGCATAAAGCACGGTTGTCCTCGTGATGCACATCCATTGCAAGCATCCAAGAACCAACGCTTACATCTTCATTGTTAAACATCCTTAGACTGTAAAGGCAAAAGACCGATAGTCAGATTTGTATGTCAGAATCTACAAGTGAGGTAAATAGAAAAAGCATTACAAACCTGCCGTTCCGAGATGATGCAAGTGAAGCCACTATCTCTGCTGAAAGAACGTAGATCGGTCCATAAGCATGCAAGAAATACTCATTCCCAATCAAATTCCCCTGTTTCTCGTACCTGATTAATTTAAACATCTGTCACCACCAAAAAACTGATAGAATCACAGTTGCGGATTGAAGAGAAGAGTGTCTAAACTAATACCATTTTAGCTTAGGGTCGGTTATAACTGGTCCTTTCTTCATGCAGCCAATGTATGTCTGCGGATGAAGTCTTTCCTTGGCAAGAAGTGTCCCAAGTCGATCTAAAACAGAAATAAACAAAAACAAAAAGGAATTTGAATACTTTCTGTTACGCAGGAGCATGAAAAACTCGCTCTCAAGTACCTGGTCTCAAGTAAATGTCATCGTCGGCTTTGACATAGTAGTCAGCTTCAAAGAGTTTATAAGCTGCTTTGAAGAAAGCCAACCTACAACAAGAAGAGAACATGAATTAGTCACTGATGAAATGCAAACCAAGAAAATACAAGAGTAAGTATTAGAAATCAGGATTACGTTTTGTATGGAAGCCGTAGATATTCTTCCTCAACATCAAGAATCACAAAATCTCTGTACTTTTTGATCTCTTCCTCAAGATCAGCCATCTTCTTCGCATCTTTTGACCGTCCAATGACGAATCTAAAAGCTAATCCAGTCGCTTGTTCCAACCTAAGTTTCAATCAACAAACAACACAACATTTGGGATTCAAATCCAAATTAAGCAGAAGCAAACAGAGCCAAGGGAAGTAATCTTATTGACATCACTAAATTCAGCGTATTGGCATCAAAAAGGTTAAGACTTTGAATGTGACAAAATGACAAAATTTCATAATGCCATGTTATAAATCGTATCTTAAAGTATTGTCTTTTAAGCTTCAATATAAACAAGATCGAGATATAGAAGAATTTTCTCAATTGAAACTCAGTGATTGAAGTAAGCAGCATTTCGGAATGTTGCAGCAACGAATATCAATATAAGATTACCTTAAAAGAGCATCAGGGTCAGAAGGGAACCAAGTGCTTCTCAAAGCGGCACGACGATCGACGGAATCGAAACCAGTTTGGATCCCGACGAACCCTAAAAGCTTTCTCCTTTCGTGCAATACGCCGCCTTTACCACCGTCTCCTCCTAGCTTCCTCGAGCCAGAGACTCGGAAAGTGTCTTTAGTTCCGCCGCATCGGTAAACGGAGGTCGGTCCTCCGGCGGAGGTGATTGCGAAGATAGTTCCGGCGACTCCGATGAAAACAGAGACGAGGGAGAACAGTATTATAGCCACGTGGATGCGATACGAAGCAGAGGCGGAGGAGTTGGGTTTATGGCCCTTCGCGGGTTTACTGTAGTACGAAGGAGACGCCGAGGAAGACGAAGATGCGGTGGAGAAGCGGTGGGAGAAGAGTGGCATTATCGTGAATCCGAGGCTGGTCTGAGGGTAAGTTTGGGTTTTGTGATAAATTTGGGAGGTTTTTTTTTTTAGATCTGTGTGTGTTTGCTTTTAGTGACGGTGGTGGTGAAGTGTGGCTTGTGATTGCGAATCTAATTATTTTCCGCTTTTTGTGCTTCTTTTGTAAATTCTCTTACACGAAATCTATTTAGTTATGTAATAATCATTTTTAGCAGAACAAAGGAAGAAAGAAAGCAATAAATGCATTCACATGACTATTTATGAGATTCAATTTTTATTGTCCAAGTATTATCGAACCACTACAAACTTTAATGTGACAAAAATAAGTTAGCATCCATCTGAATACTATCGAAGACTACCAAACCAATTATATGTGGAAGCGTAAGAGAAAAAATCACATTTTGTTCATTTTGATAATCAGAGAGTGGTCTATCTGAGATGGGTTAATGCTTGTATGCTAACCCAAGCATTAACCTAAGGATTATGATGGTAAGGAAAATTGGATCCCCTAGCTTAAATGTGGAGGGTGAAAATTGCATTAATAAGAACAATAGTAGAAAACCTACTTGTAAGAGTTTCGGTGAAAGAAACTTGAAAAAATGAAGATTATCTTTAATTAAGAGTAAAAAAAATCAGCACCACAAACTGAACCATTGTCTCTACTCATATGTGAATTTTTTCAATCCAAAAGAAGAAGAGACATGTGAATCGATAACAGTTAAAAGAAGAAGACGAGAAAGCAAGTCTCCATGGTTCATGTGATAAGTAGTAGTAGTAGTAAACGTTGGATTGAACAACTCATAGGTTTTGATTCTTCTAAGCGGAGTTTGTTTGCATGAGAACAAATCCACAATAGTTGTTCATATCATCACTGAAGATGAAACTAATTGGGAGTGAAGACATTTCAGAAGATTAATCGTAATTACTTACATCTTTGGCTTATGTATCCTTTTGCATTTCTACTAGACTACTAGTGCGTTTTGGACACTTGTTCAATGCATGTAGATGTCCCAAGACACCAGACCTTCACGTCCAGGTTGTCAAGGATCAAGTATACCAAGATTTTCCCATTTTGACCAATTCTCTCTTTTATTTATTGTGCACGATTTCATTTGTACAAGATTGTCTTTAACTATCCGTTATCTGTAAATTTTTCTCATGAAAAAACATGTATTTTTAAAAAAACTTGAAATCCTAAAATCTGGCGTAACGCAAGTCAAACTCATTCCCCCAAAATAAAAAATGACACGTTTCGACTTCTAACTAAAGCATTGCCGGAATCGAGGAGACACACACTAGTAACTCTTCCATAAAACGTTTGAAGTTTTAAAACAAGTAACTGTGAAATGGGTTAAACAAAACATTATTTACCACTAAAAAAGGCAAAAACAATTGACATAAACCAACACTAATGTGGTGGATGTAGCATTCTAGAAGCATGTTCCACTTTCCCTCCTTGTCTTCCACCATCTCTCACACTTCGAACAAAAAAAATGAAATGAGAAAAGAAAAAAATGCGATATAATTTTTAAAAATTTCAATAATACCCTCCGTTCCCACTTGTTCCTCTATTTTCTTTCCCAGACACCAAACTCCACCCAACTTCCTTCCTCTTCCTCTCTCTCCGAAGAACACAAACCCAACAAACTCATGTTAGACATGTCGGAATCGGTACTAACGGCGATGTACAGTTGGTTCACACCGACTGTACTCTTTGTCTTCCTCAACTTAATGATTGGTACCATCGCCATTAGCTCCTCTCTATCTTCCAAATCCAACGATCCAAATCAAACTCAGATCCAACGATCTCCTTCGGTGATTCACCGTCTCAAATCCATCAACTTCGCTTCCTTCACTTCTCCCGACAAATCTCATCTCGAGTTACATCCCCTAACAACTCCCGAAGACAATCAGATCGCTTCCGTCGAACAGAACCAGCCTTTCCTCTCTAGATCTCCTTCTGTTCTTCACCGGATAAAGTCTTTCAATCTCTACAACTACATTTCTCAAGAACCAGTCACCGTCGTCGAAGAAACTCCTTCACCACCAGAGGTAGAAGAAGAAGAGGAAGAAGAGACAAGCCCGAGCCTTGAAGAGGTTTACAGTAATCTGAATCTGAACCACGTGGCTCGGTCGAAATCCGACACAGAGCCAGCTTCTGGAATCATCCCACCGAAACTTCCGAAGAAGATGAAGAAATCGGCGAGCACGAAATCTCCCTTCTCTCACTTCGAGGAAGACGAAGTCTCCGTGGAGGCTCGTCGGCCGGAGACGGTTAGAGTGCAGAGAGTGACGACGGTTGATGAAGAAGCGGATGAAGAAGTTGACGCCAAGGCTGACGATTTCATCAACCGTTTCAAGCATCAGTTGAAGTTGCAGAGGATCGATTCCATCACTAAGTACAAGCAGATGGTCAAGAAAAGAAACGTCAAGTGAAAAATTGATAAGTGAAGAAACTTATGGGTTGGTTTCTTAATTATGTATTAATTGTGGACTTTTTCTCTTAAAAATTCTTAATTTTGTTAGGTTTTTTTCGTCTTCTTCAACTACAAATCTCACTGTAGATTTTTCCACGGGCTGTTTGTTTCCTTTGACAAGAGAAAAACAAAAGAAATTTCTAGAATCTTTGTCTTTGTATATCTGATAAGTTGGAAATGACGGTAGATTCATTGAGGAATCTTCTCGTAGATCTGTTTTTATCGTGAGAATGGTCGTCACTCTCGAGTCTCCACTGGATTTTGGATTCAGGGATTGTTTCGTCATTTTGTGTTACAGCAACAGTCTTCGTTTTTAATGTTTGTTGAGGGTAGAATCGTAAATTTGATGTAATGGGGTTTGAGTAATGTTGTGTGCTTATCCTTATTTGCAGGATGCTTGGCTGTGAATCACGTGGAGTTCAGTCTCATGTCTTTTTCTTAGTTTAGTTATCCAAAATTTATAACACGATTATTTATAATTACAACACAAATCTTATAGCATATGCTAAAAGAACAACAAGATCATCCATAGAGTTCAAAAAGCCTCGGATATAGAAGAATACTCGTTCACCGAGTATCATATTTGGCCATTGTTGTACCAGTATTCAAGAAGTGGGATTCAACTCCTTAAACTTCGACACGTATTCTTTTGTTGTGTATAATGAAAAAGCTAAATAATTTTTAGAAAATTAGTTTTCTTCGGGAAAAAGTTGTTTTTCACTATTCCCTTCAGCATGCAATGGATACAGCCACTAGAGAAGAATCAAATAATGGACCAATCAATCATGGAAAGCTTTTGGACTTTAGGTTCTCCTCAGCGGCGCAATGGCATAGTGGCGACGAATTATTGTTTGTCGTCTTTGTGTGTTAATGTTTTTTTCAGTAGGTATACATATCTAACTATCAATGAAAAGAGCATAATTTAGCACTCAAAAGTAGGGTATCTCTCTTTTATTTTCTGTGAAGTTGAAATAATTAAATCTGTTGCAGATATTTTTCTAAAAAGGACACTATATATGTATGATATTATGAGCTTTTCCATTATAAAACAATCAAATTGATATAGAACCCAACCAAAGTAATCAAGACAAAACAACGTCCGATTATGTATATACTGAGAAAGAAAACTATAAATAAGTCGGTTTTGTAACACTGGTATGATATTAAATTATTAACACAAGCCAAAAGTATGTAAGAAAATATGAATTTTTTTTGATGCTTCTTAATTAAGTATGCGGGTACGCAACACCATGACCATGAATGAATCTCGCATTCTCTTCGCTATAAACTTCCGTCTCTTTCTCAAGCCTGCCATAATTTCAATTTCAGTTTTATAAACCTATCGATAAATGAATTTATATGTTTAGCGGAAAAAGAAGAGAGAGAATATAAAAATTACGCGAGGGAGATGGTCTTGTTAAGAGAAGCAGCAGAAAGGAAAGAAGAAGCGTCAAAATACATCAACTCTCCTGTAACTCTTTCTTCGATTCTTCGATCAATGTCACTAACTTCAACTTCAAACTCTTGGTCTGATGCCATAACCCATCCCCATGTGTCAGCAAATGACGGGACGTGTGCTGTGTAAGCCTTCACGTCTGTATGCATTTCAATTCTTATACTCTTATATTTAAGGGTGAATTAATTACCATATCATTTGAAGAAAAAACACGACTATGTTGAAGGTTTAAGCAACATTTTAACGTGCATGATGTTAATGTTCAAAGTAAATATTCATGTTATTTTAAAAATCATGCTTGGTCAAAGTATTATATACGAAAATAAGTGGATTCTTTTAGACTCAATCATCAAATGGACCCTTAGAAGAAAACACAAAAGAGACTTACATTTGAAGACTTGCTTCATGGTGCTGTAGATTGTTGTGAAGACTTCCTTATGTGTAAATATCCCTGCTGGTCCAGCCTATTTAAAAAAAAAAAAATATATATATATATATATAAAAGATAGTTTATTAAAATATATTCTTTATCCTACTTCTAAATTAAATGTCAAGAAATCAAAAATATGAAAGACCTGGGTCACAAAAATGCCATTGGGATTAAGCTTTGGTTTCAGAATGTTTTGATAGAAAGATCTGGTGTAGAGCTGATAACATGGTCCACCTTCCACTGGATCCGCTAAATCTCCAACTATTATATCAAACTTCTCTTCTCGTTTCTCCAATTCAGCCCTTTCCCATTAACATTTTCACATTCAAATTATATTTAGATATAAAAGTCAACAACTCCTTTTAATTTGTTTATGTGTTTTCGTCTCCTTACTTTGCATCTTTGATCACAAGTCCAAGCTTCTTGCTAGAAAAAGCTTCGCTGTTAACTGTAAGAAATTTCTTGCAAAACTCAACAACTTCCTGAAAAAAATAACATTTGTTTGTTTCGAATGATATATTTCCGTTAATAAGATTCTGATAGTATATATTTAGACATAAAAGGTTAAACCTGATCAATATCACACATAACCACTTTATCGATGGTCTTATGTTTTAGTATTTCTCTTGCTGCAGAGCCTTCACCTCCTCCCATTATAAACACCGTTTTCGGGCTATTCGTAGAGCAATGGTTAAAGTAAATAACAATTGAAGACCATTTACGATTAATTTTTAGGGTTAAGTCAACAGAGTTTTAAAATAGGCCGTTTTAGGTGTTTTGTGCATTGTAAAGTAATAAACCAATTAATACCACTAAGGCCATGGTATTTTTTTTTGTTTTTTTCTCTAATTGCCAAAGAGTCTGTTGGTATTTTTGTCTGAAGTTTCTGAAAATAATGCGGATTTGGGGTGTGACTTTAGAATATATCATTCTAATGATACACGTACTATTTAGAAAAAATCATTTGCCGTCAAATAAAAGAAAGAAGAAATCATTTTAGTTACGAAAACGTTATCATGTCCTTTTCGAAAATTATACCAACATTTAGTTATATAGAAGTAATTAATAGAACATTAGAAAAAAATGTAAGTGAAAATAAAATCAAGCATACTTGGGGTGGAAAAGGAGGGATGGGTGGATCAAGCATTCATGGTAGATAAACTCATCTCTCTCTGCACTTTGCATTTTGCCATCAATCACAAGCTGTGTTCTAAAAGTCGGCCGAGTTGCCGAGTACTCGGTCCTAAAACCGCCAGAAGGAGTTGCCGTTCCGACTTTTTAAAAACCGAGTAAAGATATGGTCAACCGTTGACCGTACTTTGACTTTCACTTTTTTATAAAAACTAGTAAGTAAATGTTAAAATCTAGTGGGCAAAAGTTTGATTTTTGTTCACAATTAGCCCCAATTCGCCCAAAGTGTGTAAAGACACTTTTCATTCAACATGAAACCTTAAAAATGTAGTATATGACTTTTATATTGATGTATTATATATAAAAAAGAATGTTATTTGGTAATAATGTAGTATATGATTTTCATGTTGATGTATTATATATAAAAAATTAAAAATGTTGGAAATATATAAAAATGTACTTAAAATTAATTTCCGAGTACTCTCCGATTTATTTCCGACTTTTAAGAAAATCGCTAGAAGGAGACAGAGCGCCCTAGTACCGCCTAACGAGTTTTAGAACACAGATCACAAGTAAGTACTTATTAGTCATTAATGCCATGTATATCATTACACGGAAAAAATTATTAATTAAAAACTACACAATACATGGAACATCTGAATTAAGAACAAAGAAGATATGATTTGAAGAAAATATACTTTTCCAAACCGTTTGGTGTCCAGGAGAGCAATATCTTGGTACTCACTAGTTCCTTTATGGAGTACACTGTCGAGAGAGAAAAAAGAAATAAGTGATCAAAGATGAGCAAAACTATAATTTAAGGGAATTTGGGATAAAAGAAGGACGAAAAACCTGTTAAGGGCAAAAGACCACTTGAGATCATCATCGATGGTTTCTTCGTACCAAGGGCAGTCCTGGCCGTTGGAGTGGACGGTTTGACTGGCTGACGTCTCTTTGTGAATCTCCGGGAACCCATTTCCGTACATGATCGTTGAGAGAAAGAGAGAGAAGCTTTGCCTTACAATTTTTTTTTTTTTGTCACAAGCTTTGCCCTCCTGTAGAATCCAAAAATTCAACTATTTATGGTGTTTTCATTCTTTTTGCAAAAGGTAGTACATATTATATTCTTTGATATTAAAATAAAGAAAAATATTTCTTCTTTAAATTTTTCCTAAGATTTTGTTTTGATAAAAATTTATATGTAAATAAATAAACAATTTCAATATATCTGGTATTTTTATAATGTTATTAACAACTCTCATAGATTTTCTTGTAAATCACTAAAATACATTAATGGTATTGAAGTATTCTTAAAATGGTACTTTAATGATTTTTAAAATGCTACTTTTATATTTGGTAGTTTTCAAACGGTACCATGTTTTAAAAAATGGTACATTCATATTCGACAAAAAAATCAATAATGCTACTCTTAAAAATGGAAGTTATATATTTTATTATCAATTTTAATCCCCGATAAATATTGGAAATCTAGTACAGTTTGGAGGATTTTTTTTGTCTTTAAAGGAGAAAGACTGATACAAAACAAGCAATGGATCAGAAACCAAGAGAATCGGAAAACCTAATAGGTTATGCGTCACTGGGTCTAAAGGAATGGATGAATCACCTGTGTAATAAATAATCAGTTTAAGATAGCACTTTGGTACAGTGGCGGACCTAGGAAATTTATTTGCCTGGGTCAAAATTTTAATTAGGTGTCAGTGGAGGGATTCGAACCTTGGTTAGGGGGTTAGAGAAGGAGATTATAACCAACTAAGCTGTGTTAACACTGATGTATTAGCTGAAAACTTAAATATATAATTATTTTAGGAGTGTCAGGTGACCACCCTCCTTCTCATGTAGGTCCGCCCCTGCTTTGGTACATAGAAAATGGAGAAAAATATTGTGTTTTGAATGAAAGTATGATCGGAAAATGGCCAAAAATGACTCTTCCTTGTCACATGTTCTATAGCGAGAGATAAAGCCGGTTCTAGAGGTCTTTGTGAGAAGTGTGAGTGATGGATAAGGATGAGTTTTAGTGTTTTGGACAATGCCTTCTTCCATTTCTTTCTCCCCAAACATAATACACGAGGCTCTTAAACGCCATTTTAACTAACTAAAGTGTGTATCACGAAATCTACTGATACACAGTCCTTTTTTCTTTTAATTAATACTAGGTAATAAACCCGCGCGTCCGACGCGCAGTAAATTGAAAATTTTGATTAAAATTTTAAATTGTTTATAAGATAATTGACCAAAACAGACAAAAAAAAAATATTGGAATGACCAAAACAGATGCATAAGGTTTTAATTATAAAACAGATATTTAAAAAAAAAATGTGGTTCGCTAGCTAATGTTTTTCATATTCATAGATGTGTTGCCTATATAATTCTGTCATTCCCAGCATATTCATATGTAAAAATTCACCATGCTTCCATTATTACCCTGAACAAGTAAAATGTATCCATTTTTGCTAGCTTACCATATAAAATAAAACTTAATGTTCATATAAATGTTAAAGGTCTTTTTCTATTTCATGAGTTTGTTCATGACAAACTGTAGTAGATGAAATATATTCTTTTCTTCTTTCTCCATATAATTTTTTATGGTTTGGTAGATAAATAAATTACCAACAAGAATCAAAATGCATTTAACAAAAATCAATAAAAACTTATGTGACACAGCAATTAATGACAAAAGCCACTTGTGTACGCATTGTTGATGAGTTTACCATTGAAATATTCAACCTCAACGATCCAACTTTTAGTACTTTCTTATATATTGCATTTCTACGCGATTAAACCATGAAAAGGAACGTCGAAATTTTTTCTCTTCGATGAAAGATCCAAAAAAGTACCTCTTCTGTATGGGAAACAGCAAATAATATCTCACATATGATCAAAAACACTAACGATGGGTCGTGAAATGGTATACTTCCAAAAAGTTTCGAAAAATATCAAGATTAGAAATTTTGTGAAAAACATATCAACCAAATCAGAGAAGAATGGTCAGATAAAAATTGGTACCTATTTTGCCAAAAAAAAACTACAGTTCACGAAAGAATTAAGCACAAGAGGAGGATGTCCTCATCCTAGTCTAAAATTATACATGTAGTCTAAAATTATGAACTCCTCTTTCTAGATGTTCGGTTTGGTGTTTCGTCATACTTTAATCACAAAGCTTTTCTGAAAAACACATTTCAGAAACATTTATTCCCACGTTAAGAAAATCCAAATTTGTTACTTCAGATATGCAAACCATAAAAATAAAGTGTCTAACTAACCTATACACATTCGTATAATTAACAAGTAAAGTTTCTTGGCTATGTAATAGTCAAGTGACTCTTAAAAGGTACCCATATACTACTTCGATCCTGAGACTTTGTAAATGTCAAGGGAGACATAATAGTTATAGTAAAATCTATCTATTTCTACTAAAGTAAAGTTATATAAATCGAGCAATTAGACACTTACCCTAGAAAGGACAAGCCGACAAGGAAACGGAAAAGTGAAGTTGTGGCCACTCTCTTTCAATGAAACTGCGAACATCAAATACGTGATATAAAAAACCAATATTCAAATTAGTAAACATTTGAGTAAATTATAAGTAGAGTTTTAAGTATCTATGGAAGAAGAGTTTTATTCCTTCTACATCGACTCACATACGTAATAGAAATAGAAACAGAGGGATGGTGGTGAGAAACATGTATGAAATCTATATATCAATGGACTAACGATGTCGAGAGAATAACGGAGGGATGGTGGTGACAGTCTGGCAGACGATATCAATGTCAAACGATGTAGAGAGAATAACAGAGGGATATGGTGACAGACGCCGAGGAAACCACAAAGATAATGAGAGAAAGTGAAAGGCCCAGTCAATGATCAGGAACACAACCAACTAATACGACAGTTGTGAGAAGTTTGAGTGAGTATGAAATCAAAAACTACTACAATGATTCTATAAAGAAATTGTGAGATGATGCCACTCATGTTTTACAATTGAAGAGAAGCGTTGTGTCACAGGATAAAGAGATGACGTTTTCTGATTGCACCCTTAAGTACAGATCATACCTTTTTGATAAATTTCAAGTGATTAACTGGACTTGTTTCTCTGGTTGAAAAGAAGCGTTTCTTCGCAATGAACCTCTGTGATCTAATTAAACTTGCCATTGTACAAGAATGGACAAATTTATCTAGATAGTAGGCACATTCATCAACTTCCTTAATGATATGACAGGCCTCAAAACTGATTTTGATATTGGTGTTGTACATCGGTCAATTTTGATATTCTTGTCGTTCTCAAAAGTATCCTTTGTAGGAAGTCGTTGGCCTCGCTGATTCATAAATGGAAAGAGAGAAACTAATACATAAATTTCATACTAATTAATTGAAATCCTTTGTGTCCGCTGTTTTCCGTCACCTAGACCACATTACTTGATCGGAAAAATAGATAACCCATGAGATTTAGTAGCGGCAAAATCGGAGAAAGGAGATATCGATAATGAGAGTTTTTTTTGTTTGTTTGTTTGCAAATCTAAAAATTTGATTGCGGACGGTCACGATCACGTTGCAGCGGAAAAATTGATTTAAGCAAAAGTGACAAAGGAAATCTGAAAGAAGTAAAAATAAGGATATAACGAAGCAACACCGACAATGATGGAAAGATGCGACTGTGGATTAAAAGCTGCGACTCTAGATTACAAATTTGATAGATGCGTCGATTGAAGGAAGCAAAAGAGACGCTGTTTCTTTTCATAAATTGATGACGTGTGATCTGTTTAACAAAATCAATAATATCCGTTAGATTACATAATCAAAACAAACTCAACCGTTGGATTATTATTTTTTTTTCCTATAAAAAAATGCTGATGTCAGCGGACTAAAAAAGTGGGTTTGCTATTATATATAGATTATAAAACTACGAAATTTTTAAAACTAGATTTAAGTCCATGATAAAAATTAGATTCCGAAGTTTAATCTTCGAAATGTTGTGCCGGTCCAATTTCAGTTTACATATTAATTTTATGCTTCAACACACACACAATTTAAGAACCACACATACAGATTCAAAGACAATCACCACAACCTTGTTCCGTACTTTGTCTTCCATTTTCTTGCATAGCTTTTTTCAAGTGGATTCAATATTTCTTAATTTGCAAAATGAAATAGACCAACATGTCTTATCACTCCTTCCTGATCCGTTTCGGAGTCGTTCCAATTTTGTCTTTTAGTTCCTCGAACAAATCGGTTAGACGTTCATTTTCTTTGCAAGAAGTTAACTTAATAACGCCTTCTTTCTCGGCCTCTTGAATCAATTAAGTGATATTTAATGTTATTGTGTTTAGTCCTCTTGTGTTGTACTGGATTAGTTCCGATAGCAATTGCCGAATTGTTGTCACAATGACGACGACCGATGTAGTTGAAGTCACCAATTATTTAAGCATGCAACCGAGCGCTAGAGCAACGAAGGAAGCTTAGAGTTTTAAGTGCCAGGGTTAATAAAGAGCCGAGGTGTGTATATATTCTTAGAGCCCTTACAGAGATTTCATTTGAAGGGATTCAGAGAAACTTCTGGCTTTGAAAAGAATGCATATTTACGGCCAATTGTTTCACACTTAGACACACACAAAACGTTTTTTTTTTGAACGAAAGTAATGGTAAGCGTACGGGGATATAAGCATTAAATTTGCAGTATGAACACAATTACGGCTGTGAAAGCTTTGTCCCTTACTATTACGGTTGTATCCTTTAGTTGACTTGACTTAACCGTTTTGGTGGTCTATATATGGGTCTTAACCCACATTTACCATGCCGTTATGGTTGCTTTCCACAAAGACCTTGACTTGTTTTATCATACAGTTAAAAGTAAACGATATCGAGTTCTCACTTTGTCACAAGGAATTTTAAAGTGTTTTCACTAACAAAGAGATTTCTTGTTGAATTCTTATATAACCCTAGTGGTATATTTGCATTGAACTCACACTCCCAAATTGCTTTTCATTTCTTATTTGCAATGGAAGGGAAGCTTTTCTTGGAGCAATACTTGATATGGGTGATATTATTGTTGGGGCAGCTTCATGGATACACAAGCTGTATTGTGAAAGAAAGGGAAGCTTTGTTAGAGCTAAAGAAATACATGATCGCTAGGAGTGAAGAATATGACCTGGATGATGTTCTCCCTACTTGGACTAATGACACAAAGAGCGATTGCTGCCGGTGGGATGGCATTGAGTGCAATCGTACAAGCGGGCGGGTTATCGGGCTTTCTGTTGGTCGGATATACTACAAACAACAGCTAACAGATCGGTTCCTAAATCTTTCTTTGGTGCATCCCTTTGAAGAGGTTCGAAGTCTGAACTTATCTCCGGGCAACGACTACAACCCATTCTCATTCCAAGGCTTCTTTGATGATGTTGAAGGTATATTCTAGGCTTTTCACAGTGTTGAGTTTACCCTTGTGGTCTCTATTTGAAAACATTACTTTTGACAAATTAAAACTGAAGATGGGCTAAATCTTATTTTTCCTGTGTTAATTCTTCTATGTTAATCTAAAGGTAGTCGACCTTTTTCTGCATTAACCAACTTGCTGATGTAGTGCACAATTATATCCAACGGCCGATAACGATTTTTTTCTAAATCCCACAGAGTTTAACTCTCTTAATTGCATTTTCTTGTAGAATAGACTAAAAATTATAACTAAAATTATTAAAGTGATAAGGATATCTTACTTTTGTATACTTCATTAGTAGTTGCTAATAGTGGGGAAATTTCAAAACTATACCTCTTGAGGTGTCAATTTTCAAAAATACACCTCTATGGTGTCCATTTTCAAAACTACATTTTTTTCATTGAGGAAAAGAACTCTAAACCCTAAAATATAAACCCAAAACCCTAAAATATAATATTGAATCCTTAAATCTAAATCCTAATTTAGGATTAGTGAACCCAAATATATATATTAACATTAGGAAAAAGTGTATTTTTAAAAATTATCACACAATAGGTGTAGTTTTAAAAATTTGCAACCCAAAAAATGTATTTCTTAAAATTTATTATTAGTTAACAAGAAATATGTTTTGCAGGTTACAAAAGCTTACGAAAACTAAAACACCTGGAGAGTCTGGATCTCTCTTTCAATGCATTCGGAAACGACATCTTTCCTTTTCTTAGTGCCGCTACATCACTTACAACTCTTAATCTTCGCGATAACTTACTGGCTTTTTCTGCTAAAGGTGTGTTTTTCCTTTTGTAACGAGGTGCCTATCGTGCACAACCTACTCCTTGATGATGTATGCTTGGTCCGGTCGTTTAGTCTATGTAATTTTAAGTATTAAATTCAGTTCTTTGCTATCGTTCTAATATTCTCATGGAATATCTTTCAGAACAAGAAAACTCTACATTCTTCGAGTTTCGGAATCGGAGTAACGGTTCCATTCGAGGTAACACCCACGTTATATATCTGATGAATATAACTTTTAACTCTTTACATAATTGTTGATTTCCCATCTCAAAGATCATATTTTCCATATTAACTAGTACTATCTTGCGTCCTTTCTCTTTGTCTTGACAGAGCTGACTCGCCTAAAAAACCTAAAAGCTCTGGATCTAAGTACCAATTATTTTGCTAGCCCGATGTTATTGCAAGGCAAGAATGGTTTTTATCATATATATATATATATATATATACTTTTTTTTAACGGGAATGTATACGAATATTTAACTTATTTATATTTCGACATGATAAATTTTGTAACATTCGGCTTTTAAATCATTCAGATCTAAAAAAATTGCCTAACTTGGAAGTCGTGGGTCTTGCTAGAAATTTCTTGGACGGACCAATAGAAGGTGACCTTTCTTTTCTACACCTCTATGTATATGTATGAGAAGTACCTCGTGACTTATCTGAGACATCTTATATATAATTAGGGAGTTGCTCTCTACTCGTATTAAATGATGTATTAAAAAAGAAATGATTGGTTGAACTTAATATTTAAAATATTAAAAGTTAATTTTTAACAGTAGATGCAAGAGATTTGTTTTTAAAAGAAAAAGCAAATACTGAAAATTTAAAATGTCTAAAATTAAATTCATAATAATATATATTATGTAAAAAAATAGTGTATGTAATAAAATTTCATGCAAAATGTTTAACAGTTGAAAGCTATCAGTTAAATTTAACTAATAAAAATAAGTATTATATAAAACTAAATTATTGATTTTGATGTTAAAAAGAACTAAAATATTGACTATTTCTAACATTTTTAAAAAAAATCACTCAATTTTTTTTTGTTTGTATAAATATTCAATATATAAATATCAATATCATATATACAGAACAACACATAAAGCAAAAACATTAAGAGCATAGTTTGTAAAGTATATAAATAATGATGAACACCCAAAAATATATGTAACACAACCCCGCGCTTGCGCGGGGTACAATTCCTAGTAACAATAACTCCTATTATTCTCATTATTTGTCTGTTTTACAAATTATCTTCTTGCAGAACTTTGTGAAATGAAGAATCTGCGAGAACTAGATCTCAGAGAAAATAATTTTGCAGGCTAGATTCCTCTTTGTTTAGGTAGCTTGAAAAAGCTACGTGTCCTTGACCTCTCATCCAACCATTTCACTGGAAATCTACCGTCTAATTTCAGCAGCTTTGAGTCCCTCGAATATCTATCATTGTTAGAAAACAACTTTACAGGCTTGCTTTCTCTCAATCCACTCACCAACCTCACAAAGCTCAAGGTGTTAAAACTTTCATCAACATCCGATAAGGTCCAAGTAGAGACAGAGAGCAATTGGCATCCAAAATTTCAACTGAGTGTTGCTAAACTACGATTCTGTAGCTTAGAGAAAATACCATCATTTCTCGTGTACCAGAAGAACTTGCGTCTACTTGATCTATCCAGCAACAGATTATCCGGAGACATTCCTACTTGGCTGTTGGCGAATAGCACACAACTTAAAGCCTTACAGTTGCAAAACAATTCATTCACAATCTTTCAAAGGCCTTCAATGGTGCATAATTTGCAGGTTTTGGATATTTCAGCAAATCTTATTGGTGGGATGTTTTCTGATAGTATTGGCCGTGCGCTTCCGGAAATGGTAAATATGAATGGCTCATGTAATCGATTCCAAGGGAAATTTCCGTCGTCTATGGGTGACATGAAGAAGATAATATTTTTGGACCTCTCTTATAATAACTTCTCTGGGAAGCTGCCCAAAAGCTTTCTCACCGGTTGTTCGTCACTAAAATATTTGAGTCTTTCTTACAACAAATTTGTCGGACATGTTCTTCCAGGAGGAACAAGCTTCACTACCTTGCGCATGTTGAGAATCGATAACAACTTATTTACAGGCAAGATTGGAGTTGGTTTGCTTAGCTCCACCAGGAGCTTGGCATTCCTTGACATGTCCAACAATCGTCTTCAAGGTGCAATTCCAAGTTGGATATCTAGGCTATCTAGTTTGCAAATCTTATTGTTACCAAACAATTTCTTACAAGGTACAATACCACATTCGTTGGTGGACTTGCACTATCTTTCGCTTCTGGATCTCTCTGGAAATCTATTATCTGGAGCCTTACCGTCAGTTATGGCTGTGCAATTTCTATTCCTCCGCAACAATAGCTTCATAGGGCCAATTCCAGACACCTTGTTGGAAGGTGTGCAAATACTTTCTCTGCGGAACAATAAACTCTCAGGGATTATCCCGCAGTTTGTCAATACTCGGGGCATACTGCAGGTTCTTTTGTTGAGGGAGAATAATCTGACAGGATCTATTCCAAGGCATTTGTGTTATTTGAGAAACATCAGAGTTTTAGATCTTTCAAATAACAAGCTTAGTGGCTCCATACCTTCATGCCTCTTTAATTTATCATTTGGAGTGGGAGAAGACGAGACGAGTGAACCAATCCAAGGGTTTGGGTTGTCTCTAGGGGGATTTACGATGGAATCTTACAAATCAACATTTGTGGTGGAGGAGCTTGAGGTGGCAGGCGTTATTATTGGAGAAGCTGAAATAAATTTTGTAGTGAAGCAAAGGTATGAATCTTATACTGGAGGAGGATTGTTAGGCTTTGGAACATTTGATTATATGTATGGGATGGATCTATCAAACAATGAATTAAGTGGTGCTATCCCACCAGAGTTTGGACATCTCCCGAAACTAAAAGCCATGAATCTATCTCACAACTTCTTGTCAAGTTCAATCCCATCCAGCTTCTCCAATCTGAAGGATATTGAGAGCCTTGATCTTTCTTACAACATGTTGCATGGAAGCATTCCTCACCAACTGACCAGCCTTACATTCCTTGAAGTGTTCGACGTGTCTCACAACAACCTATCAGGAATCATCCCCCAAGGAAAGCAATTCAACACCTTCACCGAGCACAGCTACTTAGGCAATCCTCTTCTCTGTGGAACACCGACCAATAGAAGTTGTGTGGCTAATAAGAGCTCGGAGGAAGCAAAATATGGAGAAGAAGAAGAAGATGATGAAGCTTCTTTTGACGTGTTGGTCTTCTATTATAGCTCTGCTTCAGGTTATGTGACCACGTTGATACTGATTGTTGTACTTATGTGCTTTGATTGTCCTTGGCGTCGAGCATGGCTCCGCATTGTCGATGCTGTCATCGCCCTAGCGAAAAGTATGTTGCCTTAAACTATTTCCAGCTCACTTCTTTGATTTCTCTATCCAATAAAAAGCTTAAATGCACTATATTTCTATATATGTAAATGTGCTTTGGATTCCTTTCCAAGAACTAATAAGAAAAATAACATACAAATTTTGGAATGGTTTAGTAATTTTTTTGAAAGGGCTCTTGAACAAATAATTTATAAAAGATTACAAATTATTGATTCAAATAATATATTCGAAAAGTTTAGAAGACAAATAAAATCAAAGACCTTGACGTGGGTGGCTTCTCAATTATTATCATACAATTCAAAGTAAACGATAGCTATTACTCCCCTAACGTATGCAACATGAGTTTTAGGTGATTTTATTAACTAAAAATTTCTAAATGTGTATACAGTGTCGTATGGATAAGTGATAACTGTAGAAGCGTTGGAAGCGTAGCATCTACGTCAATTGGCACTGTTCATATATTTTTGACTCTTTTCATCAAGGGTAGAACATAATTCTTGAATTGGTTCATACATCTGAAGATTAATTAGAGGTACCTTGCTTTGAGTCTTTCAGCAGCTTTGATTAACCTGGAAAAGCTAAAAACTCTGGATCTAAGCTCAAATTTTTTTTCTATCTCAATGGAATTGAAAGACAAGTTTCAATGATGAAAATAACTTATGTACATTTTGACAACGATCAGTTTTCATGGTACAATTAATGTATTTTTTTGTTTCAGCACTAAAAGACTTGATAAACTTGGAACAACTAGATTTGAGTGGAAATAGCTTAAAGGGCTCCATACCATTAATTTTGGTTTATTTTCTTCAAAGTATAATTTAAAACAGATTTAGTTTCATACATGATTGTAGAATTTGTTTATGCCATCTCAAAGATCATCATATCCAAACTAAGTAGAGGTTACTTGCTTTGTGTCTCTTTGTCTTGTGTCAGAGTTAGACTCATCTGAAAAAGCTGATTTTTCTATTCCAATGGAATTACAAGGCAATATTGATTTTTTAACTTTCTTTTATTAGTTATGGAGATAATGTTTGTTATTTATATTGTGACATTGAACAGTTTTCAAAGTAAATTTTGTTGGTCTTTACATTGTTTCAGCACTAAGTAACAATGCTTTTTCTAGCCCAATGGAAATTGCAAGGTAAACTTGGTTTTCTTAACTCTCTTTTTTTAGTTCTGGAGATGAAATATATAGCATATTTATATTTTGACAATGATCAGTTTTCAACGTGCAATCTTTTGATCCTTACTTTGTTTCAGGAGTAAAACACTTGACAAACTTGGAACAGCTAGATCTGAGTACAAACTTCCTAAACGGCTCCATGCCAGGTAATTGTCCATAAACCTAAACACATTTAACTCCAAACATTTTTTTTAAAACCCTTAATCCATCTATGAGCTTCCCTTTCTACGCCTTTCGTTATAATCTCAAACGACTTTCTGAAACTTTTAAACGTCACCACGGGAAAATACAGCCAATGAGAGCCAATAAATAAAAGAGGATTTAAGAAATGCTTGTTATTTATTATAGGTGTAGTTATGAACTTAATTCGTGCGTTACCTACATTCCTTTCATCTCAAAGGTTTACTTCTTGTATATATTACACATTCACAAGCCCTTATAACATCTCTAAAGGAGAATCTCTCTTTTATTTCTGTTTTATCTCTTCCACTCTTATCGAAAATGGGAGGTAGTAAGAAGCGTGTTGTCTCTAAACCTTCATCTTCTCGTACTATCGCCAAAGCAAAAAACAACAAATCTGTTACCATTGAAGCATCGATTGTGTCTTCCTACAATGACCGGATCAGGCCGTTGCTTGACACAGTGGATAAGCTGAGGAACCTGAATGTGATGCGGGAAGGGATCCAGCTTCCCACCATTGTTGTGGTTGGAGACCAATCCTCTGGAAAGTCGAGTGTTCTTGAGTCCTTGGCAGGGATCAGCCTGCCCCGCGGGCAAGGAATCTGCACTAGGGTTTCTCTTGTGATGAGACTTCAAGGAAGTACTAGCCCTGAACCTGAGATCTGGCTTGAGTATAGTGACAAAGTTGTTCCAACGGATGAGGAACACATCACTGATGCTATTTCTGCTGCAACTGATGTCATCGCTGATATGTTCTGCCTCTCTCTCTCTCACTTCTCTTGCTTCATCAGCAAGATTAGATTATTGTGAATGAGACTTTTGTCTGAAACATGGATGTTATAGTGTTATACTATATGGTGAATATTTAGAGTGGTTAGTGTTTGTGACTTGTTACTATGATTAAGAACTTAATAAAAATATATTATGGTCCAGGATCTCGTAAAGGGATCTCAGACAGTCCCTTGACCCTTCACGTGAAGAAAGCTGGTGTTCCTGATTTGACCATGGTTGATCTTCCGGGGATAACTCGAGTTCCGGTGAAAGGACAGCCAGAGAACATCTATGAGCAGATCTCCGGGATGATCATGAGCTACATAGAGCCACATGAATCAATCATCCTTAACGTTCTGTCAGCAACGGTAGACTTCACCACTTGTGAATCCATTCGGATGTCCAGGCAAGTTGACAAAACCGGTGAACGGACTCTGACTGTTGTCACAAAGGCAGACATGGCTCCTGAAGGTCTCCTCCAGAAAGTGACCGCAGACGATGTGAGTATCGGACTAGGTTACGTCTGTGAGAGGAACCGTGTAGGTGAAGAAACATATAAAGAAGCAAGAGAGGAAGAAGACTTGCTTTTCAAGACTCATCCAATGCTCTCAATGATCGATGAAAACATTGTGGGCTTCCCTGTTCTTGCTCATAAGCTAATACAGATCCAAACAACAATGATCGCTCGATGCTTGCCTGAAATCGTACGCAAGATCAACCAGAAGATGGAAACAGCTGACGTAGACCTGAAAAAGCTTCCAATGGTAATGGTTTCCACTGGGGAAGCGTTGATGACGTTGATGGACATCATTGGCTCAGCGAAAAAGTCTCTCTTAAGAATCCTTATACAAGGAGACTTCTCCGAGTTCCCAGATAATCAGAAGATGCATTGCACCGCACGCTTGGCTGATATGTTGAGCAAGTTCTCAGATGACCTACAAGCAAACCCTAAGCAACCTACCGAGTTCTTGATGAATGAGATCAAGGTTCTTGACGAATGCAAATGCGTTGGATTGCCTAACTTCATTCCGAGATCAGCGTTCTTGGCGATACTCTCACAACATGTGGATGATATTCAGGTGAAGCCAGTCGAGTTCATCAAGAAGATTTGGGACTACATTGAAGTTGTTCTCTCATCAGTCATCACTAAATACTCTGAAAACTTTCCACAGATTCAGTCTTCCATCAAACGAGTCGGGAGGAATCTCATGTGCAAGATCAAGGAACAGTCAGTGGATAGAGTGATTCAGATCGTTGAGATGGAGAAGCTTACCGATTACACGTGTAGCCCTGAGTACATGAAGTCTTGGACGGAGAAGATAGAAGAACAAAAAAGGTTCGTCGATGCTGTTTTGTGCGATGGGCAAAGACCTTCGAGCTTCTCTATGAATGGATTTGCGAATGTGAAGATTTCGCATTTGCGAGAGTATCAGGCTCATCTGCTGCAACAAGCGTTCGACATGAAGATGAGGATTGTATTGTACTGGAAGATAGTCTTGCGTAGGATTGTGGACAATCTTGCGTTGTATCTTCAGCTATCTGTGAAGTATCTTGTTAATACTCAGTTTCAGAAGGAGATTGTGGTGGAGATGGTGGATCCTGAAGGTGGTGGAGGAGTTGAGAAGTTGCTGGAGGAGTCTCCGTTGATTGCAAGCAAGAGGGAGAAGTTGAAGAACAGTATAAAGGTTTTGAAGGAGTCCAAGGATGCTGTTGCCGCCATTGTTGATCAGAATTATGAGTAGAAAGATATCAACAATCTTCGAGCTTGGGTGAAGTCGTGGTCGTGTCAGGTTCTAAGAGAGTTTGTTTTTTTAATTTCTTTGAAGTTGGAAATTTTGTGTTTTTTTGAATTTCGGAATTTTATTAGCTATGGAACGTTTTAAAAAGTAATTGTGTGGTAAAGCTTACCGCTTACTCATGGTGTTGTCTTTTGAAGTGAATTCCAAATTATAGGACTAAAGTACCAATTTGAAGTGAACAAGAAAACAACAATTTTAGTGGACTTCTTTGTTCTTCTCTTGATATTATCTTCTTCACGAATAAGCTCTTCTTGTCTTTTCAGTGCAATACCTTCTTTGTATGCAACGTCAATTTTGTTGTAGAAGATATGATCAAGAACAACTACCTCTAAAGCTCATTTGGCAAGATAGAAAAATCCATCTCTATTTTCCAAGTTCCAATTCTCTAGTTTAGAGAAAAAATTAGAAAACTATTTTGTCGATGTATTGTTACATGTTTCTCTACAGTTTTTAAAAATTTATACTGAATCTAAAGTTTATATTTTGCTGATAACCATGGACACTCATATCTTTAGTAGCTTGATTCGTTTAATTTTAATTTCATAGCGCAGTTAACAAGTCCATCAAACTATCCCAATAAACACTGTACCAGCTCCGGTTCAGCCAATATAATCTCTGGTTTAATGTCAATATTTTTTCTTTTGGGTCCATATCTTGAGTTTAATTAGTGCTTAACCAAGTAATTTAAGCTCACAAATCAACAATTATAAAAAAAAAAAAGATTCTTCAGGAAATCTCGGCTTAGACAGATAAGAGACGATACAAAGGCATCTAGAAGACGAAAAATAGAGCGACATTAAAACGAGACTAGAAGGTACAAAGTTAAAATCTGATTAGGGTTTCTTTTTCTTCCTTGTATTCCTAGAATTACATTTCTTTTCCTGTTGTGTTTCGTATTAATTGTTTCTTATATATTACGACTGAGTCATTAATCGTTGACTTCTTTGGAATTCTTCAGATATACTGAACATGGAGGTGAAAGCTACTCCAAAATCTTCCATGGAAATAAAACTTTCTGAGATCGTTATAATAGATATGCCTGGTCCGAGAGAGACTTGCAGTATCTGTACCGACGACAACATGAGATCTAATCAGATGTTCTCTGTTGATATATGTCATCATCGGTTTTGTTCCGAATGTGTGAAACGACATTTAGAGGTGAGACTACTCGAGGGACTCGCGATGACATGTCCTCACGATGGTTGCCAGTCTAAGCTGAGTTATATAAATTGTATCCACCTTTTGACACCTAAACTAAAAGAGTTTTGGAGACAAAAGATGAGAGAGGACTTGATTCCTGTAGCGAAGAGAGTTTATTGCCCAAACCCTAGGTGCTCGGCTTTAATGTCGGAAACCGAGCTCTCTATAAGTAAACCTACTGATGAAGCTATGAGATTCTGCGTTAGATGCCATAACCCGTTTTGCATCAGCTGCAAAGTCCCGTGGCATAGTAACTTGTCGTGCGAGGATTACAAGAGTTTGCATCCAAATCCTACAGAAAGTGAAAGAAAGCTAAAAGCTCTAGCAAATCAGAAAAGGTGGCGTCAATGTGGAAAGTGTCAGAATATGGTTGAGCTTTCTCAAGGATGCGTTAGCGTGGTCTGCAGGTAACATATCTATTCTCTAATCACATCTCCTTTCCAAAATTTTATTATGTAATATTATTAAGCATGCGGTTTTAAAATATTTATTTATTTTGTTGTATGGAAATTGCAGATGTGGACATACGTTTTGCTACCGATGTGGAGCCGATTATGGAGATTGTCCTCATGGTCATAACTTCTATGATCTTACGACTGGACGTCTATTGTTTCGACCATGGTGTTTGTGTGCTTGCTTTTGGCTTTTTGTTTTGTTATTATTTTTAGCTACTATTGTTCTTGCTATTGTACAATACGTCAGAAACTCTTAGACTACTATAATTGGTTTTGTATATCGTTTACAAGGATTCTGATTATTAATTGATGAAAAGTTTCAAATTTTCCCATATGTTACAGTCGAGCATTAATTAAAAGTTGAACGAGACTAACCACAAGTACATAGTTAACTCAATTTCGTAGAGACCAACTTTGTTGATGTTGCTGGTTATTTTGGGGTTTTATCACAAACTAGACATCAACAAATATATCAATATTGAAATAAAACTGACTGAACATGAAAGCTTTCGTGTTTCTAAAGACATGTTACTAAATCGATCAACCAACCCTCAAAAGAAGAATAAGTTGGCTAATGTTGTTGGTTATTTTGGGTTTTTGTCACACCCTTAACATAAGCAAAAATAACAATGAAATAAACAGGCTTTAGAGTTTTAAGTAAAATGCTAATTGGCATGTGAAATGACTAATGAACTAAAACTAATTTACAAAATTTTATTGAGATTTATTGCATAAGTTATACAAAAACAGGCTCTAAAGTTTTGTTTAAACCGAAAGTATACTAGCCAAACTTCTAACAACAAGCATTCCACAAGATTCCATGAACATTAAGAAAAAGGGGGAAAAATACAAAGACCATTTTTCAGTGAGATTCCATGCGTGAGATAAAGACATTGAACAAAAACTCATTGTCCTTAATTACCTCTAACCTTAATAACTCTCCATCTCACAAGCGTTCTCTGATTCTAAGAAAACTCTCAAAAACAGAGTTTATTCCCAATTCAATTATCCCCAACATACACAAATACAAGACTCTTTTATTTTTCAAGACACCGGAGCCATGTCTTTACCTTTGGTTGCAGCTGTAGCTGCTGCTGCGGCGGCAGCGGCTGCAGCAGCAGCAGCCGCGGCAGCCGATGATGCTGGACTAGTAGTAGATGGAGGAACAGGTTGGCTTTGCGGTGCAACTACTTCCTGACGCTTTTGCAGCTGTGGAGGAGAGTTGAGATCACTAAGCATCTCTTTAATCTGTTTCCCTGACAGAGTTTCATGCTGAAGCAAAGCATTGGCAAGTGCGTGAAGCTCTTTGTGGTAAACCGTGAGGATGTTCTTGGCATTGTTATAAGCTTTCTCCAAAAGCTGTTTCACTTCGCTCTCAATGAGAAGCCTCGTCTCAGTGCTCATGCTCTTCCCATTGTCGTCATAGTTATGCGCCACGAGACCAACCTCTTTGCTCATACCAAACTTCGTAACCATTGCTCTCGCGAGTTTAGTTGCCTGCTCAAGATCAGAAGAAGCACCTGAAGTGACCTCACTTTCCCCAAAGATCAACTCCTCAGCTACTCTGCCTCCCATACAAACATCAAGCCGAGCAAGCATCTGTTTCCTGGAAATGCTCGTCTCGTCTTTATCCGGTAGCTGAGAAACCATGCCGAGAGCCATCCCACGTGGCACAATGGTTGCTTTGTGGACTGGAAGAGCACCGTCTGTGTGAATGGCTACAAGCGCATGACCACCTTCATGGAAAGCAGTCAGCTTTCTTGACTCGTCTGATATCACTGCAGATTTTCTCTCGCTTCCCATCATGATTCTGTCTTTTGCAAACTCAAGATCAGACATCGTCACATCTTTTGAACCGTCCATTGCAGCTTTCAGAGCAGCAACGTTGACAAGATTCGCCAAATCAGCACCAGAAAATCCAGGCGTTCCTCGAGCTATGATCATCAAATCCACATCTTCAGCCTTTAGTACCTGATAACACACAATCAAGAAAGACAAACCAACGGTTACAGAGATGAAAGATCTACTAGTGCATAGTTCTTGATGTCCGTTACTGTATAATATAAAGTTACCTTTGACATGTGAGACTCCAAAATCTGGCGGCGACCTTCAACGTCAGGGTTAGGTACAACGATATGACGATCAAACCTACCAGGTCTAACCAGGGCCTTATCCAAAGACTCAGGGAAATTGGTTGCAGCGACCACAATGATTCCTTCGTTCTGTTTAAACCCGTCCAGCTCAACGAGCAACTGGTTCAACGTCATCTTCATGTACTGCTGGTCCTTGGGATTACGACTTCCTCCAATAGCATCAATCTCGTCGATGAAGATAATACAAGGAGAGCACTTCTTTGCGGCGCTGAAAAGATCCCTCACTCTTCTTGCTCCAACCCCAACAAACATCTCTTCGAACTCACTACCACTGCAGGAGAAGAAAGGCACTCCTGCTTCTCCGGCAATAGCCCTTGCAAGCATTGTCTTCCCTGTCCCAGGAGGACCGACAAGCAACACACCCTTAGGAAGCTTTCCTCCCAAACGAGTAAACCTCTGTCACAATGATCAAAAGAAAGATTGAGTGAGGCCAAAAGAACAGAAAGTTACAATCACTAATATCTAGTTAGAAGCACTGTGAATTTACCTTGGGGTCACGAAGGTAATGCACAATTTCTTCTAGCTCAGCTTTGGCTTCATCAACACCCTTTACGTCAGTAAATTTGGTGCTTGAGTCCATACTAGGTTGCACTTCTTCATGCAGACCAAGTCCTAACATATGTTCAAAACATAAACATGGATAAATATATCACCCAAAACAGCTATTGAATCACACTGGAATTTAATACAACCAAACTTACCTTTGCCAATTCCTCTATCCTCAATAAGTGCACCAACACCAGAAATAAGTAAAAATCCAACAGCAATAGTCCTGAAGGTACTCCAAAGCTGTTCTTTAAAGCTAGTCCTTTCATTGGATATCATATGGATCGGTGCAGCAGCAGTTCCAAGGACACCATCTTTTGTTGGTTTTCCAAAGTTTCTAAACGCTGCCATACTTCCAAAAGACTCTTGCTCCATTGAACCACCAGCACTAGCAATACCTTAAAGAACAGAACAAACTTGCATTAGTACGGAAGCTATTCAATCAGAAATCACAAAAGAAGTCAATGCACTCTTTATAAAACCCCTAATCTAACCAAAAGTTTCATACTTTGCAAAGCTAGAATGTATTTCTCTCTCTCTCTCTCTCTCTGTCTCTCTCCTTACCCACCTCGTTGCAATGTACGTACGAGCTCACTTTGATCAAGCCTATCAACTTTAACCAACGCCTTGATGTATTCCGTCAGTGCAGAGGCATTCGAATGCATAGAAGGGCTGCTTTCGAATATTCTTATAACTGATTCAGGGTCGTTTCTGCGGAAAAGTTCTCTAAGATGTGCAACCTCGTTAACTTCTTCTCTGTCACGCACTCTGCGAGCAAAGCTACCAACATAACTTGATTGAAACCTCGATTGCGGCAAAGAAGCTCCACCACCACCAGTAGCAGCTATAGAAGAAAGGTAACACATTTACATCAAAATGCTTCTGGAACAATCGAAAAAGGAAGTAAAAACTTCTCAGGGGAAGTGAATATACCTCCAACAACTCCCACTCTAGGAAGAGAAGAGTAAGCTCTGGAAACTAAGCTTCTTAAACTACTAAATTCCCGTTCATGGCTCGAAACCTGTCATAGATTTGAGTAAATTGCTCAGCCAAAACTCAAATTAAACACTAGACAGATCATGAAAAACAAAAGGTGAAATCTTTTTGCCTGCTCTGAATCAAGACTACAATCCTAAGACAATTTTTATAACCCCAAATTCAAAATAGGAGATATTGCTATTCAAATCAACTAATTAGCCATAAATGAGTCAACTTTCAATTATCCAAAAGAGAACAAAACACAAAATAATGTTATCCACTGGACAAAAAGACAACAATTTGATGGCAGATAAGTTTTTTGTGACTCTAGGGTTTGCAAAAAGATGATCTCTTTCTTCCGTTTTTCAACGATCTTTACGAAACCCATCCGGAAATGAAATCTAAATTGATGAAATCCACTACAGATTTTACCAAATTCGAAACCTTATAAGAAAAAAATTTGCATACGAATATAAAAAAAAAAATTGAAAACAGAAACCTTGGTGATGATGCGCCTCCAAGCCATCAATCAATCTTCCTTCGCGGCGTCTTACAAAATTGGTGTGAGTGAATGTTCGGAATATCGAACACGAAGCTCTGTCTTCCCTCTCGATCTGTATCGGAGAAACAAAACACTCCTCTTTTGGTCTAAAAGCTAACAAGTCTTAAAAACTGAAAGATACACGTGAAAGGACTATTTTGGTTCTCGGGAGAGAGAAAAATTGTGCAGCAGGTTTAGACACGCACGAGATATGTAGGTCGTCGTCTTCTCTATAAGGCTTTACATAAATACCCATTATCATTATACTGGGCTTTGCTTCTCGGCCCAACTAAAACAAAAACGTGAATGGCCTAAGAATATTCCATAGCATCGACCATCGAGGATACAAAACCGATAAGTGTGATATGTTGTAATTGGGAATCCACTTTAGATTGCCATAAAAAAAGGTATAAACGATTCTATGAATTTAATCCATATGGTAACACAATATATTTTTTCCCATGCATCTCCTAATATATTATCTCACAAGTCACAATCATTGCAAGAATAATACGAATGGGGATTTGTTAGATAATATTGCATGACGATTCTTTTTCTTTTGATAATTTTCTTTCTTTCGCCGTCCTCGGCCGTGGACCTTCCCGTCGCATCCGACAGTGGTAGCCGTAGCAACGCCGAGGTTGGGTTCATCTTCCAAACGTGGTTGTCTAATCACGGGAAGAGTTATGTCGATGCTCTCGGAGAGAAGCAACGGCGTTTTCAGATCTTCAAGGACAATCTCCGTTTTATCGACCAACATAACGCTAAGAACCACAGTTACCAGCTCGGTTTGACTCGGTTTGCTGACCTAACTGTTCAAGAGTACCAAGGCCTTTTGTCTGGACGCCCTGATCATGAACCGATACAAAGGGCTCGCAGAGTCAGTCATAGGTACGTGTCACTCGCGGGAGATCAGCTCCCAGAGTCCGTTGACTGGAGGAAACAAGGTGCAGAGTCGGAGATTAGAGACCAAGGCAATTGCAGTAAGCATTTTTTACTTGTCTTTCACATATAAAACTTAATTACGGTAATATCTCTAAATCCTAATATAAGGAAAAATACTATCATGATTAAAATATATTTTAATCTAATTGGTTTTCTTTTTTCATATTAATTTGAAATGAAAGATAGCTGCTGGGCATTCTCATCAGTAGCAGCCGTGGAGGGAATAAATAAGATCGTAACCGGACAGTTAATCTCACTGTCCGAGCAAGAATTGGTTGACTGCAACGCGGACAACTACGGTTGTGAAGGAAGAGGCTTCATGGACAAAGCTTTTAAGTTCCTTATCAATAACAATGGTCTTGATTCCCAAATTGATTATCCTTACACGGGCGTTCAAGGCAACTGTAACCGCAAAAAGGTTCATCTACTAATCTACTAATGGTTCCGTGACTAAAAACCCATATATAAGTGCATATCTCTCTCTAACTAGTTTCACTTCTTTGTTTTTGGGTCTCATCAGGATAAATCACACAAGATTGTTACAATTAATGGCTACGAGGATGTGCCAGCGAATGATGAGTTATCCTTAAAGAAAGCTGTTGCTCACCAGCCCGTGAGTGTTGCCATTGATAAAAAATCCCGAGAATTCATGCTTTATAAATCGGTAATAATATATATAGGCACATATCAAATACCACCTTTTAACTTCTAAATTTTTTTGTTAAACTTATATCGTACTTGTTCACATGTTTGATGATGTCATTAAGGGTATATTTACCGGACCTTGCGGGACACAGCTTGACCATGCGGTTGTTATCGTCGGGTACGGTAGTGAGAACGGTCAAGACTATTGGATCGTGAGAAACTCGTGGGGCACGAAGTGGGGAGATGCTGGTTACGCTAAGATGGCTCGTAACTTCAAAGATCCAGCAGGTATATGTGGGATCACGATATTTGCTTCATATCCTATCAAGAACTAGACTTTGAATGCATTAGGGAAAGAAACTATACTACCACTATTATACTTATAGAAATTGTAATGAGTGTCTGGACGTTATAGATGCTTTAGCCATGTGTGCTTATTGAGAATTTATATGAACACGTATCGTTGTCTTCATATTCCAACTGTCACTCTGTCACTCACTTCTCACCTTCGGAAAATGGATTAAAATTCGTAATGATTTGGCCTTGTGGCATGCTTTGTGAGAAATGGGCTAAAGTTTATTTGAAATCAAAAGAGTTATAACTAGGCCCATAATGAAAATGCGATTCTAGATTACTGAAGAAGTTTCTGGAAACCTCGTGTCCACGTGCTTAGACAAATGGCAAGAAGAAGCTTTGAAATTCAGTGTCCAGAAGCTTCTTTTATCACTCCACTTGTATCCATTTCTCTCTCCTCCACGCTTACTTAGCTCTCTCTACATTTTCAGACATTCACAATCTTTCCTCAAACCAAAGTTTCTATTTTTGCAAAAAAAAAAAAAAAAAAAAACGTTTTATAAACTTGTCTAAATATCTTCTCTGTCTCTAAAGATCCAAAATTGCAAGTCAAATTCGTGAAAATTCGCTTTCTTTAGCTTATGGGTTAGAAATGGAGCAACTGAAAGTTGAAATGGAGGAAGAGACAGTGACTTACGGGGGTTCGACGGCTGCGGCTTCATCGTCGGTCGGATCATCGTCGTCACCGAGACCAATGGAAGGGCTCAACGAGACCGGACCACCGCCATTTCTGACAAAGACTTACGAAATGGTGGAGGATCCGGCGACGGACACGGTGGTATCGTGGAGCAGTGGCCGTAACAGCTTTATCGTTTGGGATTCTCACAAATTCTCAACCACTCTCCTCCCTCGCTACTTCAAGCACAGCAATTTCTCCAGCTTCATTCGTCAGCTCAACACTTATGTAAGTGCCTCTTTGCTAAATTCATCATTTTAGATTCTCGTCTTCTTGTTCTTTTTGTTGTTTCTAATCTTAATTTTGGATTTCTTTAGATGGGTTTCTTTAAAGATTAGTCCTCAGCTATAAAGGTTAGTTCTTTTGTGCTTTTGAACGACTGGTTTCAAATGGGTTTCCAAAATTTTGCTCTGAAGTATTGTTGAAGAATCTGAGAATGTATTCATATGTTTAGGGTACCTTTATCTCTGGGTTTAGCAATAATTTGACTATTTTGGCTTTTGTGAATTAAGGCTAATGGCATAAGAAAGAAATTTGATGCAAGTACTCTGTTTTTGGAGCTTTTGTCACTGCAAAATTAAGGAAAATGAAGTAGAAATCTATGGACCAGAGGAGCATAATGGAGTAGGCAAGAGAGTTTTGGTGTAATTGAATACTTGGAGTTGCAAATTTCTTTCCTTTTCCCTCAAGAACCGTGTTGGCCAAATTGTTTGATATGAATTCACTTCTGCTTTGCACTTACCTCGAATCCTCTGTTTTTGAAAATTAAAAATGAAACCTTTTTAAGATTCTGCTCAAGTTCAACATTCTGATGGAAATTTCCTTTTTTTATTACAGGGATTCAGAAAGATCGATCCAGACAGATGGGAATTTGCCAATGAAGGGTTTTTAGCTGGTCAAAAGCATCTCCTGAAGCACATCAAGCGAAGGAGAAACATGGGTTTGCAGAATGTGAATCAGCAAGCTTCAGGATCTGGGATGTCGTGTGTGGAAGTTGGACAATACGGGTTCGAAGGAGAGGTAGAGAGGCTGAAGAGAGATCATAGCTTGCTCGTAGCTGAGGTAGTTAGACTGAGACAACAGCAGCATAGCTCCAAGAACCAAGTTGCAGCCATGGAGCAGCGGTTGCATACTACAGAGAAGAGACAGAAGCAAATGATGACTTTCCTCGCAAAGGCCTTGAACAATCCAAACTTTGTTCAGCAGTTTGCATTGATGAGCAAAGAGAAGAAGAGTCTTTTCGGTTTGGATGGTGGGAGGAAAAGAAGGCTTACTTCTAGTCCAAGCATTGGTTCTCTTGAGGAGAAACTGTTGCAGGATCAGGAGTTTGATAGAATGAAGGATGATATGGAGACGTTACTCGCTGCAGCTATTGATGATGAGTCGAGTAGATTGATGCCTACTAAAGAGGAGCAGTGTTTGGAAGCTATGAATGCGATGATGGAAGATGGTCGGAATCTTGAGGCAGAGATGGATGTGAAAGTGGAAGATTTTGTTGACTCACCTTTGGATTGGGGCAGTGAGGATCTACATGACATTGTAGATCAAATGGGTTTTCTTGGATCAGAACATTGATCATACAGCTTAACTGGTCTCCAAGACCGTTTTACACAGTCTTAAGTTGTGGTAATTGCTACCACCTCTATTTACTTGTTTGAATTGTTTCTTTTGTTTTGTTTCAATGAGTGCATAAAGTGTTGTGGTTTCTTGTACTTTTGTTTTCCTGTTCTGTTGAATAATAAAACTCTGATTTTATGTTTTTTTCTTTGGTTCTTCTCCAGATCTTGGCAGCAAAGCATATGTTTTTGACCTTTGAAGCTGCGTTCAGCAATTAGGGGTTTGTGTACGAGAGGACCTGACTTCAGTAACTTTTGTTGAGCTTTCTTTGGGATAAGTGACCAAGTTAACTTACATTGTTGACGAATTTGTAAATTGTGATTAGTGTATAGACTATGTTTTGTATTTGTACTTTATACTTTGTGTTATGTATTTGTTGTCTTTTTACGGATGAAAATCATATACTAATGGTGATTTGTTTTTACAATTTTTGAAAATAGAAGTTGTATCTATAAAAAAGTTGTACTTTTGCTTTATGAACATTTAGGACCATGTTATCAACGAGTGCTAAGGATGAGTATTGGGTTGTCACGAGATTTTAAGATAATGATCAAATATGAAGATATCAATAGAACAAAAAAAAAGGACCATGTAATGATTTAGTTTCTTCTTTATGGTTAAAATTCCAAAGTCCAAATGCAGAAACCATTTCATACATACATAGCCCTTTCTTTCCCCGATTAAAGTATTAACACCCCAATACTTTAAAATCATCAATAATTTGTTCAACTTAAAAAGGAGTGACCAAGAACGAAAGAGTAACAAAAAGTGGAGAAAAAGGAAACCAAAACTGTGTGGCTCCATTGACGGTAAACCCCATTTTGACACCTACAAGCACTTGCCAGTGCAACAATGAGTACAAAGCCATGGTGGAGATGGTCAAAAAGATCAGATACTCAAATTATTTCTTTTTCTTCTTAGATCTCGTGTTACATTTTCACCTAAATATTTACTGGTATCATTTTTACTAAATAAAACGTCATTCCTTCCTATGCATACAATAATAGGGGGATTATAGTTAAATGTTGACAAGAAAACCTAAACTTCAGTATGAAGTCCGTGGTTACAATCAATATTCACTAGCATAGTAGAGACCAGAATTTGGCAAATAATTTTCAACGCAATTTGTCTTCTTGCAACATAGTCTAATGGTGGGATAGTGGAAAGAGAGCAGAATCCACTTTTCAAAAGTACATCAAATACTATATAAATTTAATGAACCACCCAACAAAACCCACAGACATTAAAAGAAAAGAGGTGAGAACTTTTAGAGATAGAGAGATGAAGACGCAACATCTATGGTGGGGAGTTCTTGATCAATTCTTGGTACAACACAAAGCTCTTCTTGCATTCTTGACTTTTGCAGCGGTTGTGATCATTGTCTACTTGTACCGACCCTCCTGGTCCGTACGCAATGTCCCCGGTCCAACTGCTATGCCTCTTGTTGGCCACTTGCCCTTGATGGCTAAGTATGGTCCGGACGTCTTTTCCGTTCTTGCTAAGCAATATGGCCCTATCTTCAGGTACATCTCTTTCTCTTGAGTCTTTTGATTCCTAGTTGTTTTTTTTTGGTTTTTGTCAAAACTGAAACCAAATACAAACTTGTAATCTGGTTTTGTTTGATTTGATGTAATTTTGTTTTATATAATCTGGTTTTCAGTTTCAGTTCAGGTTGTTTACATCAAATAAGATCCTTGGTTTAAAAATAAATGTAATCATACCAATGCATATAATACATATTAATTTTGTAAATAGTTATTTAATTGAATATTTTATAAAGTGATATGATTGCATGTATTTTAAAAACATATTTAAAATTGGCCACTTGAGATTTGGTTAAGTTTAGCCCATATGGTCATCTCCTATGGTTGCTTCTTGACTGATTGATAAACACAAAAGATTGGGAAAAAACCAAGATGAACACAAGTGAGCATGTCCAAGAAAAAATACAAAAATCTAACAAAAACTTAAAGTGTATAAAAACAGATTTCAGATGGGGAGGCAACCACTGATAATAGTAGCAGAAGCAGAGCTTTGCAGAGAAGTTGGGATAAAGAAGTTCAAAGATATTCCAAACAGAAGCATTCCTTCTCCAATCTCAGCCTCTCCCCTTCACCAGAAAGGTCTCTTCTTCACCAGGTACATGCACTTTATAAACTTTTCCTGATTGGGAACTGCTATATACATGTCTTGCTTCTTCAACCTTTCTCTAACCATTTATGATTTGATGGATCTTTGACAGGGACAAGAGATGGTCTAAGATGAGAAACACCATCTTATCTCTTTACCAACCTTCACATTTGACTAGTCTTATCCCCACAATGCACAATTTCATCACTTGTGCTACTCATAACCTTGATTCCGAGCCGAGAGATATCGTTATCTCCAATCTCTTCCTCAAACTAACGACCGATATCATCGGACAAGCTGCTTTTGGAGTCGATTTCAGTCTCTCCGAGAGAAAACCAGTGAAAGATTCAGCGGATAGCAATGTAGAGGTGACTGACTTCATAAACCAGCATGTCTACTCCACAACACAGCTCAAGATGGATTTATCAGGCTCATTCTCAATCATCATTGGCTTACTGATTCCAATCCTTCAAGAACCATTCAGGCAGGTTTTGAAGAGAATTCCAGGAACAATGGACTGGAGAGTCGAGAAGACTAACGCAAGATTGAGCGGACAACTCAATGAGATTGTTTCAAAGCGAGCTAAGGAGACCGGAACAGACTCAAAAGACTTCTTGTCATTAATTTTGAAAGCTAGAGAGTCGGATCCTTTCGCCAAGAAAATCTTCACACCAGATTATATCAGTGCTGTGACTTATGAGCATCTTCTTGCTGGCTCCGCAACCACTGCTTTCACATTATCTTCTGTTCTCTACTTAGTCTCTGGTCATCTAGAAGTTGAGAAACGTCTTCTTCAAGAAATTGACGGTTTTGGAAGCCGAGATCTGATCTCGACTTCACATGACTTACAACACAAGTTTCCATACCTTGATCAGGTGCTTTATTCTTTCCAAAACAAAACCAAGAAGTTGATGTTCTGTGAGGGTATTAGACTCTTTTTATAGATGTTTTTGTTCTTTTTATTTTGTAGGTCATCAAAGAGGCTATGAGATTCTACATGGTTTCTCCTTTGGTTGCAAGGGAAACTGCAAAAGAAGTGGAGATAGGAGGTTACTTGCTCCCAAAGGTAAACCCATGTCCCCTAAACAAGTCTTTTGAAATGATTGACCATTTTAAGAACTGACTTGTCCTGTATTACATAACTTGTTATTGTTGTTGTTTAGGGGACATGGGTTTGGTTGGCACTTGGAGTTCTTGCAAAGGACCCCAAGAACTTTCCGGAGCCGGAGAAGTTTAGGCCGGAAAGATTTGATCCGAACGGGAAAGAGGAGAAACTGATACATCCATACGCTTTCATCCCATTCGGCATAGGTCCACGAGCCTGTGTTGGACAGAGATTTGCCTTGCAAGAGATCAAACTCACCTTGCTTCATCTCTACCGTAATTACATTTTCAGACATTCCCCGGAAATGGAGAAACCGTTGGAGCTTGATTATGGTGTAATTCTCAGCTTCAAGAACGGTGTTAAGCTTAGAGCCATCAAAAGATTCTGATTCTTGAAACAACTTGGTTGATATAAACTGAGACTTTCAATGATGAAATCAAAGCAAGACTGCAAATTTTTCATATTTAAATTCAATGGTAAATCAAAAACTCCAATGTAGTTTCAGAGGACAAAAAAAAAGAGAAAAACTAAACATACAAAGATATCTCACAACACAAAGACAACAACAAGCTGTTGAAACTCTCCCTCAAGCAAAGTGACATGAATCTCACAATTCACAAATGTCACTTTACCCTCTCTGCTTCTCGAACCGAGTAGGAACACCGAGTGGTTTCGAGAAACTAACATAGGAAGGATCTGAAGCAGGACTGCTCTTCAAGTCGCCAGTAAACAATCCAGAGTTCTTCATAAACTGAAACTCATCCATAGACTGCCTCAGAACACGGTTGGTTCTTCGCTTAGCCTTTGTTGATTCAGTCAAGCTCATGTAACTTGGCTTGTGCTTCTTTACTTGACCGCTAGAGTTGTCTGAGACAAGACCAGTGGTTCCAGAAGCAGGTGTGGTTGAAGTGCAGATAGAAGACGAACCAGGGCTCTCGTTAAACTCATAACCAGGACTTGAAGACAACATATGAGAAGGAGGTTTTGCAGATACACGAGTTGTCACATTGTTTCTTCTCACTTTAACAACATCCACTGTTTCAGGTGATTTCAACTGCTTAGGAAGAGGAGGAGGAGGCGTTGCAGCGGCGGCAGCATCTGCAGTGTCCATAAGTCTTGTCTCCCATGGCCTAGCAGCCATCCAACGCTCTAACCAACTCCATCCCCAACTGTTCTTATCAAACTCTTGGCTTTTGAGATATGAGATTGAACTGTTTGTCTTAATGTTTGAGCTAGGAGTTGACCTCCATTGCTGCATAAAAACCAGAACTTTGATTCAGAAAACGAGCTCAAGACAAGATCTTAAAAAACAGACACAAATTACCTTTTGAGCTAGAGCATAAGCCAATGCACGTTCTCTCTTGAAAGCACCTTCTTGTCTCTGCTGCAACTTTGTCTTGATATCATCTACAGTGCCTTTTCTATCACACCACCCTTCCTGAGAGTAATACCAAACACCAAACAAACGAGTTTGAACATTTTTGTATATGAATTGAAACCAATAGGGACAGAGAAAAAAGACAATAACCTCGACTTCTTTCAAGAGATCAGATTTGCTTCTGTGTTCTTCTAAAAGCTTTTGAACAGCTTGTCCTTCTACAGTCATCCTTACACGACGAGCTCTCACACGAGCCTGCACACGAACCAGAGCTTGCATGCACCTTAGTGTTACAGCTGCTTGTTTCCTTACTTGTCTTCCTCTCACTAAAGCTTGTAGCCTCACTATCCCTTTCAATGCCCTTAAAGCTCTTCTCGCCTAAATCACATAAAATTCAAATTGATTGTTTTCTCAATTCTATTCAACTCATAGCTGAGCAAAGTCTTGGATTGTGTAAAGATCTTAGCTTTAAAACTCACCAAGAAACCGCGAAAAGCGGTTTGGATTCTGATAGCAGCCCATTCTTCTCTAACAGCTTTGAAATCTTTAGGAGGAGCTCTAAGCACAGTTGCAACAGCTGCAGAGTAAGTATTGGAGATAACAGAACCTTCTGATTCAGACCGGTGTCTTCCTTTGAAACCCTTCCAGGACGAGCCAAAATCTCCTGAAGAATTCCTCCATAGCTTCCATTTCTTGTTCTTAACATTACCCTTTTCCTGAATACAAAGAAAGTCTCAAGCTTTGACTCTTATGAAACGAATAGAACAGAAAAAAACTTAAGAAATTGGGTGAAAAGCTCTTACGATTTCAACTTTCTCCGGCTTCTTGAGACCGATAATTGACTTCACCCATTTCCCTGAAGCACCCATCTTGTCGAAAATGAAAAAAGGTTCGATCTTTATGGCTCGAATTCGTAGACTAACAAAGAAAAACCTGAGATTTATCTCTCAGGTTTGTAGAAAGTTTGAAAGAGATAGAGAGAAAGAGAGAAGGAGAGAGAGAGAGAGAGTGTGTATAGGAGAACGTGAAATTGTGGTGGTAATGGAGGGAGTGGTGGGTTAAAGAGACGTTTTTGAAATTTGAACAAAAGAAATTAAAAAAAGGTTGAATTATTACTATAAAAAAAAAGTTTGCTCGAGTCTTTAGGCTTTTGTCTTTGATTGTGTTTCCACACTTATTTACTTACACAACTGTGTCCTTTCTCAGAGTTACAGGCACGAAAAAGAAACCATGAAAAGGCACAAAAAATATATATAAATATTATATTCGGTTAGGCTTTTTGTTCTTCTTTCTTTTTTTACATGTAATGCCTTGTTTTGTTTGTATTATTATTGTATCATTGGATTCGAAATTTAAATTCCCAAAAATGTTGCAATCAGATTTACGAAACACATTCTCTTTCAACAGCAAATGCCCTTTTGGATTTTTGTGATTTGTACTAATTATAGACCGCTTATCTAATTAATCTATGTAACATAATTTGAACAGAAATGCATAAACGAAGAATACCACATGTTTCAGGTCCCTATTTGAGTACAACATATTTGTTTTATTAAAGGATCAAATCCGAATCTAAAAAAAAAAAAAAAATTGTGTAAGCAAATCAGTTTTGACATCTGCATTATGTTGTTATGTCTGTCAACAGCATATATACATCTTGATAACACTAATGCAAAAGATTAAACTTTATTAGTGGTGGTCGATAAAACATTTAGGATGTACAGTAAAATGAAAAAAAAAAAAAAATTTAACATCTTGTTTAAATGAGATTTTAAGCTTTTGGTATTTTTTAATTGTTCTTACAACAGATATTCTAAACATTGTCGTTACATAAATAAACCATATTTCAAAACACTGTTTCAGAGAAATAGTCCATGTGTCAGATCTTCTTTTCTCAAATTTTAATTTCAAAAAGCTGTTTGAAATTGAAAACTTCGACGGTTCGCTTCCTAGACCGGTTGGTTTTTGAGTCAACGGCACGCATGCTTCATAAATGGAATTGCAAAATACGATAAAAATAAGAATCTTTTGTAACTATGCAATGACCAATGAGTAACCAATTTAATTATTCATGCATAGTACGATTTTGAATATATCCACAATTTCGTCGATGCACCTTTTCGAAAGTTTTTTTCTGTTTTTGATTTTTCTTTTCTGTTTTAATGTTGGTATATATATGCTGCATATAAAAACTACATCAATTCATGAATCTTCAAAGAAACATAACACAATCGGATTGAATCTATCTACCAAGAGATTAGTCTTGCAACCTTAAAACATGAGATGGATATATTTCAAATTTCATTATTAAACGGAAAAAAACAACTCACTGATTGTATACAGTAGTACCTAATGAAAATTTACAGCCTTGGGGCATTGACCTAAACCAGAGGTTACGATCCACCCAAAGAAAAGAGAGAACTAAACAAAAAAGAAGTTAAAAAAAGAAACTTTCTGTTACATGAATCAAAGAACAAAGGATAAAAGCCTTTTTTTTTCTCACACCTGACTAGCTTAAAAGGTTGATAACGTAACACTCACTTGTTGGTGAATTAAGGTCAAGAGCAAAAGGCCTAACAGTTTACTTGAACTCTAGGGCTTGGGATTCCCATGTAGGCCAAGCGTGGAGACACTCTTACTTGCGGACTAGGCCTTGGAGATGGAATTGGACCGTATGGTGACGGAAAACGTGCGGAAGCAGACGTAATCCGAGGAGACAAACTGACTTGTTCGAATGCTTGTGACTGCAGCTCCATTGGATAGTCTCTAACACACCCAATTCTTGGACCAACCCCACTTGACCATTTGCAAGATAGCCTCTTCGCCAGCTCCAACACCGGTCTTTCTCTCTCTTTCTCTTCTTCTTTCTCCTCTGTAATGATGGTCTCTTCAGGTTTACTCTCTGCTTCTTCTTCGTATTTGAATGATGAGTATTCCTCATTCACAGAGCACCTCTGCATTCATATTTTAGACTAGTGAACACACACAATTCTTCACATTTAGTATCTATGCAACCAAAATTTTTGGTTTACTTACCTTAACATTGGTGAGATCAACATTGTTCTCTTCTAGGAAACTTATGAACTCCTTGAAGTTGTCTTCTGTTGGGAGGTAGTGTCCACTATAAGGCCATATAGCCTAAGAAAGAAAACAAGTGTGTTTAAGAACTTTATTAGCTCCTCAACATGAATGGTAAGTGATTCAAACTAAACCGGGTAATCACCTCGAGGATCCCATCGCGGGCGACTAATCTTCCTGCAGCGGTTGTGGCGCCTCCAGACAAGAAACTCGAGTGTTGGAACACACCTTTCTTCTTCTGCCCTACGTATAAAGTTCTAGTGGTGCTAAGTACGAAAATCGACTTGTATTCCTCTGTCGAATTGACCAGAGTCATGTTCTGTTTATACATTAGCTTCCCATCTTCTACTATCACTTCATATGCCTCTCTCTCAATCTGCAAGTTGAAGAACAGAAAACGCTTATGATTGAGAAGATGGTAAGTTGTTTTGCAGGTGCAAATTAACCGAAAAAGACTTACTGGTCCGAGATATTTAATGCACTCTTTTTGCAGAACACTTCTTGGGTGGTGTTCAAGATTTACATCTTTTCCATCGCCAACGTCCAACCTTCAGTTACAACAGAGTTTAGAACACAGACTCACACAACGGAAAAGAGATAAAGATTGATATGGTACTAACCAATAGAAGAACGGTTGTGCACTCATGCTTGCTGACCAGACATCGTAATAGAAGTGCAAGTTATGGCCATAACGATGGCGTGGGTCAATCTGTAAATGCAGAAAAAGGACACAACTTAGATTAAATCCAGGTTAGATTTGTTTCATGTCCTAAGCAATTATGGGGACTTACAGCTTCAAGCCAATGCTGAAGAGCGAGCTTCTGAGCTTTTTCATCTTTTGACAAGCCTTTTCCAACCTAAGATTACAAACGAAGTAAGATTCACATCAGTTTTTTTGAGAGATATGAGCTTAACATAGAACATAGCTTGTGGGATTTATGTTAGACCTTAGCAGCTCGTGTTCTAGCTCTTGACCATTTGGAAACAGCGGTTTCATGTTTCTCTTCTTCAAAGAAGGAAACCGAGCTCAGTTTCAGAGCTGCAGCATCAAGAGTCTTCCACCTAAAACATTTGAAGAAATAATGTCAAGAGCTTAAACCACATCACTGACAAAGCAGAGAGAAATATGGAGAATCATTTACCAGAGCTCCTCAACGACAACCGCGCAATCTGCTAGGTTTCTTCTTGTCCGGTAACTCTTGTAAACCTTCTGTACCGTAGTTGCAGCTGCGTCAAGCTCAGTGACCGGTCTTGGGGAGAAGAAGACAAAAGGCTTAGGAGGAACAATCGTGGGTTTCGTTATTTGGATTCTCTCGCAGGTTCGTCCATTCAAAGAGTTGCGCTTGTTCTTCTTCGTCTCGAGAATCTTAACATCTTCTTCCTGGTTTATCGGTTCAGTGACTTCATTCTTGGCTTCTATTGGAGTCTCCCAGTTGTTGAAGCTCAAAGATCTCTCCAAACCGGTCTTGGAAGAGTTTTCCGGCATTTCACTCTTCAAACTATTGGTTCTTGATGTCAAGCCAAAGGATCTGACTTGAAGAAACCTCTCGATAGGGTTCTTGAAACTGACAAACTGGTTGGTCAAGACTTCTTTCCAAGCAGACAAGAGTAGCGAGAATGAAAGACCCATGTCCTGATAAAAAACAACAATATAAAAGACAGGGATTAGCTTCAAGAAAACCCAATTTACAAAGCTTATGCACGCACACGCACGCATCAATCCAAGATCAATACCAGTGTTTTGACAAACGAATCTTTCTGTAAAGTAATCAACCAAAGTCCAAAACCAACAACTGTCATTAATATATTAGTTTTTTTTACTGAGGTCATTGCTATCCTCATTCCTCACCAAACCCAATTATTGGCGCCGACGGTAGAGTAAAAATAAATTTTAGAAAAAATTGATAAAATCATTTCGTTCCGACATTTCAACAAACACACTGAAAGCATCTGAGAATATCCAAACTAAAAGGGCCAAACAAAGGTGTAAACTTTATGAGTTTATTGATCTTCTTTAATCAAAAGATCCCACCTACCTCAAGAATTGCAGAGAATTAACACCAAGAACGAGAAAACTCGTAATCAAAGACTAAAAAGTCTAGTCTTTTTTGTTTTTACTCTCACTCTCTCTCTCTCTTCTTGTCTAGAGAAAACCAAATGAATACGAGTACCAAGTTAGAGTAAGAGCACTATATATATACACAGTTGCATATGCATAGTGTGTGTGTGTGTGTGTGGAGTTGACGAGTATTAAGTGGGGTAAAAGTTATAAAAAGTCTTTCTTATAGTGAAGATTCAAAGATGGTGTGTTCGAGAAAAAAAAGTATTAGTTTTAAAATGATATATACAGCAGAAACGTAACAAAAGTATGATAGAAGAAAGAGTGAGTACACAGGGGAACCCACAGGAGACGCTGCGTAATTCAATGGCAGCTTCACCTAACTTATTATCCACAAAAGGACAATATTTACTAGTCTACCAATTTATTATCTACTTTTCGTTCTTATTTCTTTCTTCTTGATTTTTTTGTTTAGTAGGATCGTGCTTCGAGAGAATCTTATCTGATAGTATAACATTATAAAAACTTATACTAATGCAAAAACTATGCAAAATGACGTGAATATTTACTTACCTCTAGGAGTCGACGACTATCAAACGAACAACAATTTGCGACTTTTCGAGTCAAAGGCTGTACAATTCCTACTTTTGGGATGAATGAAATTCAATGAAGAAGAGTCCTAAACAAACAAAAAAAAGGAAAATAAATTAATTCAGAAATTGAAGTCAAGTATTGACCCAACGACAATTGGGCCGAGTAATTGGGCTCATTGATCGCCTTTCCCTAATCTCTCCACCTCCGCTCGCCGGAACTTGAAAACCTTCTCCAGATTTCTCTGAGCTTTCGCCGGCGAAATCAGATACCACCAGCTCGAAGTACATACAGGTTCGGTTTCTTCTTCATTTGAAAACAATGCCCAAAAACTATATTTTGAGTTACTTTAGTGTTATTGTACTCAAAGCATGAACCTTTTCTTTTCCTTTTTTTTCTCGTATGAAGATATCCGGCGTGTGACAATGTCAGAGCAGCAGAAACCGATTGAGAAGCTGCAGATTTATCCAACATCTAACGCGGGTGTTTCCCCTTTTTGGCGAGGTTTCTCAAAGTTTAAATCTTTAGCTGACATTGGTTATGTATTTTGACTTTTTGAGACTAACTGTTTACAGATTTATTCAACTGTTTTTGATCTGTCTCACAGAGAAGTATGAAAAGGATGCTAAAAAGTATTGGGATATATTTTACAAGCATCATGGAGACAGAGTAAGCTGCTTTTTGGGTTCTCTGTTAGTTTCTTTCTCAATTCACATGTGCTATTGTTGATTCATAAAAGTGTAAATTAGGCTGGAATTTACTTGTGATTTGGTAATTGATGATGTAAAGGATCAGTTAACTACATGTTAAAACCCCTGTCTGTCATGATATGGTCATACATTACATAGCTAGAACTATTCAATTTGAGTTTGGCTGGAGCTATTTAGTTTGTATAGCGGTTCTTGAGGAGGAAAGGAATTATGGTTGAGTGGATCTTTTGTTCCCTAGTTCTATATGTAGTGATATCACAACGTTGCCATTCAGCTTGTGAAAAGTGAGTGTGAGCTCGCTGTGCTAATGATGGTACTTGTTTTTCATCAGTTTTTCAAAGACCGGCACTATTTGGACAAGGAATGGAATAGCTACTTTTCCGTGAGTGTTAAATCCATTTCTTCTGGTATCTGCTGCATTACCTATTCTAGTGATTAACTTGAGGTTGTCTTATTCTCTTACTTCAGGCTAGTGGAAAAAAAGTCATTCTTGAGGTAATCACAAGAGCTCAAGCTGTTCCTCATCTACATCTAACTACTTAGTTTTTTGCTTGATGAATAGCTTTTGTAGAATATTCTGCTGAGCAACTGGTCTTGAGATTTGCAGGTTGGCTGTGGAGCTGGAAACACTATTTTTCCTTTGATTGCCACATATCCACACATTTTTGTTTATGCATGTGATTTTTCACCACGAGCTGTTGACTTGGTGAAGGTCAGTCTTCATTCTTCGTTAATGTTTGCTTTTCTTTGGCTGATTTGTCTTTGCTAGTGAGGTCAATTTATTCAGTTCTATGATGTAAGCTTATATTTGTTGGGGATAACTGATTTACGTATTACCGCATTAAGTATGACTGTGCCTGCTGATAGAGTCATTTCGTAGTCTGGCTATGTTATCGTAATAATCTTTGTGTCTCTTAAGCACATTTAGCAGGTTTAGCTTAATTTATGCCTGTGAGTGGTTACTTGTTGTATATATATATATATAGTATTTTTAAGTTATTCAGATGGTGTAGTTTACTATATAACTTGTGCTTCACTTTTGTTTGATTACTGGCCGATGTAAAATTTGATCAGAGTGTGTTTTAACTTGTTATGAAAATTCAGGCTCATGATGAATACACAGAAACGCGCGTGTGCGCATTTCCTTGTGACTTGACCGGGGATGGTCTTGACAAGCACATTTCTCCATCTTCAGTTGATATTGTGACCATGGTATTTTCCTATCAAAAATATTATCTATCAAGTTATCATAGTTGATTGACTGTCTGTTGCTAAAACATTTCCCTCTAATTTCTCTCTAGTTTTGAGCAATTTTCGTTTCTCAACATGAACTAGTTCTCATGTTAAACACTTGTTGAACAGATTTTTGTTTTATCTGCGGTATCCCCAGAGAAGATGCCCTTTGTGTTGCAGAACATTAAGAAAGTACTTAAGGTATCAACCACATCCTTTCTAATATACTTTGGGAATCTATCTTCTGAAAGTTGAATAACTTATATATTGCTGTGTTTATAGCCAAATGGGTGTATACTCTTCCGTGACTACGCTGTCGGTGATCTTGCTCAGGTTTGATTCAACTTTGATTACTTCCAAAGTTGAGTTATCGCTCGTCTCTAATCTACATGCTGTAGAGTACGAAGGCATGGTTTACTCATTATGTGTTTTTGTTTATGTTTAACAGGAAAGGTTTTCTGGGAAGGATCAGAAGATCAGCGAGAACTTTTATGTCAGAGGTGATGGCACTGTAAGTTGTTTCTTTCTTCTGCTCTTCCATTGCAATTTCTGTTTTTGGCAAAACTGTGATGATGTGACCTTTTTCTGCAGCGTGCATTCTACTTTTCTAATGAATTCCTAGAGAGCTTGTTTTCCCAACACGGTTTTGAAGTTGAAGAGCTTGATGTTTGCTGCAAACAAGTTGAGAATCGTTCTCGCGAACTTGTCATGAATCGGCGTTGGGTCCAAGCTACATTTCGTCTATCAAACAATTCCAAACTAGACCAATCTGAACACCAGAATAACATTCAGCCTAAATCTGATGATGGACAAACAAAAGAGATCGTAGATAATAGTGATATTGACATATCCGATGGTCTGGCGATGGAAATGTTCGGAGCCTCCCCATCAAATCATGAGGTAAGAGACTTTGAATAATCTCATTGGTTTAACATACTTTGTCCATTTCTGCTTTATGCTTATAAGTCCATCTCTGTTTGTCAATATGATTTGATTGTTTTAGATAAGCGTGGTTAAGCTTAGAGATTCGTCTTTCAAAATCAAACTCTTGTCCAAAGAATATCAACACACTTGCAAATCTACCGGATTAATGCTCTGGGAGTCTGCTCGGCTTATGGCTTCTGTTCTTGACAGGAACCCGAACATCGTTTCAGGGAAACGAGTGTTGGAATTGGGTTGTGGCTGCACAGGGATCTGCTCCATGGTCGCTGCGAGATCAGCTAATCTTGTGGTAGCTACCGATGCAGACACGAAGGCACTTACGCTGTTAACAGAGAACATCACAATGAATCTTGAATCTTCTTTAGTGGGAAGACTGAAAACTGGTGTTCTTGAATGGGGAAACAAAGAGCATATAGAAGGTATTAAAGGTTTAGCTTGTGGTGGAGGGTTTGAGGTTATCATTGGGACAGATGTTACCTATGTAGCTGAAGCCATTATACCTTTGTTTGAAACCGCTAAAGAGTTGATCTTGCGGAGAAGAGGGGACTCTGAGGAGGTTCAAGAAAAGCCGGCGTTGATTCTGTGCCATGTTTTCAGAAGAGTTGATGAGCCTTCTCTCTTGTCAGCTGCATCTAAGTTTGGGTTTAAGCTTGCAGACAGATGGGCTGTGAATTCCAAGGATTCTCCTATCGGAAATGTCGTTGAGAGTTGGTTTTCCGATAAGGATTTGGTCTCGGAGATCCCGAGTTCGGCGTTGCATATTCTCTACTTTCAGATGGAGTAACTATGAGCAAAATGTTTTTGTGATTTTCTCTTTGAATCTCAATCAATGAACGTCAGGTGATCTTGTTTTTGTTATCTTGGCTTAGCGAGACGAATATGAATTTGTAAAGATAAAGAGAATTAATTAAGTGTTTCATATATTTGGGAAATTAGTTACATTCGAGTTTTGAGCTTCATACGTATCCATTTTGGCGTCAACCTTGAATGTAGTTTGTTTGAGTACAACAATAGTGTTGACCAACCTAGCACAAGATATGAACTAAATCTTTATATGTTAAGGTTTTCTCCCTAAAGAGAATCTCATTTCAATGATATTAAAAGAGAAAAATTCTAGCACCACTTTAACTAAGGCAGATTAACTTGTAGGGAAGACTAAAAGTGTGTGATATTCTTGATTTTATTATCAACAAGGAAAGAATATCTTATTCTGACGTAAAGAGCTATCGTGGAATGTGAGAGTCGAACCTTAAACAGGGTGAGCGAAACCGATTCACGTGTTAGATCACACTGTTTAAGGTTTAAATATAACTATATATTGACCAACAATTATTCTAATTTCTAATGTATATATATAATAACTCTCTAAGACAGTACATGAAACCTGAGATTTTTACCATTAACGAGACAAAAAGACCAAAAAAAAGGGTAACAACAATGCAAGTGATTCCACCACCACTAAAAAAGATCTTAGACAAATGTAACATAAGAGGACTTGTAATACTGTCCCTGTTATTACAAACGACTCTTATATTCCTTGCACCTCTGCGAAAACGCACATCAAAGAAGTTGCTCGCTGCTGTTATATGGACATCGTATCTTTTAGCAGACTGGACTGCTAATTACGCGGTGGCTCAGATCACTAAGAACCAAGGGAAAGAACCAAAACCTGGTGATCCTCCATTGAACAAGAAGGTACTTGCTTTGTGGGCACCGTTCTTGTTGCTGCATCTTGGTGGTCCGGACACGATAACCGCGTTGGCCCTCGAGGATAATGCACTGTGGAAACGTCATTTGTTTGGCCTTGTATCTCAAGTGCTTGCTGGTAAGAAAAGGCCTTGTACCTAGAAAGAAACATGTGTAATCTCGGTCTGTTAGGTACGTACGAGTTTGTGGAACATGAATCCATGAGGTGGAACAGTCTGGTTTTTAGATTGTGTTCATAGATCAAATGCAGAATTAAAAGGAAAATCCTAAGATTTTAGGTTTTTGTGAAAAGAAAGAAAGAAATTAGACTATTAGAAACGCTTTTGTCTCGCTGAGTGATAATTGATAACAAGTTGGTAACAAGTTAAAGCATATCTTAGTGTTGAATAATTTCAATTATGCAAGATTTTGTTGTTGTAAGATTGTCTAATAGATTTTCTGAAGACGTAGACACGTTGCTGTTATACTTTGTGTTTACGTTAACCAAGTGGATTGCATATATAAAATAAGAATCATTAAATCTCACAAAGACAAAACAATTGAGTAGTTGTTATACTCGACTATCAACCGAGTAGTTGTTGAGTTATATAATGTATGTCGTATAACTTTCTTTATATGTTTCAGGTATTTACGCGGTGGTGCAATCAATGGAAAACGTCTTATGGCCATCAATAACATTACTATTTATCACCGGAGTGATAAAATACGCCGAGAAGACACGTGCCTTAGTGACCATAGAAAACTTCAAAGACATACTGACTCTACCACCACCAAACCCTGGTCATAACTACGAGAAGTTCGCAGAAGTGTATGCTTCAAGAAAAGAATCAAATATTCCAACAGAATTTATTCTAGTCGACCAACCGGACAAGCATGAGAGGCCTAGCAATCTCGTTAGACCACTGGGCCGAGAGTATTTAACCAATCTTGAAATCGTTCAGTATGGTTATAAATTCTTCAAAACTATTTTCGGACTTGTTCTTGGTATCGATTTCGGTTTACGTGACCAAGAAGAAGTCAAAGGTTTCTTCAGAGATCAGTTGAAACCGGAAGAAGCTCTTCAGATTATCGACTCCGAGCTCGATTTTCTATACGAATCAATGTATACCAAAACCGCAATTCTCCACACAAGAACCGGTATTCTGTTTCGGGTTATTGCGTTTGGATCACTTATATCTTCTTTCTTTTTCTTCCATCGTAGACCGCTTAAATCAGTAGATTTCCATGGAGCAGACGTTGTGATTACTTACACTTTGTTCATCGTTGGTTTTGCGCTTGATCTTGTGTCTATGGTCATGTTCTTGCTCTCGGACTGGACATTCGTGAAACTGAGCAAGTTTAAGGATGATCCTGAGGAAAAGAGACAAATCGCTTCTTTACTCAATTGGTTACTCGCCTTTAGGAAACCGCGTTGGAAGATCCTTAAACGCAGAGGAAGTCGTATCCACAAAGTGCTCGCAGCACCTTTTCTGTCACGAAGATGGCCATGCACGATTTACGGATTCAGTTTCATGAGATATTGTTTGAAAGCAAAAGTTCCAAAAAATCATCAAAATAGAAGCCCTAGCGTGTTGAGCACGTTAGGTTGTGAATCAGTGGTTTGGATGTTCGACTGCGTAATCAGGAAAAAACAAATGTTTTCTGGATGGATCAAGAATGTCAACAAGCAACTCTCTAAGAAGAATCTAATGATCCGGTACACGGTTTACCCGTTATGCCTGGTGGTCTTCTCAGGTATTCCTATGATTTTTGGACTTCTTTGTGGTTGCATTGATCGGATATTTAGTGTTAAAGCTAATCTTGATGAGATTAGATTTGTAACGAAGGAGCATTTGACGAAGAATCTGTGGGTGCTTATATTCAATGAGCTGAGACAGAAGTGCGAGTTTGAACTAACACCTGAAGCTGATAATGAAGTGTCTTCGGCGAGAGGAGAATGGGCGTTACGGAATCTGGCAGAGACTGAGATATTGATGCGTTACCTAGAGAATATGAGTTATGATCAAAGTCTTCTTCTTTGGCATATTGCTACAGAGCTCTGTTTTCAAGAAGAAGAAGAAGAAGGAGAGGAGATGGATCCGAGTGGAAAGTGTTGCGATGACCGAGAGTTCAGAAAGATTCTGTCGGATTACATGATGTATTTGTTGATCATGCGGCCCAAGTTCATGTCGAAAGTCGCGGGAATCGGGACGATAAGATTCAGAGACACTTTAGCGGAAGCTGACAGGTTTTTCAGAGAAAGGCATATCAGGAAAGGGACAGAGGTAACTATGAAAGAAGCGAGCAAGACGGTTTTATCAGTTAATTGCGATATTGAGCTGATACATGTGAAGGGAAGTCTAAGAAGCAAATCGGTTTTATTCAATGCGAGCAAGTTGGCAAAAGAGCTTCAGAGACTGGACGAGAGTAGAAACAATGGAGATGGGAAATGGAGAACATTGAGTAAAGTGTGGGTTGAGTTGCTATCTCGCGCAGCAAGACATTGTGATGCTACTGAACATGTGGTACAACTTAGTAGAGGTGGAGAGCTGCTTAACTTTGTTTGGTTGTTAATGGTTCACTTGGGTTTAGCAGGTCAGTTTCAGACCAAGAAAAGTGTTAATAGAGTTAAACTTGTTGCAGCAAGGTAATAAGAAAACAAACTCTTTTTGTTTGTTTGTGTTTGTTTGTACATTGTTTGAAACTCTTTAGGCTCTATTTCGAATTTCAAACAATGTTCTTTACAAGTCTTTTTGATTCAAACACATAAACTATCGATCCATGAAAGAAATAAAGCACAATTCGCATGGATATGTTGTTTAAGATGATAATAATTGTAGTTGTGATTAAGAAATTTAAAAGCTGGCCGTTATCATTCCGTTGTGTTGGTGTATTATAAAAAAAAAAAAACAGTTTGCGTATTTTTTCTGGACATGGAAAATGTTAGTATGTTAAAATGGTGATAGAAATTTCTAGTTAGTGTATTATTTGGAATTTTGCCAATCATATTTGTTATGAATGAAGTATGGTTTGCTTGAAAGTTGTCTTGTAAGTTACGAGGATCAGTCTTCAAACTAGCTACGATGATTTTGGGAAGTTAACTATAGGTTATATAAACAAAGTTTTCTCGATTTTTTTTTTTATTAGAAAACGAAGTTGTTCATAAGGTGTTCCATACAATATTTTCCAATACTGTCTGTACATGTTTAAATCATAACACGTTGTATTTGTTGCAAAGATGTTTATATGTACATGGTAGGTACATATGATACATAGCATTATATGTTTCATTAATATTTACATTATACCATACACGTATTTTAAACATTTACAATTATCACTACTCGCAAAATATATGTATTACTACTAACTATATGAAATGCCTACATTTGAATGTATGTGAGATAAAACAGGGGTTAAAAAAATTATATATAATTATTATTAGTTAAACTCAAATCAATAGAAAATCATATCACAAAATTATTATTAAAAAAATGGTACAACACTTTATACGTTTACTATATATAAGTCGGTGATATTTGTTCTTGAATATGACCCTAATTTTCTTTGTGTTGGGTTGGAGAATAGCCGTGAAACAACAAAAATCTTGTCATGTTTTCTATGTGCAACATTCACATTAATCATCATTGTGGTATCATTATTTTCCGTCTCATCTCATTCTTTTTATGTAAATAATTTTTTAAAATTATTTTTTGAACAAAAAATAATTTTTGTTCAAAAAATAATTTTAAATGTTTAATGTTTCCTAAAAATGTTGCATCTAGTCCAGCTCTGCGTATTGGTGAGTTTCAATTTTTATTATATGATTAATTGATAAGCTTTAAGAAGACAATATGTTAAGATTTTATGATTCATTAAAATAAAATGATACGTATTAGGACTTGAGAATAAATGTGTCTAAGTGTATGTGAATCTATACAATTATCATATATATTGGAGTTGTCACAAAATTTATCATAAGACAAAAATAATAATTGTCTAAGCAATGATTAAAAACAATAAAAGAGTGAGTGTGTATATACAAAATACGAAAGTTATTAATGATCTTGTGTTTGCTCCAAGTGTTAGAAAAATGATCCAAAATCTTGTATTGAAGACCGAATTTTCAGATTGTGTACATGTAGAGTGCAGATCTTCAAACTCAAAATGATTATAAAACAATGCTGCATTGTTCTACTTGCTCAGTAAAAATCATAAAATTCCAGCTAAAATCATAAAATGAAACATAGATTACTGATTTTATGATCATTTTGAGGTTCCTATAACTCTATGATCCTTTTACTAATTTAGTAAAGAAAGTTAAATGGAATAAACAAAAAAAGTTTACATGAATGATCAAATAAAAATCCCATACAGACAGACAGTACTATACTTTCTCATAATTACAAACTTTAAAATTACCAATGTCCATACTCCATAATATAATAATGTAGTATCATATTCTTACGACCGATTTGAAAAATGTTAAGAAATATAGGGCCAAACTACAATAACTAAAACAATTAGAAGGGAAAGTGTGTCGTTGTTTTTCACATCTCTCGTCTTCTTCTCGAGATCGGATCGTTTGTCCTCTCTCTGCGACTCTATCTCCGCACCGCGTTGTTGTTGGAGATTACACAAAGGGCTCTCAATTGCTGTTAACCAATCAGGTTCGTTAATCACAAAATCCAAAATTCAGTAGCTTTAAAGTTCTCTCTTCGATTGGATTCTTCAATTTGCCATGCATTCAAACGAAGTGGACAAAATCAGTTTCATCTCTTATTTCTGGGAATTTCTTGTTTCGTTAAAGTAAAAAGTAATAGTTTTTCTGAATTAACTTGGCCAATTTCTAAACTTTGGAAATGGTTTAACGGATTGACTTTAGATTTCGTTTCTATATGTTCTTAGTTTGCTGTTTTGTTCAGTTTATTGCTCCACACATTAAGTTAGATGTTGAATCTGTCCTTTGATTCACACAGGCAAGAGGTTCATTTGCATGTACTCTTCCAGTAAGGCTAATTCTCTAGCAGAAGAAGTTTCGAGATTGGACATTGACGAAGATATGAGCCCTGGAGGCAGCCAAAAAATGGAATGCAAGTGTGGCATGCCTCTCTGCATCTGTGTAGCTCCTTCTCAATCAACCAATACAAAAAACCCACCGGTAAAGGAGTGTTTTTTTTTAAGTTTCTTGTGTAAAGGAGTGTTTTTTTTTTTTTGCTCTTCTGTTCTGGATTGAATAAGAGGAGAGTTTCTTGCTTAGACTCTTATCACATAGGTTCCTTTCTTTTCAAATAATGCTTTTGGAACAGGCTCCTGTGGTTCTCCCTCAGACGGATCCTAAACCAAAGTCAGAGACTTCAGCAAAAAGTAAAGGTTCTACTTCCAGCAGAAATGCTAGGTATGTTCGGATTTAGTCGTAGTATCAAGGCAAATTTGTGCATAAGTTTACTCCATGAGCTCTAGACATTAGTGAAAGTTGCAAGTCTTGGCATTTTTTTCCTTTGGGATTTACTTGATCCATCTGCTTTTCCTGCAATTGTGTAGAAAAATTGCTTCTGGTCTTCTTTGTTTTGGCATCTGATTGATGATCTGAAGTTTCTTGGATTTGTACTCGCTGTTTTAGTATTTTTGCTGTTGAAAATCTCAGATCGGCTCTGAATCCAGGACTAGACATCCCTCAAAGAGACTATGAAGTCAATGGGGAGGTAAACACTTTACATCTCACTATAAGGATAATCATAGTTTCCTTGTGTAACAGATTTGTTCATTTATGTGTATGGAATCTGTTTGTGAAAAGGGATTAAGAGAAGCAATTAAGAACGGTGACACTGCTGGTGTGAAAAAGCTTCTCAAAGAGGTACTACTACTTAGTTGTCTAATTGAAAAACTGCGCTTCATTACCATAGCTTAGTGACCGAAACAATTGTGTAATTGCCAAAGAAAGACTAAAAATGTAAGAATTTGCAGGGCGTGGATGCAAATTACCTTGACAAGCAGGGAATGTCAGTGCTTCATTTGGTAATCTTCTCTCTTTCTCTCAGTCTCTCATTTCACCACTTGTGTGTTTGATCTGTTTGGTAAGTTCTTTCATATTGTTTCGCTTCTACAGACTGCCCTATTCAACAAAACTGATATTGCGTTGCTGTTAATGGAACATGGAGCAAGCCTTGAGCACAAAAATGCACAAGGTATCTTCTCATCCTTCAATCTTCATGATGTGTTTAATCAGTGACCCTGCGAAAACTGTTTTGACAAGAACAAGTTTAGTTGGTGATTCATATTGTTTTTCTTTTGGTGAGTTGTGAATACTTTTCTTTCACATGTGAACTGTTCTTGTTCTGGTCCAGGAGAAACACCACTCGATTGTGCTCCTGCAACACTTCAATACAAGATGCGGGAAAAGATGGAGAAGATGAAGTCAGCTTAATGTAAACCAAGGCAGAGGTTACAAAAACCTTGCTCAAAGCTTTTTTCCTTTCTTTTTTTCAGATAGGCAAAGGTCTGTAGAGGGCAAATCAAAAGGCCATGAATTTGCTTGTAAGACATCATGTTGAATCTTAGATTGCATTTCATGTGCAATTTGTTCATGTTATGTGCACTTTGAAAATCGTCGGTTACTTCCACTTTTACGTACAAATTTACCTTATCTTCCTCCTAAATCTTATCATTCATATAATTAACGAAGTTGTTGTAAGTTGGCAATCGTCAGCCGAAGATGTGTGTCGGTGGCTCATATAGCAACAAACTTGCAATAGTCAAAGCCTGTATTGGACACTGGTTGATTGTCTTCATGTGACACGTGAAGGGTGTAGATAAAATCGGTGTGAAACCTTATCTCTCATTTATTGGTTCACTTTCTACAAAATCTATCTCCAAGTTAAAACTACAACCACACTCAAAGATTACAATTAAGTTCCATCTTCTCTCTTTTCCTTCTGGTAGACTCATACTTGAACCATGTTTCTCTGCGTTTTCTTTTCTCTAGTGATTCTTGGTAGATTTCATTAACTCGTTCAAGCACCAGCTCGAAGAGGCGTAGCTTATTACGTTAGAGGATCATTCATGAATCCGAAAGAGATGCCTCTCGAGAAGGTGCTTGAACAAGTTGATGATAAATTTTGAGAACCAAGACAAAACGGGATGCTCATTTTTGAAAACCTGTTTTACTAGGCTCGGAAAAGGGAAACTTGGTACCTTGGTTGAACTCATTTATACACTTTAGTGATTATGAATGGATCTATAGTTATTAAATTCCTTAGGGTAACTACTTTAAGTTTGTGACTTTTAACTTTCATTTCTCACTTTATATTAAGCATGCTTAGATGTTGAATTTGTGTGGAGTCCTTGAATTCGCAAATTTGACCATCTTGACGGGTAGATATTTGTGTGCCTACATAATTGAGTTCTTCCTCTTATTCATTGAATATTCCATGATTTTGGTGGAAGTCAGTAGCTAATGAAGAAACCTTTTTTAAAGAAGACATGGAAGATGATGGCATGATTCATGAAGTTAGCATGGGAAATCAAGTCGTACTCTGCTTTAACAATGATAGGATTTGAGATTAATATGGAATCATTTGGATGGTGGAATGAATTTTCTGAAGTATAGAATTGATGATTCAAACACTTCACCTCCGGTATTTGTTTATTCGGATTGATGTGATGAAATTTGCAGAGATTAAATCCCTTATAGTCTTAAACATACACATTCATCCCTTACTTTTTTTTTTTATCGATTTTGTAATCAAAGTTTGAATCCTTGAACTAAAAAATATTTCATAAAAGAAAGAATAAAAACTTAGAAAGAATATTTCAAAAGATATTTCCTTAGAAAAGAAAGAATGATAGCAAATTCACCCGTACATTATACTCTCTCCGTTTTAAATTAGTTCTCTCCGTTTTCAATTAGTTGTCTAGGAAAATGTATATGTAATTATTTGGATGTATCTTGATGTATTTTGAGTTTAATATGTCCAAAAAACTGTAGATACAATTTCTCAGAATAACAACTAATTTGAAATGGAGAAAGTACATTCTTAGTAGTAAGATTAACTTTGCTTGATATTTTTGAACTTTAATATCATTACGATAGCCAATCAAATTGTTATATTAATTATTGACAATTTACAAACTGGACGATATCAAAAAAAATTTGATTATGTTTCAATTTTCTATGTTTAGTTTTTTTATGTTGTAGGTTGTCTCTTTTGGTAAATACGAGATCATCAACATGTAAAAAAACTGAAAAAACCCAGGTATACACCATAATGTTTTGGTTTGATTGAGTTTTTGTCGACAGTAGTGACATTATAAGGAGAACAATATATGTAAGTAGTATTACTGCTGTAAGACTATACAAACATAATGAAAAAAATCATGGTTTTAAATATATATTTTTCCATTCTAACATATTTTAACAGAAAAATCATTAATGACAAAACTGATCATTAGAATATAAATACAAAAAATTAACAAAAATTATAAAATACAACTTACCTGTTGGGTCAAGATCTAGTTCATTATATGATAAAACAAAAGTGTCACTTGTCCAACCATATTTTTGCTAAGTGGCTGATATTTTTAATAAGATAAAAAACTATCAAGTAATAATAGAAAATTAAGTAAACGCAAAAATATTGATTGAAAGAGTTTTAGATCGAACTCCACGATTACAGATGCTCTAAGAGCTCTATTAAGATAATCTTAAACAATGTAAAATAAGTGCACTAGCGAACAAGAAAAAATGTGAATTAATCATATGTATTTCTATTTTTCTTTTCTTTTGACAACCTCTCTAGTCCCGTGTAATAAGTGTATGAGGAGGCACTTGTAGTTTACTAAGAAAATGAATAGTAAAGTATGTTATATGTCTGGTTACTTCTTAAGTTCATGATGCATAGAAAATAAAATAAATTTCCTTTTTGTCGACTAGTTAGCCAGATTTATTTCAAGATCCTTTCTGCAATTTTGTTCAAGTTTCTCTCACCAACATTGTACTGTTCCGATACCCATTTATTGGGATGATTAATAAAATAATTTATTTACAAAATATAAAAAGAATATTCACTACAGTTATGGCAAAAAAAAATAACCAAAATCCGCATGCCTTTAAATACAAGTTACAAGTCCCAAATAGGCCAAACTCTCACTTAAGTAACGACATCGTTTTTGTCAACAATGCCTCGACTTCATTATCATCTTGCAGTCCAAGCCTTCCTTCTCCTTCTTCTCTTCTCTTCCATTGCTTCAGCAGCTATCGTAGAACATGTTTTCCAGGTATTTAATTACTATTATATATGCTGCTCTCGCTTTCTCTATTTTTGGTTCTCTCAAAGGACTGTAACTTCTATAAAGTTTACCAACCTTTCTTCACACAAACGCAATAACCGCATGTTCTTTCATCTTTCAAATTTCAACTATCCTATAAACCAAATTTAATATATGACTAACGGCGTCTCACAACAGGTCAAAAACGTAATGGTGAAACCGTTGTGCAAGGAGCAAATGATACCCACTGTTAACGGAAGTCTTCCCGGTCCAACGATAGACGTCAGAGAAGGAGACACTCTTGTGGTTCATGTCATTAACAACTCAACTTACAATGTAACCATCCACTGGTAATTAACTTATTGATCTCAATATGACTTCATCGAACCTTGATCTTTTTTTTGTGTGTTTGAGTTTAGTAAAAGCTGTTCGGTTATTAATATTATATAGGCATGGAGTGTTTCAATTAAAGACGTCATGGATGGACGGTACGAATATGATAACTCAGTGTCCGATTCAACCAAATAACAACTTTACATATCGATTCAATGTCACTGGACAAGAAGGTACGCTTTTATGGCACGCACATGTCGTTAACCTGCGAGCCACTCTTCACGGGGCTCTAATTATCCGTCCCCGATCCGACCGTCCTTACCCTTTTCCTAAACCCTACAAGGAAGTTCCTCTCATTCTTGGTACGCAAAAAAACAACAGCATTTGTCTTTCCTTTTTTTTTTTTTATTCTCAACTCGTTCCTTTAGTTACATATCATAGTTTTTTTTTTTTATTTCCAAATTCGTAATTTTGTTTTTCCCAATACCATCGTTAAAATGCTCTATACGATAGTTTAGCACTTGTTTATTTATTTAGTCATCGTCGAGGCCGTGCTTAGCGCGTATCAAGAGAGGCAACTGCCAGAGACCTCATATATTATGTATAGAATTTAAGGGTCTCAATGTTTACAATTAATTGGCTCAATGGTCAAATTTTTTTAATTATTTGTGACTTTCCTCTTATAATTGACTTTTTTTTTCCTTTTTTTCGACTAATTTTTTTTTGTTCAACTCTTATTTATTTGTATTGTGTTATAGTGGAAGTCACTTAGCATTTTATAGATTCTTAATACTTTATAAAGTTCTAGCTTTACAGTTCTATATAATAAATAAAATATATGTGCCCCGTGGATAAATATTCGTTTTAAACATATTATGATATATATTATTCAAATTGTTGATGAATGTGTCTGGTAATTGGTAAAATTGATTATGGAAGAACAATGGTGGAACACGGATGTGGGGCTTCTCAAGTTACGACCAGCTCCCCTTTCCGATTCTTACCTCATCAATGGCCTTGCCGGAGATTCATATCCTTGTTCGAAGAACAGTAATACTTATTCTTTGCTTAAATCAAAAGTTAATTAATTCTGCTCTTCATTTAAGGTCACCAAAAAGTTAAAAGAAAAAAATATTGTTTTTTGGATAGGGATGTTTACGCTCAAGGTGATACAAGGAAAAACGTACTTGCTAAGGATTATAAACACGGCGCTCAACACACACCTCTTCTTCAAAATAGCCAATCACAACGTGACAGTTGTAGCTGTCGATGCCGTCTACACGACGCCATATATCAGCGACGTGATGATCTTAACGCCGGGACAAACCATCGACGCACTTCTCACCGCCGACCAGCCCACCGGATTGTACTACATGGCCATCAGCCCTTACATTTCTGCACACCGGCAACCGTTCCCTGCTCAATCAACCACAGCCCTAATCATCTACGAGGGCGCCACGTCATCATCATCATCTCATGCATCGATACCTTCAATGCCTGAAATGAATGATATACAAACGGCTCATAGGTTCTCCTCGAACATCACTGGTCTAGCAGGTGGACCTCACTGGACCCCAGTGCCTCACCACGTGGACGAGAGGATGTTCATAACAATGGGGCTTGGCCTAGAAGCGTGCCCTACGGGCACTAAGTGTCCTGGAGAGTTAGGTCAACGATATGCTGGCTCTCTCAACAACCGCACTTTTGTGTATCCGGAAACAATTCCTTTGCAAGAAGCTTATTTTTACAACATCACTGGAATCTACAACGACGATTTTCCTGACCAGCCGCCGCTTAAATTTGACTACATAAATTTCAAAGTTAACACCGATCATGACTACAAGATGATGTTCCCGGAAAGAAAGACTAGCGTCAAGACACTAAGATTTAACTCCACGGTCGAGATTGTTGTGCAAAACACAGGGATCATCACCACCGAGAGCCATCCCATGCACCTTCATGGTTTCAACTTCTATGTGTTGGGTTATGGATTTGGTAACTATGATCCAACCCACGATGAAAGAAAGCTAAATTTAGTTAATCCGCAAATGCGCAATACTGTGGGTGTACCACCAGCTGGATGGGTTGTCCTCAGATTCATCGCCAGTAATCCTGGTAAGAGACATTCCTTCTACATAACCATATATTTATATGTATGTTAGGTTCATTTGAAATTTTGATAATTATACTTTTATGCAGGTGCATGGATGTTCCATTGTCACATGGATGCACATTTACCGTATGGAATTATAATGGTTTTCATAGTTCAAAATGGCCCGACTCCAGAAACGAGCTTGCTACCTCCGCCGTCAGATATTCCGCAATGCTCTTGGGATCCGAAGATCTACGACTCTCCTACTACCAACATTGATTTGTCTTACTAGTAGTAGTCATGTTTTTTCTTTTGTTTCTGTTGAACATGCATGCTACAGTTTTTTGTTTAAGAAAATTACAGCAAAAAGCTGGTGAAGGAAACCTACAACTGGTACTTAATTATACTTACTGATCATGAATTCATGATTATCTAAACAGTAACTTCAGCCACCCTATACACTCCTTTGAGTTTTTTTTTCTAGATATAACTTGCATTAAGTAGATATTGTTGGCCAGATATCTTATTCTAAATTATTGTTTTCTCAGAAGAAAAAAAGCCCAAAAAATATATATCGTGGGGCCGTAGGTAGTGGATAAAGTTAGTAATTCATTTTTTCTTTAAAAATTGAATCAATTAAATTTGTGGTCATTTTGGTGAAATCATATTGTTGTGTGCATGATATGTTCTAAAAAAGATTTATCTACAAACTATGAAACTACCACACAAATCATTTTTCCAAAAATACCACAAATATTATATTTCCAAGAATACCACACATGTTATTTTTCCAAAAATACCACAAAACTTATGTATATCATTTTCCCCAAAAAAAGATTATGTAAATAAAGTAAAGAGTAATTTTCAAATTACCATAAATATAAGTTTGTGTTTCAAAAGTCCTATAGCTATTATTTTCCAAAAAGACTTTGAGATTACTTTCAATTGATATGACAAGCCCTTAATTTGTATATTGAAGTAATCTATGCATTGCGGGGAATTACCATTGGTATACCCAAACATTGTTTTTTTAGGTAATAGTATACCCCATATGACATGTTTGACAATTGGTATACCCCAAGGGGTGGTTAATGACCCTTTTATCTTCTACGAACAAACAATAAACGAGCGACGCAATTACCAATTTACCCATGATGGTGAAGTCTACTGAAGACGTCAACTAAAGTAGACTTTACAACGCCTTAAGATCTTAAATTTAAATTATAAAATTAAAGAAAAATATTTAAACCAAAGAAATTATACATAAAAAAGACCTTGTTATTTGGATCTCTTAAAAATATTTTTGCTTGAAAATGTATTAGCCTAAGTACAGCAAAGGCAAAGCATGCCACAAACCTATAAATTTGGAGAGAAGTCTACTCATGAAGTCTACTCTCTTACGAAATCTTAAATTTTAATTTTAAAAATTTATAAAAAATATTTTGCTAACAAATTTTGTTAGTAATCTAAGTAAATACAATGTTCATATATAAAATACAAACTCATGAAAATGTATAAGTTTATAAGTTTCATGAGTATTTGGTCCATCAAGGATAGAGTTTAGGTTTGAAGTATAGGGCTTGGTAGTATAAGTTGTTAGGGTTTAGCCAAATATTTTTTGAAAACCAAGTTTATACGTTTTTTTTTTTTTTTTCACTGAATAGGGCCGTGTATTAATCAAAGCTCAAAAGAGAGCAAACCAGAGAAGTGGCAACAACAGGGCAGAAGAAAGGCCCAAAAAAACCATAGTCGTATAAAAAAGAGCATGCACAAACTCTTAACAGAAAACAGACGATAAGAAACAGAGTGATTATAATTAGCACTCTTAGATACCGTGAGAGGACATCGAGTCAGGTTACCCAGTTCCGTCGCTCATCTCGGCCCCGGGATCTGTTTCTCACCTGCAAAGAGGTACCGTAACCAGGTCGGTTCACCATTTGCAATGTAAGACGACAGACGTGCTTCAGAGGTTACACTTTTTGCTATTTCATAAGCTCCCATGTTGGCTTTCCTATCCTCGAAACTTAGATCCCAACCATTCTGGTTTGCTGTCATGTTAATCAGTCCTGCAATATGCCCAAAAAAAGCCGGCCATTGAGAAGGTTGGTGCAGAGCTTTTATAATCTCCATCGACGACGCTGCAAACGTAACGTTTTCACGTCTCAGATCTTTCATACTTTATACGTTATATAGTCTTTTTTGGTTCATATATGTGTTAATTAAAAAGTAATTTGTGTATATTCAACTAAAACTATTTTATTCCATAAATTTTGTGTGTAAAACATTCGATTTAAGGTTTAGGGTATGGAAGGCTTCTTCGGTAGACGGCACCTGTAGACTTCACAAAGAAGTTTACATAACCGGAATTTAATTGAGCGGGAAATTAAAAATATTTAGGCGAATGAGCGGGAACCAGAATATACCAAAATAATTTTTTCGGTAATTGAATAATTTAACCGGTTTAGGAGAATTCTTTCAAAGATTTCGTGTGTAGACCAAACATTTAACCAAACCGGATAATTTGTTTGGCTTAACCAAAATTTAACCAACTCTAATTTTAACCTAACCAAATTTTTGACTCCATATAAATACAAATTTTTCTCTTTTTCCCATAATTTTGCAACCTTCTCTCTCTCTAAAACACGCGACCCTCTCTCTCTCCACAAATCTAGATCTGAGCTGCAACAAATTTTCCGATGAGTCTCCGCCGTTTTCTATTGCATGAACAGAGACCTTCTCCTCTGAAGCTAAGGCGGCGTGTTCTCTCCACCTTTCTGAATTTCAGGCGAGAATCTCCGCCGTTTTCTCTTGCTTGTGTGTTCATGTTGGAATTCCCATGCGAAATGAACCCGTGGAGAAGGAGAGAGTAGATCGAGGTAATACAGGCTGTGGAGCAACATAATCTCTCTCGTCTGTTCTCGGAGCTCCATCTTTCACCGTGGGTACGAGTTTTCTTCTCTGTTTATTATCATCAACCCTATCGTATATACTAAAGATAAATATACTCTCTGGTATTTTCCATGGAAAATCGCAGGCACGAGTTTGATGAAGTAGATGAGTAGACAAAGATAAGATTTGGTGGGCTGATTGAAAGTTAAGATCGTTTTTCTTATTAAATTGGTTGCTTTTCTACTTCTTTGTTTGGTTTCCATGTTGCAGATTGCTTAGATTTTGTTTGTGTTTAAGATCTAGTTTTACAAAGACATGTTTGTTGATGCATTTTTTGTGTGTGTGATTTTGATGAGCAGAGCGAGTGATAAGTGCCAAAGAGAGAAACGGAAGATCATCAGTGGAGATAATTTGCTTTGGGCAGTGTCCACTTTAGGTCTACCTGACGAGATATAGAGAGGTATGCTCTGGTTTCTGCATATTCTAAGATAGAGAAACAAAAGATACAAATTTATTGAATTTCACTCACTAACTCTGTTTGTTCCTTTTCTTTTTCATCTTCTACTACGTTAGCTGAAAAATCACAGATGGAGGTCAGCGCTTCTACTCTATTTTTTTTCTTGTTCATTTCTTATGCTTGTAAATATGTTGGTGGTTTCCAAGAATTATCTATTGTATCAAAGCGATTATCGTACTTGAATTGGAATGGTTTTTACTTGTTTTGTTCCAATCGCCAATTTGATTCCAGTGATGTGCTTAGTGTTTAAAGCTAAGTGATGTGCTTGTTCGGTTTGCATATGGTATGTTTTCGTTGATTTTGTCTTTGTGAAATGAAACCTTATTATGTGTATTCTCATGTTTTATTTCATTTTTTTTTCGTTTGGCAGGCCACACCAAGAATAAGAATGCTTCATGTTTTTGGATGCTTGTTGATTCTGGAAAAACCAAAAATCAATCCCAAGACTACTTCGAATAGCAGAGATGGTAAGCTTAACTGAGAAACTGTTTTGTTTGTATACTTTTTCGTGTATCAAGACTACTTCGAATAAGCGTTTTGATTGATTATGGACTTTTTTTTTAAGTGTTTTTCTCTATAAGGTTTTGATGCTTGAGTTTCTATGGTTTGTTTTGTTGTTTGATTTACCAAGTTTCTTAGTGCTTCATGTTTGTTATTATTTGAATTGAGATTGAGATTGAGATTATGCTGTTGTGTTCATGTTTTGCTGCTTGATTAGTTTTGGTTTTGTAATGGAAATTATGTTAGATTCTGCCAATATCTCAGTAGCAAACTTGATTAGTTTCTCTAGCTTTATCTTTATCGCTTAGGCCATAAATGAGACCTTATGAGATGCATTTTGTAATTGAATTATGGAGAAAAGTTTGATTTTGTGGCCAAAAATCACAATAAAAGTAACCAATCGAATTTATATTGAAATGTGTATTTTATTTGGGTTCGTTTCAAGAGCGTAAAACCTTTAAAACTAGGTTTGGTTTGTGGAACAGTCTGCTTCACTGTGGTTGAGGTTTGGTTTTATGAGGATTCAGATCTCTTGCTAATAGATGATTGAAATATGTATGATCATGTATAATATATCCTTGGTTCTTGTACAATATATAATGATTTAAGCTTTGAATAAATTGTCTTAATCATGTTTTGTGTGTGTTCTTACTGTTATGAGTCTTACTCTTTTGTCATAATGTCGCTCAGGTTATCTACGATTTGGCTTGAAAATCAAGAGTAGGTGATAGTAGTTGCAGGCTCGGTTCCTGCCAACTGTGGCATGGCTTCTAACACAGAGAAATCACTTGATCGAGCCAAGTCACGCTTAGTTGTAGAAACAAGCTTAAAAATTTGCATTTGTACTATGGTTGATGTATAGTTGTATTGGTTGTACCCTCTTTAGTTTGTAAGCAGATATAGCAATTTGTACCCTCCACATTTGAGTTGTATACAAAAGAAAAGTTCATCTACAATCAATCCAAAGAACTACTTAGTCATGAAATCCTAATAGGGCTAGAGATGACAAAATCTCAGAAGTGAAGGCTATTTTTGTGCGATTAAGAAGACTATGTTTGTGCATTTGACAGACAAATCTACAAGTTATGTGAAACATAGCATTTGATAATGGGTATATGATAACTCTAAAAACTCTTCTTTCTTGTCCCACTTATTATTATTTTGTGTCCATTTGAACAAGCTTACTAATGTACATGACATAATTAATCTTAATAAGGAGATGACATAATCCATCTTAAGAAGGAGAAGGTATAACACATTAATAATCAAAACAAGGAGAACACATTCTCCCTCATCATAATCAATTTCAAACATTCACGATCCTCGCCCATTTTCCATAAACAATAGCACACCATTTTCTGCATAAAAAGATTAAGACACAACACATTAGTAGTCAAAACGAGTAAGCAAACTTCAATAATAAGAAGTCTACTATAATTATCACCTAGTATCCAAGAAAGACAAGAAATTTGATTCTCTTCAAAATATAATGATTAACCACGTCAAAATGATACACAAGCAAGTAAGCAGATTAACACAACTTATTGTCAAAGAATTTTTTAAAATTAGTTAATCATAACGCACAAATATCGAATTTAAAATACACTTACAAAGTAAACTTCGCCGTGAAGTCTACTACATTTCACCTAAACTCCACCAAAAACTAAAAATTTGATTCCCTTCAAAATATACTGATTAAGCAAGCCAAATTGTTACACAGGCAAATAGACAGATAAAAACAACTTATTGTCGAAGAAAATCTTATAAATTAGTTATTCATATTGCACAAACACCTAATTTACAATATAATAACAAAGTAGACGTCATGTAGAAATCTACTTGTAGACTTCACCAGGAAGTCAACTTTAGGGGTACACCAACTGCAAGAATATTTTGTGAAGTCTACAAAGGAAGTCAACAATTCGAGGGGTATACTTTTGCAATTGACCAAATCACGACTTTTTGAAGTAGACTTCTTTTATAAAAGTAGACTTCAGGCTGAAGTCAACAATGACAAGTAGACTTCAATAAGAAGTCAACTACGAAAAGTAGACGTCATATTGAAGTCTACTACCAAAAGTAGACTTCGTAAAACAACGTTTGCAGTTGGTGTACCCCGAGTTACTATTCATTCGTTGACCAGTTGACTTCTTTTTGCAGAAGTAGACTTCTCCATGAAGTCTACTCCGAAAGTAGACTTCAAAGAAGTCTACGCGTCAAAGTAGACTTCGCGGGGAAGTCTACAGTCTAAAAAAGAAGTCTACATCAAAAAGTCGTGATTTGGTCAATTGCAAAAGTATACCCCTGTCGCGTAGACTTCATGTGTAGACTTCAGAACCGAAAGTCGTCGTCTGGTCAATTGCAAAAGTATACCCCTCCCGAAGAATAGACTTCTTTGTGAAGTCTACACATGGGGTCCACCTTTTTTTGTTGTCAAAGGATTAATGTAGACTTCTCCAAGAAGTCTACTTCTCCAAAATTTTAAAAAGTTGTTTGCAGTTAGTGTACCCCACGTTGACATGTTGACTTCTTAGTGAAGTCTACATCGCGCAGGAGATCTGAAATTCACGAAAAACGAACGGAAAATCACCTTGATGAGCTGTTTGGTTGCGTCGACGGCGGATTGGTTCGATTTAAACCTTCAGCAGAGAAGCCCAGCTGTTGCCGTGAGCTTGGTGACCACAAATGGCATCATACAAGAACTTATATTTTTGAGAGATGGATTATAGAGTTTTTGTGATGAAATTGGAGAGAATAAGTAAGAGAAGAAGGTTAGAAGAGAATATAGTGTGATTTTGGTGGTGTAAAAGGGAAGAAGAAGCTTTAAAAAGCTTGAATATGGTTGAAAATGGTTGTTGGGTGAATTGAATTTGATGGCATTTTCGTGAATAAGTGTAGGAGATGAGGTTGGTTTGGACATTATTATTTTCTTAAAAAAATGAAAAATAGAAAAACTGATGGCATTTTGGTAGATATGATGAGAGGGTAAGGATGATATAGAGAAAAAAGTGTAAATATTAGAGGGGTATACCAAAAACATTGACCACAAATTGGGGTCTACTTTTGCAAACACCCCATGCATTGTCGTCAAAGGCGAAGTAAACCTCTTAAATTACGTAATGAGCATGCTAGTTACGTTAATTACGTTATTGTCATTAAATTCCATTAATTAAAAAGGCTTATTATTGGCAACAGGTTTACGCCCTTGCATAGTTGCATTTCTGTAATATAGAATTTAATTTAATATGAGATGTAATATTTTCTTGAGAGTAAGGAGACGTACGTTTATTCGGGCAACGAGTCATAAGGGAATTCGAGCTACCTACGTTTATTTGAACAATCATTCCTTAAATCATTTTACCGCTTTTGTAATTGACAAGAAAGGCAAATATAGCACTACACGTCGTCATATTCATACACGCTTTACTGTTATATATAGACGTATAGACGTGACACACTATATTTATTTAACCCTTCAAACATATACAACACAAAAAACGCAAGAAAGCTCTTTCCATGGCCAGTTCAAGCTCTTTTCTCCCTCCTCTTTGTGAAAGGATCTCATACAAAAGCTATGTTCTAAGAGCTTTGAATCTCACTATTATCGGTCTTCTTTTTTCTCTTCTCTTGTACAGAATTCTACATATGAACCAAAACGATATCGCTTGGGTCATGGCTTTCCTCTGTGAATCTTGTTTCTCTTTCATGTGGCTGCTTGTTACCAACGTAACATGGAGTCCTGCTGAACATAAACCTTATCCAGATAGACTTGATGAAAGGTGCCATTTAGAGTCAAATTATATATACAATCTTACACCTAGCTCTTTAGTTAAATAGCATATGTTCTTTATAAATTTGTAAAGTCATAGCAAGCTGCTTCCTCGCTCTTAGTCTATTTCTCACGAAATACTATTCATTCGTATGTTTTAATTCTGTAGTATATTTCGAAAATGATCTTTGTATAACTGTTGTTTGATTTCAGGGTTCATGACCTTCCTTCCTTAGATATGTTTGTATCCACGGCGGATCCGGTCAGGGAGCCACCGATTATTGTTGTGAACACCGTGCTTTCGCTGTTAGCTGTCAACTATCCGCCGAATAAACTAGCTTGCTATGTGTCGGACGATGGATGCTCACCTCTCACTTACTTCTCTCTCAAGGAAGCTTTCAAGTTCGCCAAAATTTGGGTTCCTTTCTGCAAGAAATACAACGTTGGAGTTAGAGCTCCATTTAAATATTTCTTGAGCCCTGTAGTCTCATCAGAGGATTCTGAATTCAGTAACGATTGGAACATGATGAAGGTAACAAATTCAATTGTTCATTTTTAGGGTTTTTAGTTTGTGTTTATGATAACAAATCAAACTATCATTACTATACTTTCAAAAGAGAGACAAAAGACAACAGCGTAGTTTCTTTGTTTAATCACACCCAACTAAAGAACTTTAAAATAAACATAAAAATAATACATGCAAAAAGAAACAGTTAGCTTTCCGAGTTTGTTTTTACAACTGAAAATTTTGAGAAATATCATTTTAATACTGCTTTTCCTTGTGACATTGATTTAAGCAAAAATTTCCCCATGGAAATGGAAAAACCTTTGTATTTCTACAAAAGGTTTTTAAAATATAGGTTGCAGAAAAGAAAAAAATTATTCCATGTGACAGTTAAGTGAAAAGTAAAATCAGATTAATAACATTTTGATATTTATTATTGCCATTTACTTCATTTGTTTTGCCTGATTACCATTTACCTAGTTGACCTAATTGACTCAAATCTATAACCACACATTCTGATTAATTTTTTCATGCATGTCACCGAGTGTGTCTTTTTTTTTTTTAAACTGTTGGTTTATTAATATATAGAGGGAGTACGAGAATTTAAGCCAGAAAGTGGAAGATGCCACCGGAGATTCCCATTGGTTTGATGCAGACGATGATTTTGAAGCTTTCTCAAACACAAAACCAACCGATCATTCAACTATTGTTAAGGTATTTCCTCAATTTACCAAAGCTATTTTTATATCTCTAACTATTGTTATTCACATTCAAAAAGGGTCACCTATAACAAGTATATGAATTTTTGTTACGTTATATATCATATTGCACTTTTCACATGTTTATGTGAAGGTGATATGGGAGAACAAGGGTGGTGTAGGAAACGAGCAAGAGGTCCCTCCTTTTGTATACATTTCAAGAGAGAAGCAACCAAGTTATGTTCACCATTATAAAGCCGGCGCCATGAACTTTCTGGTCAACTAACTTTCTCACACACATCTCTTCCTGATGAAATGGCTTGATATTTTAAAATGTGATATAGATATATGATCATTAGCCTATGAATGATCAATTATTTTGATAACTGAGACATCATATATGACAAGCCATTTCGATGCAAAAAAATAATATACTCCCTATATCCCATAATCTAAGCAGTTTTGGATATATTACACATATTAAGATTTTTTTATACTTTTTATGTTTCTTAGGATAAATTATTAATATACTAATTAAAATAAGAAGAAAAATAGCAAAAGTGGAATTAATGTATAGAAACTTACATTTTCATTTTTGCTTTTGCATTTTTTAAACTAAAATAATATTTCTTTTGTATTAAATTCTCAAAACTGCTTATATTGTGAGACAATAATTTTCTGAAACTGCTTACATTATAGGAGAGGGATAAGACAAGCCATATTCATTAGCCTATGAATGATTGTAGATCTTAGCTTTTGTTGTTATTATACTAGTTATATTTTAATTAGCTTATGATAATCAACCAGGTAAGAGTGTCGGGGTTGATGACAAATGCGCCGTACATGCTGGATGTCGACTGTGACATGTATGCAACTGATGCAGATGCGGTGCGAAAAGCAATGTGCATATTTTTGGAGGAATCAATGAACCCAAATCATTGTGCTTTTGTTCAATATGTGTGTGACTCTAAGGCTGAAGGATTTAACCTCTTGCAATCGGTGCGATTTATTCCTTGCATATGAATTATAGTTTTGATTAATTTTTTATGTTATTCATCAAACAATATACTTAAGCTTTGCTTTTTGATATCTTCAATTTTTGGTAATTAGTTTTTGGAACGAGGAGTTGCGGGAATCCAGGGATCGGTTTATACAGGGTCCGGATGCTTCCACACCAGAAGAGTTATGTACGGCTTATATCCGGACGATGTAGAAGACAATGGAAGTCTTTCTTCAGTTGCTACAAGTAAGTACTACTAGCAAATTCATAAATGATTGTTGTTATATCATAATGTCATATATTTCTTCAAAATATATTTAAAGCAAAGTTTCATTCAGTTATTTTGTAAACCAACTATATCATTCATGTCTTATGCTGTTATGCTATTAAGGGAAACTTTCCGCAGAGAAGACTTTAGCGGAAATGTTTGGAATTTCCAAAGAGTTAGTGAAATCGGCGGCCAGAGCATTGCAAAGAAAAGCAAATCCTCAAAACAACTTTACAAACTCCATAGAAGCGGCCACAGAAGTTGGAAATATTCATTATGAATATCAAACTAGTTGGGGCAAAACGGTAACTACATTCTAAATTTAATCATTGATAGTCAACATTATTTTACATAATAATAACAATAAGTTTGGGCGTTTGGTCCATAATGATCATTTTTATGATATAAATCATGCAGATCGGTTGGTTATACGATTCAATTTTAGAGGATGTGAACACGTGTATCGCAATACATTCGAGAGGATGGACTAGCTCACTCATATCTTCGGATCCACCATCGTTTAAAGGTTGTATGCCGCCTATAGGACCGGAGGCGATGCTCCAGAAGCAGCGATTTTCGACGGGCGCGCTCGAAATCTTCTTCAACAAACAAAGTCCATTGATTGGAATGTTTCAACAAAAAATAAGATTACGACAGTGGCTTGTTTATCTCTCCATTACCATGTCGAGTTTAGGTTCACTACCTATGCTCTTTTATTGTCTCTTGCCCGCTTATTGCTTACTCCACGACTCTACCTTATTTCCCAAGGTGACTCTCTTTCTCTTAATTCATATCATAGCTTTGATATAAACATAGTTATATTTATTATCATATATAAGTGAAATAACTAATGTTATAATGTTTTTTGTGTGTTGTTTTAGGGACTTTGGTTAGGTATAAATCTCACATTTGTGGGGATGCATTGTATTTACACTCTATGGAAATTTATGCGGCCTGGTTTGTCCGTGGATTTTTGGTATCCCAGCTTTTGTGGTTCGTTATTTAGCATCTTTGATATCACACTCAAGCTTCTTGGAATCTCAAAAACCGTGTTTGTAGTCACCAAAAAGACCGTGCCTGCTACTAAGTTAGGATCCAAAGACGGACCACCTCAACGGGGAGATGATAGTCAAGTCGATGACACGCTTTATTTACTGCCCGCCACATTTATTTTGTTGGTCAATGTAGCCGCTCTAGCGGATTATTTGGTGGGCCAACAACTATGGAGTCATAGTGACCAAAGAGGTGGTTCGGGTTTGGCAGAAGCTTCTGGATGTACTTTTGTGGCTATGTTGTTCCTACCAGTTCTCAAGGGTTTGTTTGATAAGAAAAATTATGGTGTTACATCGTCTACTTTTTCTATAGCTGCCTTTTTAGCAGCTTTATTTGTGGTTTTCTCTATCGGAAATTAGTAGTGTGATGATATGGGTTTGTTATGCAACTAAATTAAATTTATCTTGACATGTAATTTTTTTATTTTTTTTTGTTATCATTTGTGGGTCATAACGGGCCGGCCCACAAACCCATAATCCTCCCAATGATGAAATTAACCCCACATGGGGGAAGGTGGAGTCGAACTCCAGACGAGATGGATGCAGAGGTGACTACCACTGGGCCACTTGCTCCTCTCTCTTGACTATGTAATTTGTGTTCTTAAAAAAATTGTATATGTAGTAGTCTTTGCATGAAAAAAAAAAAGGTTTTTCCAAACTATTTAACTATTAAGACTGTGATACAAGTTTAAACTGTGTAATACAAAAGAAAATTATTCTTACACAAATAGTTTGAAGATTCCAAAAGTATTTAGAAAAATGCACTCAAAATATTTTAAAATACGTCCGTAGGAATCGAATCAAAAGGGTTTGTTGGTTTGTTGGCACTATAAATATGAAAGGACGCGTGCTAGCCGCTCCTAAAGCACGTGACCGCCGCTTTAAGCCTCTCTCTCTCTCTCTCTCTCTCTCTCTCTCTCTGCTTCACTCGATGGCTCCTTCTGCGCAGTCGCCTCTTCTTACAAGGTTAACAAATGAATCTCCTGATCTGAGTATCTCGTGTTCGCTGTCGTTTTTATGTTTTTCTTTGGTTTTTGGTGACATGCATTGCAATTTTAAAACAGTGAAGGAGATGAAAAATACGCGAATGTGAAATGGGAAGAGCTTGGATTCGCTCTGACTCCGACAGATTATATGTATGTGGCGAAATGCAAACAAGGAGAGAGTTTTTCACAAGGGAAGGTTGTTCCTCTATGGTGACATTTCAGTTAGTCCTTGCTCTCCGATTCTCAACTATGGCCAGGTTTTGTTTCCTTCATTCTCCTTATAATCGCTTAATAA